TTTAATTCATAAAAAAAAAAAAAAAATAAAAATTTAAATTCTTTTATTTAAATATTATATATTTTTTTCCCAAAAAAAAAAAAAAAAAAAAAAAAACGATAACAACAGATGAGTGCATTCCTCGGGATTATACCTAGGGGGGTGTATTGGACATGGTGGTCACCTGACCATCAGCCCAGTACGCCAGGTACCAACCCGTATAACTAGATAGTCGGGCATTCTGCCCTTTAGGAATTGACAACTCTCTCCCTCTATCAATTTACATCACTACACTGTAGTCGCATCATATTTACAAGGCCAGGTTGGTATATACAATATCAAATAATATAAATACCTCCACTCCCCCGGGGGCCCCTCCCCCCGCAGAACTCCCCTCCCCTTCTCATTCATTCTTGGGCTGCTCCTCCTTCTTGAGTCGCCAGCTACATCAACTGTCAGCATATTGTTCCTACAGCCTACCCTGCGACCAATTGGCATACAGTTTCACCTCCCGCTTGGCCCACCAGAACAGGAAGTTGATGGCCTTTACGGCCAGGAGGAAGGCCACGACGAGCCACAGGACGTCACGCGCGGTGGCCGTCATCCAAGGACGGCAAGGCTTTCCTCGCTGTCCCGGGGGCGCAGCGGGATGGGAGCTAAAAAATACATGTCAGAAAGTGGCCAAAAAAGACAGCTGAAAAGACAGCTGAAAAGACGCCTGGAAAGACGCCTGAAAAGACGCCCGAAAAGAGATCAAACTTACCGGCAAAGGAAAGAGTCAAACAAGACAATAACAAAAGGCTTAACAGAGTCATCTTGAAGATAGCTATTATGTAGCAAAATGATGTGAAGGTGAATTTCTTACGTGTGCTACGAGATTGTTTTGTAGACTACAGGGGAAGCAATGGCTTGTAGGGAAGGTATGAGCCTGCAATGTGATATAAGAGCTTAATCGGGTAGGTACACAGCAACAGTATAGTAAGCAAGATGCAGCAATATCCATGATTGAAGCCAGTCAGCGAGTCTTATCCTTCTTTTTTGTGGAAGCCTTGTCTTTCGCAATCTGCTCGTAGCTTGGTGGTGCATCAATCATATCAAACGGGCTCTCATAGCTATCACCGACAAGCCCCTATATGGCGACTCGCGTGATCCGGTGCTTAGTAAGTTTGCTTATTTCTTCGCGGCACTGTTCTTTCAGCAATTTTTTGTCTTCTTCAGAAACGTCAAAGCCTCGAGCTCTGCGATAACATCCGCATTCAAAAGTACAATGTCCAACTCCAAGACGGCGCGTGGGATCAATATTGCGGCTAAGACAACACCCACATCCACGAGCACAGCCATGCCGGCTAGCACAATCTTCAACAAGCACGCGGTGCATATACCATTTGGGATGGGACCGCCATAGCTCAAACGCTCTTAGCTGATACCCATCTGCCAGACAGGAATGATAATGCCAGCACTTTTGCTCTAAGAGCCAGTATCTGGCATTTAAAGCATCAAGTCTCTCTTTGGCATCTTTGTTCAAGTCGGCTCCCTCTTTGATAGATATCTCCTCTTGAAAAATTTCCCGGAGGTCTTCCTCTACAAAGAGAAGCTTATGTGAGATAAAAGGAGGCCCAGTGTTATCTCTTCTGATCAGCGTCCAGTATTCACTTAAGCGATATCTTTGGAGAATATTTATCTCCCCAGATCGTTCGAGACCGACTTCCCAACTGTCTTTATCGCCCCTCATGATTCCGACTTTTCTATGTACTCGATCCCGGCTCGGTTCTCTTTTACGACGGGGGAAAGAAAATGGCATCTCTGATATTTAAACGTATTATCTGAATTTGAGGGTGAAGGATGTTTCTTAAAGGTTTTTGCTTGGTCTAATAAAATTTATCCACAGTGATGTCAGCTTACACCTCCCAATGTCCGACACCTAAAAGGTTGGGTAACGACTTAATCTTCTAGTAGCCTCCTCAACCTTAGAAGTAATTAGCCTTCTAATATCTCGATAAGAAGTCCGTCTTCACTTAATGATAACTGGCTTAGGTAGAATTGCGTGCTCGCAGCAGACCTGAAACAATACAAAGAGAATAGCCACAAAAGCCAATGCTAGCATGGCATGGTGCTTGATAGGTATTAGCTAGGTATATAGCCCTAGAGATATCTCGAATACGCCCGAAAGATACATCCAGATTCGTCAAAAACAAAGCCATATACATATTCCCATACCAATTAAGGATAGCTATTCGAGAAACCTTCGAATTCAACCACGACAGCTTCACCTTTTGACACCTTCGCCTTTTGATATCTCCACACTTTGACATCTTCATCAACGACGGTACCATTGAACGCAAACCGGAATACATCCCCTAGCTATAGATCACTAGGAAAAGTCCAGATGTCATCATCGAGCTAAACTATCACAATCAAGCTTTCGCCAGGTCGGAGACTGACAAAGTCTTCACTAGCGGCAACATTAACTTAAACATCTTTCTCGTCCACAAATAGTAGACACATGTTGCAAGGTCAACAGTATTCCCACAGTCTATCTTCATCACGACGACGATAATACAACCTGTAAGTTGTCATCGTGAAAGATACTGGTGTGAAAAGTGACTGGACTTGTAGCAGGAGGATCAGCACTTTCAACGCCGTGATATGTAACCCTAGCTCGGAAATCCATCCTCAGGCTTTTATCTTCTCGCTTCAGCTCTGTGGAAACATCTTCTATCTCAAGCGATACACTGAATATCTGTACTCTATGTAGAATAGAGGTTTTGCTAGAGTTGTGCAATAGAATCTAGGGTAGATTGTGCTTCTAAGAGTGTTGTAGGATTTGTGTCAAACATGAGATTGGACAGATATCACCCCACTAAACAAGTACTTTTGTCTTTGTTAGGGCGATTGAATGAGAACGTAAGTTTCCATCTGACTCGGGACAAAAGTTCCGAACCTCTCTTTTTCTCTCTTAATCCCATTGGAAGATGAATCGGCTTACCAAGAAGATAGTCACAGATTATAATACACCGAGATGAATTTGGAACTCCATTTGTTCTCTGAGCAACTTTTTATACGTATATGTGTACATTTCCTCTTTTGAAAGAAAGCCTTAGACCTATCTCCAAAGCCTTTCTACCTTCTTCTCTACTTACAGTGCTAGCTAAAGATGATATTGGACTATATCATCACGGGCTTTGCAGTTATCCTGATTGCGTTCACCATCATTGAGACTTATTTATGGGCTATTGCTCGATTGAGAAGCATAAGACTGTCTGCCAAGTGAAGATGACGCTAGGTCTACTCAGCATCCTGACCTGCGATGGTCCTGTTTTGGAAACCTGCAGATCAACGAGACATCAGCCAGTTATTCAAAGTCCTCATCACTGGTCCTATGCAATGTATCTCTACTTTTAAGTCTGGACAAATGTCCATTGTCGTGGACCGAATAGGGAGGTATGGCAGTCACGCAGGTCAGATTGATTTCATTTTTGACTAATTACGGTTCTCGATAACTTGTCATTGGCAGAAGTACATTGATATTTTCCTTTAGTCGAGGATAGGCATCTATTGACGACATCAATGTCACCCATCTATCCGCGAGAATGGTGCGAAAACGTGGATTCATTGCAGTGCCACAAGATGGCTTGACAAATTCCATGGCAAGTCTACGCTTCAGTCTAGATCCTTATCACACGAGCTCAGAGTAAGAAATAAGATGCAAGCTGCGCCTTTACGAAGCTCTAGTTGATCAAGTTCTACATGTATAATTGTAATTCGGACCTTCGAATTTCCCTTTTTAGTTGTTTTCCATTTTGGGTTTAGCGCCCAATTCCGTGTTGGTGGGCTTGGCACACTCCGTGTTCTACTCCGTACTCCGTACTCCGTGGTTACTTATGATTGATCATTATTTCATAAGCTTGCACAAAGAAGTCGTAATAGCTCGAAAAGGGGCAAAGACAAGTCCTAACTAAATATATGTTTTTCTCGGCTGGAGCGCTACTAATGCAAAAAATAAAGGCACCCGGGTAGACGGGAGATCCACCTTGGAATATACAACCCAACCAGCGAGAACAACGGCAGGTGATCTAAACGTCTGTGCGTGAGAGAAGAAAAAAGAAAGGAAATCGGCTTTGCCGACCTGACGGGGCGATTGTCATATCCCCCGTCGCCTTGCATTGGTTTGTACTTTAATTGCTGTGATCCATATCCAGGATGAACGGTTCAAGGATTCCAGGATTGGAAGATGCAGTCGAGGTCCAGACTGGGCCCGGTCCAGACTCTACACAGGTCTTAGATCAAGTCTAGCTGGAGGCATTGATTGGCCCGTGTGGACGTACTGGATTAGGAACTAGTTTATGTACGGAGTACTCCGTACTCCGTAACAAACAAAAGGATTATATGCGGAGTACGAGGCATGTAATACTATGTACAGCATTTCGCACTCGTCTACGAGGTAGTTAGGAATGAAATGCGCAAACAAGTTGCGAAGATCATAAGCGGTGGCAAATATTTATGCTTTGAAGATCCAATCATGGTTATAATAGCCTGTCGGAATAGCGACAGGGGCATTAGGGCTTCGAAGCTATGACGGAGAAGGCGAAAATAAAAAGCTAATAGGAAAATCTTCATGTCAAGAATCAAAGCCGAGACCCGGGAAATGGAACGAACTTGCGTACTCCTGTAGGAGGGTCCGGCCCAAACTATAAGAATAATATCGGCAAACGCGCTTTGCGCGAAAGGGGGGATGTGCGGTTGCAGCGGGAACCCCAGATGGAGTCTGTGGAGCCTCTTAAAAGGGTATGTTGGTAAATTGTGGCATGGTGCGACAGCATTTACTTGAAAATTCTGTTTTAGTCTTCTTTTATTGTGTTTATTTTTGGTGTTAGTGTGTTAGTGTGTGTTAGTGTAGTTATTCTCGGTGTCTGATTCGATGCAATGGCTTTCTTCCAACCTGAAGCCAAGGAAAACCGAGGTCCAGTAATCCTAGAATCTTTAAATCGGGGCGGATGTGACGAAAGAGTCCGGACCCGTTGGAGAAGAAAGGCAAAAAAAGCCCCTTGATATCCACTCCACCCACGAGAGGCATGACGATGATACGTCAGACTAAACTCCATGTGCCCATCTACCTAGCTCGGAGGTAATGTGCACCTGAACTGGAACGAATCCCCGGCTCATCCCCGGGCCACTCAGACCCAATATGCTAGTACTCCGTACTCCGTACTCCGTAGACTCTTCCAAGACGGCAAATTATTAATAGCTGGGGCCGGACCTGCGTGACCCCAGACCAAACATGCCGGTACTCTCGGAGTTTGGGTACGGACACAAACATTAGCTGGCAAGCGCCTTACGCGGTTCAAATCAACTCCTGGACATTGCCTCTCCGATGATATCCGGAGCCTACATAGTAAATTCTTTCGTGCGAGACTAGTTTTTTCTTCCGAGTCGGCAAGCCCTGGGCGGCTGGTTCATGAGGCGCACGGGCGGTATACGAGCTTGACGATTGTTTGAAGTTAAAGACGGCACTCTGTGTCTAGATCGTAGGGGCCCTAGCTAGGGAGTTGGTCCGAGAAACTATGGGCCGAGTCGTCTCCAAGCGCTCTTGTCCGACTGGTAAGGGAGATATCATCGACCAGTGAGAGATGGTTTGGTTGTAATCATCCCCACTCCGGCAACACTCAGAGCTGATTGTTTATGCACAGCCCTGATGTACTTTTGAAAAATCAGACAAATATCATGATTTTCAAAAAAGGCCTGAGATCATGTGGCTGGCAGTACTCCCCGGTGAACTCTGACTTTTTTTTTGCGGGGAATCCCTGGGCGTATCACAGCAGTTCCGCAGGCACAACTTCGCTGAATGGGGCATGTGGAATGCAGCTGCCATACCTGGGAGCTAACCTTTTTTTTTGGCTAAGACTAGTGAAGCTGACTTAGAATTATAGTCTGGTGATCTTCTATTGTTGCCTGTTTCCGATGGTGACTTCATAGCCCGTCTTGAAATTATATTTATATATTCTAGTCTTGGTCATAGTCTATGATATTCACCTTATTTTCTATTTCGCTTTGCCTTCCTTTGACATTGAGCGTTCTTGATTAGTTTTATCTCCAGAAGAAAACAGTTCGATCTATACGTGGAGCCTTAATGAGAAAAAGTATGGCCACCTTCTCACTAGTTGCGATTCCAATCTTCGTCTTTCTTTTCGCAGTGAGACACCAAAGACAATTGCTCCAGTGGCTATCACAAAAATTGAAAGGGAAACATTGCTCCAAAAATGTCTCCAACCAATCCGACGTCAAGCGTATGGCACCATACCCAGCGCAGCCCATCAAAGGCAGAGAGCGATACCGTGTAATGATGGACATTCGCAAACTCGACGCCCAGAATTGGCTCACCCTGGATAAGAACTATATGGACGAACACCGGGTCCGGACCCAATTGCTTCATGAGAAAAGAGAAGAAGTCATTCGCTGTCTGCCCGAGTCAATTGAACCGTGCCAAGAGGCATTGGAGGAAGTTTCGGACTTTCTCTGCGAGAGATTCCCAAATATGTTCGAAATCTCAATCCAAAATGGCCGAAAGGTCGTCGATAATCGCATGACAGGCGATAAATTTACTGTCAGCGGGCGCGACCCCAACGAGGGATCAACCGAGGCACTCGAGGCCGCTGTGCGTCTTACGATGGAGGATCTCAGTATTCTGATCATGAACGAGGAAGGGGAATTCTACCTGTATGTTCAAATCCGCATAATACTCAATTTACCAACCCTAACACCAACACAGGGCAGCTAGCGCCAGCCTCTTCCCAACGGGGTGGACAGTAAATCAGAGAATTGGCTGGACCATCTCTCAGCTGCATGGCCCTGTTCCACTATGGCACCAACAAGTCGCCAACTCCGTCAGCAAGTAAGTAACCTCAAATCAGATCAGAGGGGACGGTCATACAGAGAAACAAGAAACAAGAAACTGACCCTACTCCCCAGATTCCTCGCCCGCTTAACCCCAACATCTCCAATGGAACGCTCAAATTACTTTGTAGAAGTCAAGGAGCCAAACGAGAACCTGACCGACATCCTCTATCGGCCCAACTCCCTCTGCGAGAAAAAGCTGAGCAGCCCATCGCCATCAGATATCCTGATCCGTCGCGAGAGACAGACTTTCCGTCGTCTGCCGCGCACGGGGGCGATCGTCTTTGGTGTCAAGACGTATCTCACGCCGTTGGATGAGCTGCCAATGGCTGAGCTGGATAATCTGGCCAAGGAGATGAAAAGTTGGCCTGATTATGTGGGTGAGTATAAGGGGAGAGATGTTTGGGGCGCTAAGGTTTTGGAATACTATCGCAAACGGGTTGAGGGTGAAAAGACGGGAAATAATCAGGAAAGTGAGAAAGGTGAGGTTTGTACTATATAGGATATCTTTGTTTTCTGTTTCGCATTTTGGCTCTGGAAGATCAAAATTGGGTCGGCTTTTTGTTTCACGCAAAAGTTGTTTTGTGTGTTTTCTACTTTCGCGTTTCTTGCGTTCAAATGTTTTGGGTTTGTTAATTAGGGAGACTGTTTGGGTAATTCGGCGAAGACAAGAGACAATTGTTCTATTGAATTATAATATGCTCGTGCGGTGAAGCTATAACTAAGAATGTCCAGCTTCAATTCAAGAAAACCAGAGAAAGTCGAGGGGACGAAGCCCAAATCTATAAGTGAAGATATGTAAAAGAATGGAAAATGATAGGAGAGAACTCCTTCAAGGTAGGGTATAGCACAAGCTCTTAAATCTTCGACTTTGGCGGGTCGTCTTGCTTTAATCGCACAACACCCTATGATCGAGTTAGCACTAAGCTCCAGAATAGAAAAACGAATACATACCTCTTGCATGCAAGTAGCAATAAGCAGTCCATCCTTAGACCAGATCTGCTGAATTGCCAAGCCTCGTCCTTCGCCAGCCCACGGACTCTCCATCTCCGTCAACATCCACTCATCGGCACGGAATGCACGGGGATTGTGGAAGTAAATTGAGTGGTCCAGGCTGACCATCATTCCAACCTCCTTGTGATCTACCTCCTTTATGCCATTCGTGGCCCTGTTCAAAGCCCCCTCCAAACGACGGCGCAATTCCGCAGCCTCCTCTTCTTTCAACTCCTTCAGAGCTCGCGTGATATCCTCATCGTCGAGATCAGACGGGTTCTTAAGTGCGTTCAAAAGCTTCTCGAGCTCGGCCGGAGAGGAAAATCGCGGAATATCGTGAACGAGGGAGATGGTACCGATGAAATAGCTGTCGGTGATATAGGCCAGCGCCGACAGGTGTGCTTGGTAACCACCCTGTTCGGAGATTGCGCCGCGGGCGCGAATGTGTCGCCGGACCTTCTTATCTTCTGGGTTGGGGGATGTGCCTATTTAATTTCGACATCCATTAGTACAACGCGCACAGCATGCCGCTTCCGAAAGACGTACGGTTCAAAATTCCCGCTTTCCTTGATTCAAACGGACCGCTGCCTGCATGGCTGAGAGCTTCCAAACTGCCCGGCTCGGCCTCTTCTGGCAGTGGGACGTTTGGCTTCGGTACGGCGTGGTGAACGGTCTTCTTGCCACCGCTGCCGACCCGGCTGAAGCTCAGCGTGGTGGTGAAGATCGGTCGCCCCCGTTGCCGCGCCTGCACGGTTCGGGTCACAAAGCTCCTCCCATCGCGTACCCGCTCGACATGGTATAGAATTGGGATCTCGGAGTCTCCGGCAAGTACAAAGTAGCAGTGCATGCTGTGGACGGCGTAGTCGGCGGGGACGGTCAACATGGCTGCTGATAGGGACTGCGCAATCGCGGCACCGCCGTAGATGCCCCGAGCTCCGGGGGGGTGCCATAGCGGGCGGGTATTGGTGAAGACATCCTAGACCGAGAGTTCTCTGTTAGAATATGACCATTCGCGAAAGATTGAGGGATGCCATACTGGGCCGAGGTCCGCCACTGGCGTTAGATCGAGTACATTCTCGATGAGAGCTTTGGAATGATCCTGCGCGGGCGGGTCGAAAAGTGTCACGCGTTTTGACATATTTGTTTTCAGGAGAGATCAATGACAAGAGGTTAAATGTCCCGGTGGATTTCAGGGATGATGGTTTCCTGGACGTTTAAATGCGGTCGACCGGCGGAAAAAAAGCCGAGGTCCAAGTGATCGACCGGGGGTTTCTACATCGGATTGTACACATTGTGCAGCTACACATGCAAGAAATAATACATTATTCGATCACATTCACATTTCACATTCATTTCTTTTCATATACATCCGATATTTCCTACGCTATAGCATACTTCAAGGAGTCAAACGACTCCAGTCCTTTTGTGCTGTTTCATCCGGTAAATCAAAGCGATAAGTGTTTCGCACAAGATCGGGCGATGGTGCGCTGGTATTCCGTTCCCCTAACAAACGAAGCAACTGGCGACGTTGCATCTCTTCGTCAGTGAGTAGCGGCATGTCTTCCTCCACTCGGTGAAATCCGTACTCTCGGTATATCAAGACCCCCGCAAGAGCGTAACACGCCGAGAAAGCAGTGGGTAGGCAGATGTTTACAATCTGCAAGGTATTCGTCTGCAGGCTTCGCCCGTGGATGTGGAACAGGATATTCAGGAGCGCGAGCATATTCATCGTCGAGTATGGGCTGCAATTGTTAGCCCGTGGCCGATCGAGAGACGCCGCTTTCATTGATACCTACATGAAGATTGAGTGGAGGAGGAACATCGTTTGATGGCGCTGGGCGAAGGCAATCAAGGCGGATACATCATAAGATGTACCAACAAACACAAATGCAGTAACAGTAGATGCTGTAGCATTGATTCGCAACTCATGGGGAAGGAAACCGACTACCACAGCCAGCATCATATATCTACTCCAACTATAGTCAGAGACCCCCGATTCTCAAGTCAAGCTCACATCTCTTGATGCCTAACTCACCCGATTAGCTGTACCGCTGAAAAGCAGGCTGCTACTACCTTCCATAGCCATGAGACGTCAGTCGCATTAGTCCGGAGTAGGGTCTGTCTAGAGGTAGTCCAAACAGCCTCGTATGGAGTAGCCAGTATACCAACGATTATCCAACGCAACTAACGGATGGCAGTAGTAGAGATGCAGGACAGGCAAGCAAAATACAAATAACGACGGTCAAGAAGTTGGATTCACCTTGGAAGAGACAATTGATCAATGAGTGAGTTCAAGGAGGATTGGATGTAGAACCGCAGCTAAAATCTGTGACCCCTCTCGGAGGCTCATCTAGGGAAACCTGAATTCACTACTGCTCCGTGTGGTATGCGTGGCCGAGGCTTATCAACAAATCAACACAGCGATTCTATTCAGACAAAATAAATTCTGATCTAACGGTATGCAAGTACCCGTGGCCATATTTAACTATTACTCTCACTTGGTTCTTATGTAAAGACCCGCCAGGACCTATGATTCAAGAATAGAAAAGGGAATACCGAAGTAGCTGCCCATGATCCGAAAATACTTACTCAATTTCATAACGGGAAGTATGCAGGAAAGAAAGCGCACATAGATACGAGAGGGCCTGGCTTTACGTTTGAAACAAAAAAGACAAGGAAATTCGTTATATATCCTGTTTCTCAGAGCAGTGGATAAAGACATGAATGACAGCCCTCAACATGACTAGAAAGCGCGATAAACAGAAAGCATATTTCGAGTTGGGAATGTATTGATACAATAGATCAGTCTTGTCCTTGTGGATGAATCGTCTAGATTGGCTGCGTCTAATTTTCGCTAAATTTCGCTTGACTCAAGAATAGAAGATTTGAATCTCAAAATTCAGTAAGCTTCGGTCTGTGATGATTTGTCTTGCGTCACATCAACAACCCCGCTTCCGTCGCACGTTGGGCAAGTCCTTTGCGACTCGTTGTCTGTGCCAGGTGCTAGGCCGCACCATCTGCACACCAAGGCTATGACGGTCGGGGCGAGAAGGAACTGAAGGAGGAGGAAGATGGCGAAAGTTTGGAAAGGCGCAGCATGCAGTGAGTCGAGGATGAAAGTGCTGATCGAGCACATAAGTGTATCCAGGGATGTCACGAGTGCCATCATTCTGAGAGAATAACCTATCGATCGGAGAGAACGAGTTTGATAGACTGGGTTGGACGCTTCGAAGGCTACGGGTGCTAGTGCGGATCTTCGATTCTTATAAACTTCTCTGATTCCTCGAAAAACTGCGATAAATGCATCTGCCTATTCCCAAAATAGATACCCTGCATCCCTGCTAGTGCATGGAGAAATGTACCTGGACATCGCCAGAGTCTCAGTGGGGAACTTAATCCACTCTCCACTCTTCCGTAGAGATCCAGGGTTGGTGTATCATCGCTCAGGTATGGATCGGGCCGTCGATCTACGTGACTTAGTGTTACCATGGCATTAGCTTGATCCTTTGACCTTGCTAAGTTAGTAGTCTCATCGAGGGATGCGCGATTTTTGTGATAGAATAGATGGAGTCTAAGGATTCAAGAAAATACTAGGAATCTCGGTGACCTTAGGCCTCCAGTTAGTGCGATGCCACGTCGTAGTAAATAACTCTCCATACGTCATTTATTTTCCTCCCCTCCACGTATCTTCTATTCTTCCCCCTCTCTCTTTTTGACATCTCGGTTGCCAGCGCGTGAGCGAAATAGCTCCGAAGGACGCGAGTGACCGTATCTAGTATATGTTTTGAATGCCATAATGATAGAGAAAGGTGGACGTGGTCATATGATGGGACATTAAAAAGCTATGATTCTAGCATCCAAGTGATAGAAAACTTGGTCATATGACCTAACTTTCTAGGAATTAGGTAAAACATTGCGATTAAAATGCAGGGTTTTTGAAGATAGAAGTGAGAATCTATACAGAATCTATAGTCGCAACAGATTAGGAAGGCGGTAATTCAACTTTCAGTTAGGGGCGGCAGAATATTTAGACGCGGGGTTGTTTGTACTGAAAGGAGGGTGTTCCTGAACTAAGGAACGCTAGCAAAATACTAATGCCTGATAGCCCATGCCCCCATCGAATGTCACAATCGGTTTCTAGAAGACTAAGAGCTATGATTGTGGCTGGATCTGCCTGCAAAACAGGCAGGTAGATAGATAGCACCGGATACGATCGGATTCCCGAACGCAAAAGTTGTAGCGTGATCGTGCCAAGAGGGTTTGGTACGCCCAGTCAATCATAACCTCTCCCTCGATCATGGAGTTTCCGATCGGGTATCTTTCATATGGCATCAGTATGCAAAAGGTACAAAAGGTACGAAAGGTACAAAATTCACAAAATGCTACATACTAGCCACGAAAACGTGGGTGTGGATCTTATTGGGGTAAGCTTGTTTCCCCGAGCCAATGGCGACTATGAAACCTCCAACTGTGACTCGACTTATCAGTGAATTGCGGAAATAGCTCTGGGAAAGATAAGAGATGTATATTGTACTAAGAGAATTAATCTCCTGGCTAGTCCATTTTGATCCAGTAAAGTCCGGTACCCTAAATTGGTCACCTTTTCGCTAGATCCTTATCACTGGAAGTCCTCGATAGCAATGCAACAACTGAGACAAATAATAAGCGGTAGTGGAACGTATATATATGGCAGATAATGTCCCGGCTTTTGATAAAAGTACCTTTTGAAGACTATCAATCTTTAGCTGATCATCATGGTCGCTCCTCCTAGTTCCTATGGGCTACCGGCTCTGTTGTCGGCCCTGCTGTCACTTTCCACCACCGCCATCGCGACAATCACCTCGAAGGGTCAGACCGTGGAGCTCAATGGAAACAACTATTATATTCCTCCTACAGTAGTAGCTACCCTGAAAGCCGATTCGCACGTGTTCAGCAAACTCAATGGCTTGCAGCCTCTGACGGTCATTCGGAGCGATGCCGTGAAGCTGACAAGCTCGATCCTTGATTCCTTGGTAAGCAGCTACGAGTCTGCTGACGATGTCTTCAACACTGGCTTCCTCGACAACATCTACGTCCAGTATAACGGTACCTCCAAGCGTCCCTCGGAGAATGTGTCAACCCATTCCTCGTGGGGCCCTAAAATCTTGGGGTATGCATCTGCATATGATACCAAGAAATCAAAGACATTGACCTCTTCATCGCCCCTGCCTGCTGGTCCATATTTCTTGGATCCATCCAGTGGAGCCGTTTTTGAAGCTTATCGGTTGTATTCCGATGTTATGGGCTCTTTCACCCAGGGATTGGTCTCTGTTGGTGATAATACATATGATGTTTTGCCGGCAAGCTTGCAGGGCTATGCGTCGTTGACCATTGGTGTTCCTTCGCGGCTGTATTATACCAAGACAGCCGATAAGCCTTTGGCTGGTGTATGTATTCCACTCGTCTATTATGCAAGAGAATGCAATACTGACTATCTTCCACTCATAGGTTCGTCTGGGTGTTAAAGATATTTATGATATCAAGGGCGTCAAAACCGGCTGTGGCAACCGCGCTTACTATGAAACGTACCCAGCCGCTAACGCTACTGGCCCTGCAGTTCAATCCCTCATTGATGCGGGCGCCATCATCGTCGGAAAGATGAAGACCAGTCAGTTTGCCAACGGTGAGAGCGCCACTGATGATTGGGTCGACTACCACTCCCCCTTCAACGCCCGCGGTGACGGATACCAAGATCCTAGCTCATCTTCGTCCGGTCCTGGTTCCGGTATTGGATCTTATGACTGGTTGGATTTGGCAATTGGAAGTGATACCGGAGGCTCAATTCGCAACCCTTCACAGGTGAATGGATGCTTCGGCAACAGACCCTCGTGGAACTTGGTCTCCTTGGATAATGTTATGCCCATGTCCCCGCTTTTGGACACCGCCGGATTCTTGACAAGAGATGTGCAGCTGTGGCGCACTGCTGCGGAGGTGATGTACAAGGATGCAGGCCTGAAGTCCTACACCAAGTACCCAAAGTCTATCAAGACGATCCAGTTCCCAACTAATGCATCGACCCTAGCTGAGGGCCTTTTGATTGATTTCGTCGACAAGCTGTCGTCCTTCTTGGGTGGTGCGAATGTTTCTGCATTTGATTACGATGCTCTCTGGGAATCCACTAAGCCTTCGACTGTTGCCGCCAATGCGACCCTCGACACCATGTTGCCTCTCACTTACCCTATCCTCATTTCGAAGCAGCAGTATCCCCTCATTGGCGCACCGCTGTATGCAGACTACGCGGCTGCCAATGGAGGTCGCAAGCCCTTTATCAACCCCGTGCCTCTGTCCCGTTGGAATTGGGGACTTGGATACCCGGACTCGCAACTGGAGACCGAAATTGAGCACAAGAACATATTCACCACCTGGTGGAACACAACTGCCCAGGTATTCGACGAGGAGACTTGCTCAGACAGCCTGATTCTTTACATTGGAGCGGAAGCGACACCAACCTACCGCAATGTTTACCGGAGGTATGTGCTTGTCCTTTCTGACACTCTAGGATATTTGATGGACTGTTTGCTAATCCATTGTATCATATAGCATGCCAGGTGTCCCGGCAGGATTCGGTACATCTCGTATCGCCAACTTCGCTGGTGTGCCCGATATGGTCGTTCCAAGTATGCTAACCCAAATATTACTTGAACAAGGACTGTATAACTAATGACAATTATAATTTAGTCGGCCAAGCGCTGTACAACTCCACCATTACCCTGAAGCAGGAATATCTGCCTGTCGCGGTGGATTTCCTCGCACCTCACGGCTGTGATCTGATGGTCTTCAACCTGATCAATGAGTTGGTGGAAGCTGGTATCGTGAAGCAGCCTGGCACTGGATCCACTTTGTATGGAGACGAGGTGACTTACTATTGAGTAAGGAAATAAGTAGCTAGTTGCCCAGCTGGGGTGTGGTTGTACAGTCGTTGATAGATTCAGTCTTATATAGATTCTTTTCTTCCGCAAGGTCATCATTTGCCTTCTAGCCTTATATAGTTCAATCTAACAATTTCAGACACGGATTTTTGCATGAGTAACTTCACACCTGGGTGAGCTTACACAGGTTGATAATGATTCTGTATATATTAGCCATAACCCCACGGGCTGCACTTGATCCTCTATGGGGTCGATCACTCAGTAAAAAATGCCTCAGCTGCCATTGAAATGCTCTTTCCTTCTCATTTCGAATGTATTCGGAAAGAGCAATGGGTATCATGATAATCAGGCAGAAACGGATACATATTCAGGCATCAACATGTGACAGACCCACCTTCCCTTTTCGGAAGCATGTTTCCCCAGGTTCCTTCCTATAAATTAAAGACGAACACTTGTTCTTCGACCCTCCCCCCCAGTGGCTTAGCGGATTAAACATGCAGGTAGCTCCGGCTGCCGGCGTTCGATCTGCTGGGTCCGCGATTATAAACATATGCATTCCAACCTATGTCGGCTGGCGTGGCCTAGGCATAGGGTACTGGCATGGGAGTTGTCACCCTCTTTTTTGGAAATTCATTCTTAACATATTTGTCTCTATTATTGCGTGGTATCTCTGCACCTATGCACAATATTACTTGAGAAAGCCTGATCCTCTTTCTCACTCGTCCACACCAGATTGGTGAAAGAACTCGAGTACATTACAGTACTCTATGTATCACAGCACCCAGTCCAATACACCAGCCCATGTTAAACTAGCCTGAATATGCAGTCTACCGTCAGATACCTGACACAAGAAGAGAGAAAGAACACAGAAGTTGAAATAGAAATTCGAAAAGGAAATATATTCGGTCATTGGGTATATAGCTTTCCTGAAGATAGTGTGTTGAATCCAATCATCGAGATAAAGAGCAAGGTCACCGACAAGCAAAGTAGACTTGGATGTCGCAGGCTTCGTCGATATGTTGAGGCGCAGTGTTTCATCAAGCTAATAAGTAAAAGACATGCAAATGCAAACTGAAACGGTCGAAATCCGATCCGTTCGTGAGATATATACATAAAAAACAAAGGCTGTAAACAAGTACTTGGGCATGGGTATCGGCAATGCAATATTTGCAAGGAGGATATAAAGGCAAGTGACAGTGCCCATATAAAGTTTCGAGCTCTAGACTTGTCTAGAGCCATACACATACACGCCGATGGAGCGATGTAGTGAGATGCGTTCAAATGATGCTAGCAATCGTCATTCGTGAATGCGCCGAACTCGACCTACCAGAAGCCGAATCCGACCCAAGAGAAGCCTTGTAATTCTCCTCCTGCTGCCGTTTCTGTTCCTGAAAGAGAACGCCTATAGACTGCTCGATCCACGTCCACCCCTCCCAATCTGTATCCGTATCCATCTCCGTCCGATAGTTCGAGGAGGTTGTAGGCATCGGGGCCCCCATCCCCTCCAATTGAGACCCCGTCTCGGACCCGTGCCATATCCAGCTGCCGTCGCTGGTCCCTTGCATATCGCCCGAGACATACGCCATCATTTCTTCGTTGCGGTCGAGATCAGGGACTGAGGCACTGGAATTGGCGATGCAGCCGAGTAATTTGCGCATGAAGAAGGAGATATAGCGCCCGCAGGCTGCGTTGACAGTGCGCACGTCGCCGACTGCTGAGAGCGCTTTCACGCATACGAGGGCGCCGCCGTATTCACCGCGGAAGAGGAGGAAGAGCGTGCAGCGCCAGACGTGTGTGCAGAGGAGGGCGCTGGCGCTAGAGGCGAAGTGCGAGTGGGGGTCGTAGATGCATGGTGGTCTTGGGCGTACTGAGTAGTTGCGCATACAGCGGGAGAGAATGTTGGCTGTGTCGAGGGCTGTCGAAACGCAGTAGTCTAGTGCGGAGGTGCGGACGATGTCTGGACAGAAGGGGGAGATGTTGTGGCGGTGGAGGAGGAGGCGGGCGTTTTGGAGGTAGATTACCGGGGCGAGAGAGCGAGGGTCGAGGTCTTCGTCGGTCTTAGGGTGGAATTGAGAGGGGAATGTTGCAAGGCAGGTGTTGAAGTGGAGTTCGAAGGTCTCGAGGGTGGCGGGGCTGATGGTTGCTGAACGTAGGGTGCGTGTGAGTTGGCCGATGGACCGGACGACGTGAATCGTAGCTAGCAAAGGCGTGGTTTGCTGGTTGTCTGGGATCTTGCCTCCTTCTGTGATGTACTGCTCGTCCACGGGACATGGGAGATCGATATCACAATCCTGATCGTTGATCAATACTGGCTTCCCCATTTCCAGCGCAAGTATTCGGTCCCAAGCGTATAACCCCCACCAAACACGCTTCCGCATCTCCCCTTCGACGGCAGGCCACGGTCCGGAGTCGATGTGCAGTCCAATCTCTTGAGCCACGCGCACCGCCGAGCCAATCCACACCCAACTAGCCGACTTCGAATTGACCTCGTAGAGAAAGATGCTTGCTAGCAGCGCCGCGCGAGCACGATCCAAATTGAAGACGTCGTGCCAGACATCAATAATCCCACAGGATGTGCGTACGTACTTCTTCCCTTGCTCCTCTCGATCCTCGTCGTTTGTGTGGATGACACCGCAGGCAAACACACCAAACAGCACCGCCGCCCATTCATTCGAGACACCCAACAACGACCCCATCCGATAAACCTTTTCATACTCTGCGATAAATATAGGCCAATGGAGCACTGGAAGTACCGAGTGAATGCAACTGAAATACTGGGCCAGTAGTTGATCTGCTATCTTCTTCGCCGGTAGGATCGGCGCATTCCTAGTCACCAATGACTCCGCACCCTGTTGGCGATACGGCGTGGGCACCTTCATGATGCCCTGGCCGTAATCGCGGAGATTAGACCGCACGTCGGAGAAATCCTGCGGGATGGGCGCCCTCGAACGGCGCACCGGTCGATATTCAATCTCAGGCAACTTAATCATCTGCGAGACACCCTCGTCAACATCGACCATGCGATCCGGCCGCATCATGCCCGTCTGCAGGTGCTGTAATTGCTGTTTTGTAGTTTGCAACTGCTTCTCCAGATCCTGGACTTGCTTGATGGACGACATGCGGCGGTTCGTCTCTTTGGTAAACTGACAGCGGACCCTGCGATTGTTACATTCGGTGCAACTGGACGACTCCGAGGCGTCGCATTTGACCTTACGCTCGCGACACGCATCGCAGCTGGGGTCTTTTCTACGCTGGCGATATGCGCGCTTCTGCTGTAGCTGCGCGGCGGTCTGTTGGCTATGCCCCGGGCTGGTTTGGTACAGCCCCGAGCCCATTGAAGGCGCATCGGGAAGCGTGGTTTCGCCCGGGGAGCCCGAGGCGGAGTCATAGTAACGCTGGTACGGGGATGTCGCCGGCGCCGCTGGGGGCATCGGCTGCAGTAGATGAGACATTCGCATCCCGCTGTCAGGCCTGCTCGGCGGAGCGGAGAGCAGCGCGGGAGCCGGGAATGCGCCCGACGTCACCGACTGCACGGATGGGAGTTCGTAGCCCTGATTACCACGAAAATGAGAGGGCTGCATGTTGGGATGTATTTCTCTAGTCAAATAGAGAAATCTGGGAGAAACAAATTAAAAGTCCACGTGGTGAGAATCGCGTAAGATAAGGACTATCGCCACAGTTTCGTCAAGATTCCGATTTCCTTAAAAAGGTGTTATTCGAATGCAGACTGCAAAGCCATTGTCGAGATCGAAATAGAAAAGGAAAATAGGAAATTCAGAAATTAGCCAGAAAAGATTTGCAGCCTAAAGCCCGGCACAATAGAGTATGTAAATGCCGAGGTTGGGACAGATGAAGATCAAAGAATCCTGTGAAGAAAGGGAGATTGGGGAATGTCAAATCAACTCAAGGGAAAAAAAGAAAAGAAAAGGGAAATGCACAGAAAATAATAAAAAACGAACTATAGATCGACGCAGAGTATTACGATCTTCCGTACTCCGTCGCATATATGGTTAAGGAATCTTCAGCGGATCTGAGCCGAGACTTGACTATTTCCTCTTCTCTATAGCGCAGATGTACATCTTAGACTGGTAAGACAAGCAAGTGATCCCGAGATCGGCAGTGGAGGTGGCAGTGGATTGGGATGGACGAGTCAGTAGTTGTATTTCCATGAACTCCCATTTCCATTTAGTGCAGAGTGCATAGACAATTAATCTAGTATACTTCGGACTAGTAATGCTAATATAAGAGTATATAGCAAACGAGGGCGAAAAAGAGGATACGTCCACGAAGATCTCGTCCCTCTGCACAAGCCCTGATGATCGACTTCGGAAGTGCACCGGGACCACATGGAATCGGATGTGTTGGCCCGAATTTCTCTTTTTCTTTTGCTTTTTAGCTTTCGACTTGGCCGTCCAAGGTTTGGCTGTGGCTTTGGCTGGTTTCCCGAGCTTTAACCGAACGCTGTCCAGGGTTGTATATCTCCTACGGCGTCGGGTACATGGGTTAGGGCTCGACTCTGTCACTCCATGTCCCAAGATAGCCCAACTTGAATCGCCAAGCCATCTCTAGTCCGGGTTTCCCTCCAATCTGGGTCGACTACCGAGAATGGAGAATATCTCCAGCGCAATCCCACTGGTGCCTTGGTTGCACGTCATTGGGCTTTACCGGTGGATAGAGTGGACTGTGAATGATGTGCAGAGGGGAAAAGAAAGAAAAGGGCCAAAAGAGCAAAAACAGCAAAAACAGCAAAGATCGTGGGGCACAGACAGCATCAGCCGCTTGGATACTCCGTACTTTGGGAGTCTTTCGTTAAACATTGCCAGGTCACGGATGCGCCCTCGGAACTTTCCCGGTCGGCTCATCAAGCGAGGGTAATGATTCCCCCGACTCACCGGGTGGTATTGCCAGTCAACATGATTTGACTAGAATCAGCACAGGTATAGTGCCACCCATGAGCCCATCCACTTCCAATGTCGCCATCCCAAGCCCTTTTTCCCCGCACACCCCCTCGGTTAGAAAGCACTCTACTCCGTACTTCCAAGGAACTCGCCCCGAGACCCCCAACCCGTGACAGTACGGCGTACTTTGCCGACGAACTTAATTTGAATGTTTTCAATTTAAAAAAAGAAACAAATAACCGCCTATCATGACCCCAACTTGGCAAGGACCGACATGCGTCTTGCAGCTAAACGCTTAACCCTAACCAAATAGGTTTTCTGCCGGAACTAATATCCATATCTTATGCAGGGGAGTCTGCAATGGCACGTGTAAGTGCATTGACCGCGCCCCTCCCCAATGATATCTGCAGAAATATATTTTGATGCTTTGTTGGGTTGCTAGTTTGAAGCTAGACACGAGGGCCTGGTGCCCTGCTTAGGTTTCGGAACTTGCGGTGTGGTGCGAGGGCTCCAATTGGAACACTTCCATATCTGCGACGGGCAATCGGCCCCCATTCTAATTTTATACTTTCGACATACATATCATGGTACGCGACTATCAGCAGCCGCTACCGAGCCGTCCACGGGTCCAATTGTATACGATAAAAGACACCGTCGGCCGGCTCCGAGGGGAAAAGAGCCATAGTGTGACATTGCTTTGACCTTTGCCCCCACTTTCAAGGGGCAGGGCAGATACGACTCTGTGTCTGGGATAAACCAGGCGATGTCCACTTGACTCTGGGGGCATTGAGAATGGGCAATCCAGATCAAGATACAACGTACGTTGGAGCAAATAATATGTTCACCTCTGTGTGCCCACGGCTCAACGCCCCACAGCGGGACAACGATCGAGATGAAACACCCGTTAACCGAGTCATTCCGATTTGCTCTGCTTGCCAACTGTCACGGTTGTCAACCCGAGACTCCCGATGTCTTCCGTGTGCTAGTCGGCGGGTGTCACAGACCAAATGGGGGGTTTCCTCGACGGACCGGAGATGTTTCGGGTTGTTTACCGAGGAGATGGAGGTTCGAAGCTTTTTTGGGTTTGGGTTTTTTTTCGCTTGTATTGTGGGGAGAATTTTGTTTTTCCTATTCTTCGTTCATTGTGGGTCTGATGATGCGATTGTTAGGAATGGAATATGAAGTTATGCAAGTGTCGATATGCCACTGTGGAGTTTGAAGAATGTCCACATTGGATGCAATAGTGATAAGCACAACATAGATACCTGGTATCCTGGTGAAAAGTGGAATCAACGTGCATGTGATGTCTCACATGCGGCAATTAAGCTTAGTTATATTTGCGTCTGAGATACAAGTTGATTTTCTATTACGGCTGAACGTATCATCCACATGGAAACTGTGGTATGTCCTCGAGTAAGGGCATCTACTTATGGTTGGTAGGATCTCCATGAACCCGACACAACTATAAATCCCTTTCGACTTTCCTTGCCGGTGACCTGGTGACCGCTTCCCGGCGGAGACTGTTGAAGGCTAGTGTTGGGATCTGGTTGAGATCGGTGGTAAGTTAGGTTGAGTAATCAGGCCAGTGATAGATCCAATTAGGTACTTTTTTCTGACCGTCGATTGGAATAAATTTGCATTTTTTCAAACGTTTATTTAGCATTCCCAGCCTTCTCCTGTTTGTGCTCTTCCCATTTCTCCGTGATCACGTCGACGATCTTGGTCAGCCCTTCGATTTCCTCCGCGACTTCCAATCCCATGCTATGTGGGTCAATACTGCAACCAACATAGACTGGCATCGAAAATCTTCGAGCCAGGATCTTGGATATGCGCGTTGTATATTCGATGCTAGATGGTGATGTGTAGAGCGTTGTTGATATTGTCGACTTGGGCGAAGTGCGCTGTATAGATGTCAGCCAAATCCTGATAGCAAGTAATTATATTGGAAATATCAGCAATATGAATTATCAGGTTCGGGGATATCCGTTTAGCCTGACAACTCCTCTGCCAATGGGAGCTTGAGGTTGGGGTGCGCGGCATATTGCAGCATATCCCACTCCGACTGAACAGAGGAGCCCCATTTCGGGGCTATGCCAAACAATAAGGCCATTCCTCCATATGGTATGACATGAGAAAATGACATTGTCTTTCCTTGAATATGGCAAGGATTCCACACTTGGCAGATAAGGTACTTACATCGGGCATCGCATAGACGAAACTTCCCATGGGTTTGATAGAACCGCCCGAGTCGCCTGGTGATGAGGTAGCCAGGAATATTGTGGCACAATTACCCAAGAAGGTCAAATGAACATGTGCCGTCGTATGCAAAGCTCTGGGCAAGCTGAATGAGAGCTCTTGAGGCCTGACGGCGGGAGTGGCTAGCTCTGCCGAAGGAACGGCTGGTGGGGCTTCGGTCGCCATATTTGTGTTCACCGATTCTCGGTGTAAAGGAAGAAATCTGTGGCGAGAATGGTATTTAGACAAGTTGTTGAAAGTCGGGAATTCGATATCGAATCCCCGCTCTACAATACGGTGCGCCATAACAGCCACTATTGGTTCATTCCCTTAAGGTATTATGCCGGCAGAAAACCACTTGTCCTCCTTTTGTCTCTTTTTCAACAGTCAAATATAGGCAGATGAAGGATCATCGGATCCCTAACGTCTAATGGATGAACAGATGCATATATATATTTCTATATTATATTTGTTACAGGTATACACCCATCCTATGATGTTTCTGTTCCCAGATGAGAAGGCGGAGAGTAGAGCGGTAAATAAATTTACCCAATAGGAGGGATTCCCACTTGTTTTGTCTGCCCCTCCATATACTCTTCTCGTTTTTTCAACAATTGTTCCTCCTTCGTCACTATCAGTTCACTCATGGGACGGGTGAACCTGTAGCATTGACCAGCACCTTTAGTGTGGAGCTAGGCTGACAACCTCTGCATGGCCGAGCATCAAAAGCCGGAGACCGGGGAGGAGGAGAACGGTTGGGGAGGTGACTTCAACCCTTTCGCTGATCCTGAAGAGCGTAGGGTGCTATTTGCTGCATTCGACTCATTCAGGTACGTGGATGGACAGTTGATTACAATATTTTCTGCCTCGAAACAACCAATTAACATACAATCGCAAAGTTCTGGCTAATATATCCACAGACAATATCGGCGAAATGCGCATATGAATACTACCCATCGTCGACGGCAAGCTTTCTATGCCCTGCCCTCGGCACACTGGCAGATGCTCTCGGAGCCTCCGTTCTCCATCCTTGATAACTTCAATAAAGTGGACGATGCCATTGATACCAACGCCGATATCGCCGATGCAATTCTGGCGGTGGGTCTTCACTCATTCGGTCTTTCAGCAAATCCCGACAAAACGGACCCTACTCAATATTGGCATGACGTAGCAACCTCATCAGATGTCAACAAAGCGCATTCCACGATACGCCAGTTCTATCGGGACTGGAGCCTCGAAGGACGACCCGAGAGGGAAGTCTGCTATGACCCCGTTCTTCAGGATCTTCACGAGGAGTTCCAGACACGGCGTGATAGCGGTGAGCAAATCCGTGTTTTAGTCCCTGGCGCTGGCCTGGGCCGTCTAGTTTTTGAGATCTGCATGGCAGGCTATGATGCCGAGGGGAATGAGATCTCCTACCACCAGCTGCTAGCCAGTAGCTGGGTTCTGAACCATACTAACGGGGCGGCAAAGCACGCGCTTCATCCTTTTGCATTGCATTTTTCCAATCTCCAATCACGAGCACAGCAACTCCAGCAAGTTATGATCCCTGAGGTGCACCCCGGGTTCGCCATGCAGGAGGCTGCCAGTGCTGGTCACCACTTAGGTACAATGTCCATGACCGCAGCGGATTTTACCGTATTGTATACTCAGCCCGAGAGCCATGAGATGTTCGACGCAGTAACGACTGTTTTCTTCATTGACACGGCGCCAAACCTCATTCGGTACATCGAGACGATCCGACATAGCCTCAAACCAAATGGGCTCTGGATCAACGTGGGCCCATTATTATGGCATTTCGATGACGGCCACTCCCGTAGAGGAAGTGGCTCCGAATACGAGGGGGCTGGAATTGGCGAGCCGGGCAATGTGGAGTTATCCGAGGAAGAAGTGCTGAGCCTCGTGGAGCATATGGGCTTCCGCCTCGAGAAGCGTGGAGCTCGGAAGGCTTGCGGCTACATCCAGGACCCTAACAGCATGCTTCAGAATCTTTATCAACCCTCCCACTGGGTCGCGCGAAAACTGGCAGTTTAATGGGGCTGGTCGGTACAACATACCGCTTTTAAGATTCTGCCGGTTCTGCCGGTTCAAAACCCCATTCAAACAAAATAAACACACCAACCATGCTTCCTAGGCAGGCGGTATATAGGGCGGTATGGGAGTAGCCAACACACCTCGGAGGCTAGACAAGGCTGTGTTCCTATTTTTATTTTCTCACCTTTGGGGGCCAAACTTTGGACAAAGAAAGAGAGTAATCCAGCTGGGGGATTAGTGTTGGATCGGTGAAAAGGGGAGACTTGGGAACCTCTATAGTTATACTACCTCGATGTACATAGAATAAAACATGTCTCAAGAACATGTATATACTCCCTACCCCGCGAAGACCTGGGCGCCAAGAGAAACTGTGAGCCTGAATGCATTCGAATAACAAGAATTTGAATAATTTGGCGATTCACATGTTTATAGCGGAACTACTACTCCGTACTCGATTCTGGTATCTTATAAACAATGACTATATATGGGGCCACATTTAAGTAGAACTAGTATAAACCAGTTTCTCAGCCTCAACCAGAAGCCTCAACCAGAGAGTCGGGATTTAAATCGTCAATCTTCTTCATCTTCTTCATCTTCTAATAATTTGCTAATTTTAAAACTAAATTACTGTAAACTGATTATCTTCCGTGTTGTCATTCTTTCAGTCTCTTTGATCTCCACAATTTACATCCCTCAGCCTCACTTTCCCCCTCTTTCATCTTCCCCCCCCTTCCGGTTTCTTACTCTTTTCCCTTCCTTGTTGCCTCATATGGACCTCATGAGTTCCCGATTTAAGTCCTTTGGCTTTAGGAACAAAAAATCTCCTCCTAATTCCAACCCGATTGTCCCTCCCACCCCTTCATCACCCCCCTCCAGTTCATCAACAACAAGTCTTCCAATGAACCATCAACAGACCCAGCCCCAGTTAGGCCGACCGCCAAGTTACACAAACAACCGACCAACTAGTCCAATGGCGCATGGTCAACAGCCCCCGCCCATTACCACAAACCTCCAATACAACTCAAATGCTCCCTTGAACGGCCCGCCGGGGTATGGGATGCAGCAACAGCAGATGGCTCCTAGCATTCCACCGTCACTGTCCAATACCCAGTATCCAGGGCGCAACCCTGCGGTCGAAGTTGAGGGTGGTGGCCGGAGCAAGGCCCAACTGATTGTCGGTATTGACTTTGGTACAACCTTCTCGGGTGTCGCATATGCATTTGCGACCAACAACCAGGCCAGCGAGGACATCATCACGGAATGGCCAGGCGCCGGGACCCATGCAAAACAAAAGGTGAGCGCAACTTAACAAGTACACCCCAGGAAGGCTAGTCTGACAACGATCTGCTCTCCTAGATTCCTACCGTCCTCTACTACGACCAATACCAAAAGGTGGTAGGATGGGGCCCCGATATTGCCGACGCTCTCGCCCCAACCGGATACCCCAAGCCCCAAGTGCAGAAGGTGGAGTGGTTCAAGCTTCAACTGATGCTCTCTGGAAACACCTACATTGATCCCATCAACTTGCCCCCCCTCCCCCCGGGCAAGTCCGAAATCGATGTCGCTGCCGATTACCTCTTCAAGCTACGACAAGCCATTCGCGCTAACCTGCAAAAGGCCCTGGGAGAGGTGTTCACGCGCGAGGAACGCAATATCCGTTACTATCTGACGGTACCGGCTATTTGGAACGACGCCGGCAAGGCTGCGACCCGGACTGCTGCTATCCAAGCTGGCTTCTTGCGCGACGAGAACGATAACCGTCTCACGCTAGTCTCAGAGCCCGAGGCAGCCGCCTTGTTCTGTGCCAAGAGCGGACTGCTCAACTTGAAGGTGGGCGATGCTATTTTGATTGTGGATTGTGGTGGTGGTACCGTGGATTTGATCGCATATGAGGTGGAGGAAGAGTCGCCTTTCAGTGTGATGGAATGTACTGCCGGGTCTGGTGACTCGTGTGGTTCGACGGCACTGAACCGCAATTTCAGTAACATCTTGCGCGCCAAGATCCGTAAAATGAAGCTGCCGGATGGGTCACGGACTGCGGGCAAGGTCTACGCGAAGTGTATCATGGACTTCGAGAACCGTATCAAGGCCGACTTCCGCAATAATGGACAAAAATGGGCAGTGGACGTGGGTATCGAGGCCGACTTCCCCGATGCTGGTATTGAGGAAGGCTACATGACCTTCACGAACGAGGAGATCCTTCAGTGTTTCGAGCCTGTCGTGAACCGTATCCTCGAGCTGGTGCGCAACCAGATTATCGCCATTCAAGCACAGAACCGTCTGCTCCAGGTAAGAGCATCTCATCCTAGTCTCAATGCAGTGCTAACAATTGTGTAGAACGTTCTGGTCGTCGGTGGATTTGGTGCTTCAGAATACCTCTTCCAGCAGATCAAGCTCCACGTGCCACCACAGTATCAGACAAAGGTGGTCCGTCCGATGGACTCTGTGGCGGCCATTGTCAAGGGCGCAGTCACCGCAGGTATTACCGAGCGGGTCATCACGCACCGTGTGGCACGTCGACACTACCTCATGGCCACGCTTCAGCCATTCAAGGAGGGATATCACCCTGAACAGTACCGTGTACCAAGTTTGGATGGCCGCGATCGATGCAAGTACACCCGTCAAATCTTTGTCCAAAAGGGAGAGCGTGTCAGGATTGGCGAACCAGTCAAGGTCAGCTTCTTCCGTCAAGTTGCACCTGGCGCTACCCTCATGTACGAGGACGTGCTGTACGCCTGCGATGAGGATGTCTGCCCCGAATACACCAAGGATCCACGTAAGTTGAGAGATTGCATTTTCCTTGTACAAATTACTAATATTTTCCTAGGCATCAAGGAACTCGTCACACTCACATCCGATCTCTCTCGCAAGAACCTCGAGACCGACTTCGAGCGCATGGATACACCCCAGGGCATCTTCTACCGTGTCTACTTCGATATCTACCTTACACTAGACGGCAGTGAATTCAGCGCTGAACTGGTCTGCCAGAATGAGATCATGGGCCGCTGCCGTGCCAAGTTCCGGTGATCAACTTTCGCACACGGGAAACACATAAAACACAAATGCGCGCGCTGTATATATATCCCTCCTGGACGAGGCCCACGACAATATCGGCGTACAGAAGTGCGGCCATGACTTCAGTTTTATTGATTTGGAGGACCCTCACATTGGTTTTAGATCGGTGAACTGGTCACCGCTAGCCAGATGGCTAGGCATCACTGTTATCTGTGTCGATTCGCGTGGAACCCTGCGGTTCCTAAATATATGCCACAGGTTTGGAGCCATCTGTTTTGCCTACTTGTTTCGTTGGTAGTTCCTGTTGTGTTTCTCTTCTCTCCTTTTTTCTTCCCGCCTTCTTAGATACCTCTTTACTACCGTGTTCTATTTGAATGATAATAACGAGCTGTGGTTCCACCTGACTTATAATGTCTGGCTTTATCTACATATTCATACCATGTACCTATAATTATGAGGTATGAAGCAGATGCCATGAGCAAACATATCATGAAGTTCATCCATCCGCATGTTAATCTAGACAACAATTGAAGATTGTCAAACCTCGGTCCCCATTTTTAAGATAGATAATAGAAAATCATGAGAAATAAGTCCCAAGAGACAAAAAGTGATAGTGGTAATACATCCAATTCATCCTAATCAAGTCTCCAGGTTAATGCTCCGACCAAACCGCGCATAGAGTGCAACCTTCAGCTGCTGCATTTCCTCACGCAGCTCACCAAGCGAGTCCTCTAGCTTAGAAACATCTGCATCGATCTTCTCTGTTGATGTCGAGAGCATTCCCTGCGCGTCTGATAGCGGTAGTTGGAAGAATGAGTCGCCGATTTTGTAGCTGTGAAGGTTGTTAGTGATGGCTTCTTCCTGTTCTTGCTCTTTTTTAGGTTTCTTCGTAATACTCCGAGATGAGAATCACAGAGAAAAGCCACAACAGAACATGATCGAAAAAAACAAAAGCAAGAATAGATGGGAAAGGTATTCCTTACGGCACAAGCTCATCTTCATCAGCAAGCTCCAACTCCATCGAAACCTCTTCCAAATCTTCCTTATCCTTCTATAAACCAGTTAGCAAGAGATCCGATACATGGCAGAGAACAAAATCCTCAAAAGTCCAAAGTCCATACCTGCTTCCCCTTCAACTCCTCCTGAAGCACGGTCTCGCGCTGATGCAACCGACTGAACCGGTTGATCTTCTCCTGATCCTCGCGACGGACTTCATTCTCATCATTGGCTGATGTCTCGTCCGCTTTTGTGAGCTGCGCGTTGATCCGATTAGCTTGCGAGCTGGGCTTTGGTGGGGTTTGTCGCGTTTGAGCTTGGTGGGGGTTGGGCTTACCATACGCGGCTGCACCATTTTGGCTGTCTGGTGGGTGGTTATTTGGTTGGGCTTTGGGATTTGTTTGTTCTTTCGTGTCTGGGATTTGTTCTGTCCTCGTTGCGGGTTGGTTGGTTTGCGCGTTTGATATCGGGTTTGAGTGGGTGGTCTGTGCGTGGCGATGAGCTGGATGAGGTTGGTGTTTGTAGGGATAGGGATCTATACAGTAGAATATATAGGTTGCAGAGTATTAATAGGCCTTATGTAGGCTTCTTTTTCGGATATATCGGTTCTTCTATTTTGCTTCTATCTTCTTTACATCCATACATCGGGTGTTAGGCCATCGGGTACTGAGGTGACATCTGGAGTGACATCATAGGCTACTTTCTCTGAAGAATATAAAAAACATGTTGAAAAGTCATTGAACTATTAAACTCCAGAGATAGCTTCAAATACTTTGAGGCATCTTCATTCCGAGTTGAGTGAAGCACATTTTAGTGCCAAAACACCGCCACCGGAGAAACGAAACACCTCCGTAGGATCATCCCCGTCATCGTCACTTTTCAACCTCACAGGGACCCCGAACTCGGTAACCAGTTCTCCTCCATTTTCGATCAAACTGCACTGGTTACACTTGTCCTGTGTACAGCTGTCCCTCGTGACCATCTCCACTTGAGCTATCGAGCTCCGTTCGCGCGAAAGCCTCATCCCAGCCTTCACCCGCGTCCTTCCACTCTACCCATCGCCACCTAACTACCCAACGGCACATTGACCAAAATGCGAATACAATCAAGCGGAGTTTCACTCCTCCTCTCCGCCCTCCTACCGAGTCTGGCATCCGCGTCCGGATTCGACTGCGCGCACATCAAGCTCGACAATTACAAATACGATCTCAGTCCCCTAAAAGGCGTTCACGAGGTGACCCACACCGTGACGACGGATGACTTCGTGACGAATACAACCTATCGATTGAATATCTGCAATATCCTCGGCGGCGCTGCTCGGTACGGCGATGCGACGTGCGGCACTAGCAAAAACGGTACGTTCTAGGCTGAGATGACACGACCATGTTGAGTTGGTCATCTGCTTGGGGTGTTCACGCTAATTTATGTATTTCTCCAGTTTGCGGATTCGTGCATCGAGTAGCAAAGGACGGAAATGGCGGCTCTACATTCGGTTTCCCGATCGTTGGGCTCGACCCCGTTGGCCAGGGCTCGAAGAACCCAGAACTGAAGCGATTGAAGGATCTCGACCCGGAAACGGAGGGATTACGCGTTAAATTGGAAGGCGGCTCATACAAGGGAGATGGCAATGACCAGAATGCCAAGAAGGCAGGCGCTATCATTGACTTCCAGTGCGACCACGACCGATCTGGACTGGAGGGCCTGAATACACTTGGAGATGACGTCGAGACGAAGGAGCGACGACGGAGAGCGGATGGCGAGGAAGGTGGCGATGTGCCCTCGGGCAACAGCAGCAGTAGTCTGCAGTTCAAGAGCTTTGGTCCGTCGGATGATGATACTTATATCCTGAGATTGGATTGGCGCACAAAGTATGCCTGCGACGAGTACGATAAGGAGAAGGGTGATACCCCCGGATCTAAGAGCTGGGGCTTCTTTACCTGGTTGCTTATCATGTGAGTTTTTCTTCGTTCTTAGGAGCTTCATTTTCTTGTGGCCTCCGCATTAAATTGCCCTACTAATCATTCTATTCAGTGCCTTCCTCGGCATCGCTGCCTATCTCATCTTCGGCTCCTGGCTCAACTACAACCGTTACGGCGCCCGTGGCTGGGATCTCCTCCCCCACGGCGACACCATCCGCGATATCCCTTACCTCTTCCAGGACTGGCTCCGTCGTGTGGTCAATACTCTGCAAGGAGCGGGCTCGCGCGGTGGCTACAGTGCGGTATGAAGGAACTTAGCTTGGATGGACTGGTTTCTATAGTGGTTTGTACTTTTGGATGAAGATACCATATCTTCTTTTTCTTGCTGGGCTGTTTCGGCCGGGGTTCAATGCCTTGCAGGTTGTGTATGTTTCTTGATGAGTTTTGGCGCTAGATGAGGTGTTTATATGCTTGGCCATAACGAATGATATGATTCCAGGCCAGTTATTACGATCTTCGCGTCCTTTACACTAGAGTCACTTAGCCCTTCTATAATGTTGTAACCTAGGATGCAGCATTGCGTCTACCCATGCTTGCGCCGATCACCGAAGATTGCTAGTGAGACTGTTGCCTGTCTCTGACGTGTCAGTCTTCGGTTTGTATGGGGCAACACTTCCCCAGACGTTTATCGAAGTTAACGATACCTCAGGACATGGCACAACCATGAGTGTCTGAAAAGCCAAGGCTGTTAAATAGCAATCTACTCGCAATCTACTCGTCATAATCTTCTGTAAGATCCACATTTCCGCCGAAGAAGTCTCAAGGTCTTCTAGAGCCTCGATCATCGAATTGGTAGGAGCTCTTGCAATTCAAGTCTACAGCTTCCTCCCAACGTCTAGAGCTGTCTAAAACCCAGATAACTAAGCAGTCCCAAGTCACCGCACGGGCAGGCAACAAACAAGCTTACGCTACGCTTTGAAGGATCCCGTGCCTCGGTCCCTGTAGTCCACTCTTGTTCTGTCCTCTGACTCGTATCAAATGCATTGACTTTACCCACTCTTGCTCACGAGAACCGTCAATGGTTACTCACTAAGCACTAAAGAGGCCTTATGCCTTCTCAACAAACATCCTCTCTCATTGACTTGATTAAAGCACACTGTGTTTCGCATACCATAAGGCTAGCCCTGTAGAGTCTAGACTTCCTAATTCAGAAATAGTTATATGTTGTATGTTGTAGGTAGTATTGAATATCGGGCGTGCCTCCTGGCCAAATGCATGCAAGTGGCTCCATTATCAACGGCCTTCCCACGCTACACTGTACTTCGTACTTATTGGCGAACTTCAGGATCCGGCCTCTCGGAAACTTGGCACTTCATTGACAACAGCCCAGTGCCAAGACGACAATGAGACTGATCCACCTTCGATCTACGCTTTATCCCCTTAATCTGGTAGTCCGGACCGATATTCGGACTCCGATTATGTCCAACGATTCAATTTTTATGCTGTTGGGCATGCAGGAAGAGTAAAGAGGGGCTAGTAGCTCGGGGAGATTCGTAAGGAGCTCGTGAAGACTCGAAACATTGATCAGGGAGACTCCAAATTCCATTAACTGGCGTTCCTAAACTGCCTAGATCGTGAATCCTAATCGGGCCCTGACGAAGTTATCTCAGAAGGAAGACCCTTGATCGAGAATAATAGATGTAGAGATGGTGTAAAATAGGTGTCTTCTTCCTGATTGGCTAGACCTTCGTCCTAATTCGGTAACTCGAGTTTTACGAGTCTTCCCGATATTAAACCAAGAAAGGGGCAGATTTTGCGTGCCAGAATGGTAGTTGCCAAGCCGAAGAATTGCGTCGGCGCTCGAGCTTGCAAGGTCGGTGGATTATATTGACGAACGAGATAGGCGGAGTTGCCTAGGTCAGCAGGATATTGTGCAAGATCAAAGGGATATCTCCGTGCCAATTTCTTGGCATTCGGGTTTCTCGCTCCAGTACCCGAGCCCTAATTGACGTATCGAGGGTCGGTAGTTGTGCGTAAGAACTGATCGTCTCTCTCTTGCATACTGCAGACCCTGATCTTGTTGTACGTCGACTTAGGCGCATAGATATACACCCCTTGTGCAGACAGGGTATATCAAAACCCCAAGGTACAACAATAATGTATCGGTAACCGACGGAAGAGGCTTTCTCCGTTCATCTCGAGCCACGACGATCATTGCCTTGTTTCGAGCCCTGCAAGTCACAGCTTCATTTGACAGAGCCAATCAGATGAATGGTCAAATATTCTGCAGGACTTTTCAGTGGTCGGTGGTCACTCGCTAGCTTGCTTCATCAGATAAGATGAAGGCCCGCTAATAACGCGGACTTCATTACGCGAAGGTGGGCCTGTGGAGGAGAGAAGTGCGCTACGGTCCTTCAGGCCTGTTTCCCCTGCAGAAGTTTTATGTATAAGTATGGCGGTGCCAGAAATAACGGGCTCCGGTCCTTGAACTGCTGTGGTGCACTGACTCATTTTCACTATGCATTTTCCCGCTTCAATTGCCCTGCTGGGCCTTGCCTTGCCGTCGGCTTTGGCTCTTTGCCCATATGCAGAGCAGATGAACCTTGAGAAGAGGAACACGCCCTCTCCGCATGCGCACGAACCGCGCAAGGCGGCGTCGTCTGACAAGAAGGGAATCTTCTACATGAACCGCATTGCTCCCGGGACATCAGAGCTTTATGTTGCCAATGTTGATGGCACTGATGAACGTCCTCTCCTCTCCAACTCTATCTATGAATACCATGCCACCTTTTCCCCCGATGGAGAATGGATCACCTTCACCGGAGAGCGCAATGGTGACGGTAATTCGGATATCTACCGCGTCCGGACCAACGGGTCTGACCTTGAGGAGTTGGTAGCAACCTCCTCGGTGGAAGACGGAGCTGTCGTGTCTCCGAATGGAAAGCAAGTCGCCTATGTGTCCACTGCCAATGGTTACAAGGCCAACATCTGGGTCCTGGATCTGGAGAGTGGCAAGAAATGGAACCTCACAGATACCGTCTCGACTGCCGCCAATACTTCTCTTCCTGATGGCTATTTCCGCCCTTCGTGGTCTCCCGACGGCCAATGGATTGCTTTCTCGTCGGACCGTAACACTGGCTGGTACGGACACGGAGACCCCATCTTCCAAGGTGTCACCGGCTGGGAACATACACAGGAGCTGTCCATCTATGCTATCCGCCCCAATGGATCTGATTTCCGTCCCGTCGTGTCGAAGTCTGGTTACTGTCTTGGTTCGCCCAAGTGGTCTCCCGATGGCGAGCGTATTGTTTACTACGAGATGACTCGTGAGAACACCTGGAACGCTCACCGTCCTGAGTCACTCAACTCTGCCAACTCCAGCATTGTCTCCGTGGAGTTTGCCACAGGCGCTAACCGTCGCGTGGAAGCCGAGGGAACTGGCGTGAAGCTCTTCCCTCAATATCTCCCCAACGGCACTATCGCCTACGCCGGCAAGGGTTCCGGTATCGAAGGACTCCACACCACTGCCGGTGGATACGTGAACACCACTAGCGAGATTATCCGCTCTCCTGCCTGGTCTCCAGATGGCAAGAAGGTCGTCTATGAGAAGAACGCCTGGACTATCCGTCCTATGGACAAGAAGTTGTACAGCTGGGACACGGAGTGGGAATATCGCTTCACCGACGTCTTCCCCCAGTTGTCCAGCACCAACAAGATCGCTCTGACTGAGAAGCAGCTTGGAAACTCCTCCATTGTTTCCTTCAACGCCAACGGAACCGACGAGAGCCTAGTCTACAATGACATGGAATCCGACTTCATTGACGCGTCGTCCGTCGCCAAGGGCACCGCAGGCGCCTTCAACCCGGCCTGGTCGCCCGATGGCAAGTGGGTCTCCTTCGGAGTCGGCTTCTGGTTCCAAGGCCGCGCCACCGGCGGCGGCTGGCTTGTACGAGCCACTGCCAATGGCTCGTACTCCGAAGTCCTGTCCGAGAGCACCACAACCCTCAGCAGCAACAGCAGCGTGATCAACTCCGGCTTCCCCAGCTTCTCGCACGACGGCAAGAAGATCGTCTTCCGCATTTGGGGAACAAACTCCACCCTGGGCGACAGATCCCAGCTCGGACTCCGTGTTCTGGATCTGGAGACCCGTAAGACCACTGTCTTGACCAATGAGTGGGATAACCTGCCTTCCTTCTCCCCCGATGGAAAGAGAATCGTCTTTACCCGCAAGACCAGTGATTACAACTACGATATCTGCACTATGCGTCCTGATGGAACTGATGTCAAGGTTCTCACTAGCAGTGGTGCCAATGATGCTCATGCCATCTGGACTTGGGATGGTCGCATTGCCTACTCTTCCGGCATGTTCGGCTTCCAGTACGAGTGTGCTCTCTATGATCAGACTTTCCAGCCTTATGGTCAGGTCGTCGTTATGAATGCCGATGGCTCGAATAAGCGTGTGCTTACTGATTCGATCTGGGAGGACTCGATGCCTCTCTATGTGCCGAACAGTGCCCTCAAGGCTAACGCCAAGGTCCACAAATAGGCGCGCACCACTGCCTCAGACGGCCATGCTGCTAGCAGACTTGACCTTTATCCATTAATTTCGGTACTTGAAAGAATACCTGGTCATATTTGTATTTCAAGTGATATGTTGACACGTCGAAAATTTTATGATTCTATTAGCTTGAATATTAGCAATGACTGTGGCGCTTGTACGACTCGAAATCCTTGCCTGTCTTATAGGAGTAGTTGTAATTCTCAGACGCCCTCCGAATAGATCTAACGGTAGTAAGTAATGACCGGGGGCTGCCAAGGGAAGGGAAGTACCCGGACGAATAATCTGAGGCAGAAACGGTCTCAACACTTGGGCGAAGACAACCTCAACCCAATTCGATACTTCTGGACTTTCCGTTTATGGTTTCGAATGTGTTGACGAGACTTAATAGGCAGGTACAGTGTAAAGTAATGAAAGGGAGGAAAGAGCTACGGAATACTGGCCTATTAATCCGTGGATGGCCCAAATAGGAAGGAACTGCCGGACGTATATCTCAACCTTAGGCTAATACGACATGGTCAATAGCCAGTACTTAACTATATCTTAAGCTAACTAAACTTGAAAATCCAGCAAGTAGCTATAACATCGGCCAAATGGAACAAAGAGCATACGCAATACGCAAGATCGTCATGGTCATCAACCAATCCCCGTGGAGATGGCGCCATCCGTACCAAATCGTTCTCATAAGAAATAATATGGGGTAGGTTCCCCCTTGTCTCCCTTCTTTCTCTTCTTTCTCTTCTTTCCCTTCCACTCTCGTTTCGCTTATTTCTTCTAGACCTTCACGACAAATGACTTGAGGTACAGATAGTCGGCCATGTTGGCGTCGACGGTTCGGCGGATGAGAGCAGCTTGCTTCTCACCGTACTTCTTCTGCCACTCGGCGTCAAACTGTTCCTCGGTCTTGACAGCACGTTTCTATAAACAGTGTTAGTCCAAAGTCCAAGTCCCAATACCCCCACATCAATAACCAAAAGACTTACATGAGTTCTCTGCTCCAGAGCCTTCGACTCAATAGCATCATTATGGAATCCACGCCACTTCTCGAACGCATTCCGAGCAACAGCATGTTCCTCCTCGTTATCCCAAAACAGCATTTCCGGGCGGTACGGCAAACCAACACTGTTACAGAAAGCCTCGATGGTCTTCGCCGGCTCATCGAGCATATCATCCGCGTCGATAACACAGACCTCAACGCCAGCCGGCGCCTGCGCATCAGTCTGGGCGTTCAGCTCCGGGCGCGTTGCAACCCGGGGCCCGACCAATCCAGTATCTCGCAGATAATCGAAGTGTCGGCGGAGCTCATCGTACCCGGCCTCCAGCGGGTCGTAGTTGTGGAACCCGGTCACCTCGTCCAGAGGTGGGATCGTGCACCGCAGGTACGACGGCACGCTGTAGTGCGGGTCACGAATTAGGAATGCCCAGTGGAACTTCTCTTGCAGCTCGCGAGGCATCACCGTTGGGTTTCCCAGCTCTGCGGGCGTGTCGTACGGGTAGGGTTCCTTGGATATTCCATTGGTGTGACCGTTCACACCGTTCGTCGTGCCGTTGGTTCCATTCGAGGCTCCGTTAACCCCGTTGGTGTGACCGTTTGGCGTGACAGAGTGGCCATTGGTGTGAGTGCCGTTGGCACCGTTCACACCGTTAGCCGTCGAGTCGCCGTTGGTGCCGACTCCTCGCTTAACGCGCAGTAGAGAAGGGGCAATGCTGGCGGGCTGACCATTCGGTGGGAGCAAATAGTGGTCGATATCTTTGATAAAGACTCTCTTTCCCTGTAACAAGGTAAGTATCCCCTCAAAAAGTGCGAACATTCCATTCCGTCGTGCGGGTCTCCATGGTCAATAATTTGGAGCCAGTGTGTGATCTACAGTTGTAGACGGGGGACAAATTGTCTCGGGCTACATCTGTGCAAGATAAAAAAAGTAAACAGGTAAGGGATCTTCCCTCATGTTCGATCCACAGGGAGAACTTGAAGAGCATTACGAGGGGGATGGGTAAGAACGCGAGAGACTTCGCAGAAAGAAGGGTCGGACCTGTGTAGCTTCTCGCTCCAGCCTTTCCATCACGGTACTATATGTCGAGTTGGCGAATCCACTATCCACGCGTTCTTGCGCATGTTCATCGCCTGCGAATCGGCTAGATAGGCGCTCTGGGCCATAATAGAATGCATCACCGAACGGCTCATGGACACATTGGATAATATCTCGCTGAGTCATGAACACCTGCAGGCCATTAGATATGTGTTTAGAATAAATTGGTTATCCAAATCTCTCGGGATCTCTTACTCGCTCAAAGGCCGTCGAGCATGCTCGCGGATGCGTAGCCACAAAGATCGGCTTGTCTGACATATTGTATGCGGTGCGATGATTTAATACTGACCGAGATAACTGTAACCTGCAGGTTCAATCTCAGCAAAAGTCAACAAAGGTAATTGTAAATAAACGTCCAGTGGATCTCACGTTCTGATCAATTAAAGCAGGGATAATTCAAATCCAGCCGTTGAAGCTGTGGCGAAACAGAAATTTTCTGGTTTGGGTGGCGGGTCTTTTCTTCACAAACGTACAGCGAATGTGAGAGCTTTCTAGTTGTCTCAGCTGCAACTATGGCGTTAGAACAATGAAAAAGAGATGCAGAGGGGGGGGTTAAAACTCTTTATATGAACAAATGACATAGGTACCAGGTTTAATTGCCGATTTGATTTGATTTCATTGGTTTTCAGGGAGCCTTCGGGATGCGGAGAGCTACCAGAGTTGGATTCCTAGTTTGACCTTGGAAAAATGGAAAAGAAATGAAAAATATGTAATTATGGAGGCAGATCTACGAATCAGTTAGTTAGCCCAGGCATTTTACGTATAAGCTAGCTTGTAGTATAGCATGGTCCGTCCTTGTAGTACATAGTAGGATTGTTATAGTAGTACTTCGTATAGATGTGGTACATGTAGCACTGCATACCATGCACGGAGTACATAATACATATGCAATCTTATCCATTGGCTTCATTGGCTTCAACATGCCTCCTAGGCAAGGGAGCAATGTTGAAATCATGAACGCCATAAAGCCTCCTGCCCCTCTCTGCCCCGCAGAAACCTTTCCGCTTCTATTTTTTCTCATCCCTCTCCAGCCAAGGAGACACGAAACAAAAAATCTCAAGACCACCTTCCCGTGATGAAACGGCCAATAGGACAACACCTTGTGGACAGGCCTGTGGATCGATCTTCAATTCTGGATGCGTCGACCTGGAACAAGTGTCCACCATCCACGGTCCAGTCGTCTCTTAGCTTCTCATCTGAGACGGTACTCCTCTCGCATGCAGCCCGGTGAAAGTCGGTTTCCTAAACGGTGCTGATTCCAAAGGCACAGATAAAGCGTGTATAAAAATCCCTCGGCCTAGTCTGAGCAGGTACTTGCAAGGGGGAGGTCTGATCCCGGGCAAGGTTCCAGATCGATTTCTTCGAATTTTAATTGCTCTGCGGAGATCCCACCTGACGTCATTCACTAGCTGTAGGATATTTTCTGTCGGCTATCGTGGAACACGATATAAAAACATACGCGACGCATGGCAGAAGCCTGGCTGAAGGTAATTGTTGCTATGTAAATGGCGCCTGGCTGCCACATCGGTTGTTCATATCTGGACTTTTGCGGGTAAGAGGAGCCGGTGGAACTGAGTTGTTTCAATGCTCCACTGCAAGGCACGCAAGCTCGAGGAACATCAATGCCGAATCATCTCTCTAACGTGGAGAGCCTGAACATCCAAGGGTTCTGGTTTGCGCGATTTAACCTTCCAAGAATCCGAGAATGCTGACCTCATCTCGGAACGGATAGGGCTGAGGTCAGCAACTCCATTGTCACGTGGATCACGTGCCTCCACGTGCCAATATCATCACGTGTCTATATCGTCCGCTTCACGTGAGCTGACTTTGACATGTCATGTGCCAGTACAATCTGCCAGGCGGTACGGAGTGTTCCGTACAATCTGTTGCCTCGTGCAAAATAAGGCTTAATTGACTAAATATGGATCGACACCTACCTTGAATAACAACATTGGCCCTGGGAAACCTTACCTTATAAAATAAGGCGGTAATTGACTGACTAGTTATAGTGCATGCGTGTCGCAAAATGTAAGTGTCATTGAGTGTCCATAGTTACTATGGATTAATGGTTTCTCCGGAATCTCCGATGTTCGGCGTTTGTTCGGAAACATCAGGCAATATCTGGCACCGTCAGGCAATGTCAGGCAGCTTCTGGAAGGCGGTGGAAACGAGTAGTGACGACATGGATGTGGTGGCAGCTTCGGGCACCCCGCGCAGCAGAGTATATGAACTAGCCTCTCGTCCTTCAAGTCACTCATTCCCAAGTCTACTCACTCAATTACTTTCTATTCTTACACCACTGCTATAATCCCCCTCGGGATATCAGTGCATCTATATCAGTGCATCTAAACCTAATTGATATTACCCCACTCTTCCGTTCAAAATGAACGGCGTCCAATTCACAGATCGGGCCAACAAGGCCCTGCTGGACTCCAGCGGGCTCTGCGAGCAATATGCACACTCCCAGATCATGCCTCTTCACTTGGCAGTCGCATTGCTCAACCCCTCCCCAGATGAGTCTCAAGATCAACAGACTCCTTCTGGTGCCCACGCATCCCACGATTCCGCAGCCGCCCCTCTCTTCCGCCAGGTCGTTGAACGAGCCCACGGCGACCCTCAACTCCTCGACCGATCGCTAATGAAGCTATTGGTCCGCCTGCCCAGTCAAGATCCCCCTCCAGAGAACCCCAGTGTTTCTCCCCAACTCTCTAAAGTCATTCGGGCAGCCACCGATTTGTCGAAAACACAAAAGGACAGCTTCGTCGCAGTTGATCATCTCATTCAGTCTGTTTGCCAGGATTCACAAGTTCAGCGTGCGCTAGGCGATGCCAATATTCCCAATCTCAAGTTGATCGACACTGCTATCCAGCAAATTCGCGGTACAAAGCGGGTCGATTCCAAGACCGCCGATGCCGAGGGCGAGAATGAAAACCTGAAGAAGTTCACCATTGATATGACTGCCTTGGCTCGTGAGGGCAAGATCGATCCGGTCATTGGCCGAGAGGAGGAAATCCGCCGTGTCATTCGTATTCTCAGTCGCCGCACGAAGAACAACCCTGTGCTTATTGGTGAGCCTGGTGTCGGTAAGACCACCATTGTCGAAGGCCTCGCTCGCCGTATTGTCAACGCCGATATCCCTGCCAACCTCGCTCAGTGCCGTCTTCTTTCTCTTGATGTCGGTTCTCTGGTTGCGGGCAGCAAATACCGCGGTGAATTCGAAGAACGTATGAAGGGTGTCCTCAAGGAAATCGAAGATTCCAAGGATACCATTCTCCTCTTCGTCGATGAGATCCACCTGCTTATGGGCGCTGGTTCTAGCGGCGAAGGCGGTATGGACGCTGCCAACCTTCTCAAGCCCATGCTGGCTCGTGGCCAATTGCATTGTATTGGTGCCACGACTCTCTCTGAATACCGCAAGTATATCGAGAAGGATCAGGCTTTCGAGCGACGATTCCAGCAAGTCCTTGTCAAGGAGCCTACAGTCCCAGAAACCATCTCTATTCTTCGTGGTCTGAAGGAAAAATACGAGGCTCACCACGGTGTCAACATTCTCGATGGAGCCATCGTCGCTGCCGCCACTCTCGCATCTCGCTACCTGACAGCTCGTCGACTCCCCGATTCTGCGGTCGATTTGATTGATGAGGCTGCGGCTGCAGTCCGAGTCACTCGCGAGTCCGAGCCAGAAGCCCTCGACACACTGGAAAGAAAGGCCCGCCAGCTTCAAATTGAAATTCACGCCCTTGGCCGTGAGCAAGACGAAGCATCCAAGGCTCGTCTCGAGGCCGCCAAGCAGGAAGCTGCCAATGTTGGCGAGGAGCTTCGGCCGATGCGCGAGAAGTACGAAAATGAGAAGCAGCGCAGCCGCGAAGTTCAGGAGGCCAAGATCAAGCTGGATTCTCTCAAGGTCAAGCGTGACGAAGCCGAACGATTGGGCGATACCCAGACAGCCGCTGATCTCGAATACTACGCCATCCCGGAAACCAAAGCTCTCATCGAGCGTCTGGAGACTGAGCGGGCCAAGGCTGATGCTGAACGCCGCGCTCAAGCGGGCGACTCTGGTGAAGCACTCCTTGCCGATGCAGTTGGTCCCGATCAAATCAATGAAATCGTTGGCCGCTGGACCGGTATTCCTGTTAACAGACTCAAGACCACTGAAAAGGACAAGCTGCTTAACATGGAGAAATACCTTTCCAAGGTTGTTGTTGGTCAGAAGGAAGCTGTTGTTTCGGTCTCTAACGCCATTCGCTTGCAGCGCTCGGGTCTCAGTAACCCTAACGCGCCTCCCAGCTTCTTGTTCTGTGGTCCCTCCGGTACCGGTAAGACACTGCTCACAAAAGCGCTTGCCGAATTCCTGTTCGATGATCCCAAGGCAATGATCCGGTTCGATATGTCCGAGTACCAAGAGCGACACTCGCTCAGCCGTATGATCGGTGCACCCCCCGGATACGTTGGCCACGACGCCGGTGGCCAACTTACCGAAAGCCTGCGTCGCCGCCCATTCTCGATCTTGCTCTTCGATGAGGTCGAGAAGGCCGCAAAGGAAGTCCTCACTGTCCTCCTACAGCTTATGGATGATGGCCGTATCACCGACGGCCAGGGCCGTGTCGTCGACGCAAAGAACTGCATCGTCGTCATGACCTCCAACTTGGGTGCTCAATATCTCTCCCGCCCGACTACCAAGGACGGTCGCATCGAGCCCCAGACCCGCGAGTTGGTGATGAACGCTCTGCGCGACTACTTCCTGCCGGAGTTCCTTAACCGTATCTCCAGCACCGTCATCTTCAACCGTCTCACAAGGCGGGAGATTCGCAAGATTGTGGACCTCCGTCTTTCCGAGGTGCAGAAGCGGCTCGACAACAACGAGCGCAATGTTACTATCGAATGTAGCGACGAAGTCAAGGACTACCTCGGCGCAGCAGGCTACTCCCCAGCCTATGGTGCTCGTCCCTTGGGCCGACTCATCGAGCGCGAAATCCTCAACCGTCTTGCTGTGCTCATTCTGCGCGGAAGTATCAAGGATGGCGAGGTCGCCCATGTCGTCATGCGCGACAGTCGCATCGATGTCTTGCCTAACCACGATCTTGGCGAGGCTAGTGAGATGAGCGATGATGAAATGATGGACGAGGATGATCTTGACGCTGAGATGGCTGATAACCCCGTCTCGCCTGATCTGTACGATTAAACAGGATCGGGTTTCTTAAATTTGTTATGCTAAAACGCGAAACGCATTGGTACATGACTTTCTCATGATTTTGTTTTCCGGCTTTGTTTACGTTCGCACGGCGTTGCAGTATCTTTCGCATTCTCTTTTCATGTACTTATGTAGCCTTCGCAGGGTGGATACGTCCCGAGTCGAAGGCTTATTAGCCTCGACAATCATGTTAATAGATTTTCTCTATCTCAAAATTCAACCAAAATTATGTATATTTCAACCCTATTGTAGGTAAAAGCACATGGTAGTCGAATGAATTCTGAATGAGACAGCTAAACCACAACCAGCTCTTAACTACATCACACTAATTAGGTGTATCGACTTCATAGATCTTGCAGGAAGAACACATGATTGGTGAGGTTGGTATGCTTCCGTTGCCCTGATAGAATGTGAACATCCGACATGGGCATAGAAGGTCTCGAGTATCTCAAAATCCAGAGATGACTTGGGATATATGTAACCCTGTGGAAGGGTGGGAATATATTGTAGACGACGTGCTTATCTCAGAATCGGATATAATACCCTCTATCTGTCCAAGTGCTGAGATATAGCCGGCCTTGGTCTTGACCAGAGCGGGTGTCCTATAATATCGGGTCTACTTCATTTTGTGATATCTAAATGACAACGAACTCTCTTGCACTCGAAAGTAAGTTCAATAAACGGAAACAACAAGAGTCTATAATTTTTGTGTCTTCTAGCCTCAATCATACGCAAGATTAGGTCGGTGCCATCTAGTCTGTGTATACTACCTACTTAAAGTACGTAGTATCAAAGATCTGTGAATATATTGAAGGTTGTGAGTAGCTATGCCAGAAATCATTCCGTAGTATATATTTCGCCCGGGACCCTTCATGGATAACGCAACCTCAAGACATTTATTTAGACTTCAAGGTGGACTTTTGCTTATATGGATGCTCCCAAGGTTGAGTTTCTGAGGTATACTTCTGTTATATTGTAAACTCGCACTATTGAGGGGTTTCGAATAGACTTTGGTCGAGAAAGATTGGACCAAATGTCGCACGTGATAACCACATTCAACCTTTTATACGAGACATTCGCGGCGAACGAAGAACCGTTCCTACCTAGAGACTACTCATGCATGCCTGAGACGCAGCTAGAGCGAAGGCAAACCGCCCGGCAATTCGCCACCATGGATGTTGTAATGTTACATGATTCTTTGCCAACCCTGCATATGCACGGCGTTCTCCGTACCTGAAGGCCGAATCAACGGGCAAAGCTCCTATTTAGGTGAGCATCCCCGCAGCCATCCAAACTGTAAGCGAGAGGTTAAGCCTGGGCAACTTTGTATGCAAATAGAGAGTGGGCCCATAACTCAGAGCAGAGCGCGCCAGCACATACAACATATGTACGGAGTAGCCGCGGTCGAAGGGCGAGGTCTTGGTCTTGGTGGGGTCAAGCGGGTTACGCCGAAGCAGAGAAGAGAAGAAAGGCGAAAAGAAAAACAGCGAAAAGGAAATGAATAGTGCACTTGCTGAAAAAGGAAAGGAAAAGGCAAATTACCTCCTTATTAGGAAAAGATAAACTGTTATATACATAGTACAGTACTCGGCTGAACGGGGCCCACTATGGTACGGAGTAGATACAACATAGTGTACGGAGTGCAATCAAATAATAGGAGGAGAGTACGACTTCGAGTATGATCATGCAAGTACCGAGGCCGTTGAACTAACTTTGCGAGTGAACCCCTCCAGCACATGGCAGAAGTCTAATATAGCAGATTATCCGTGCAGCTTGCTCGAATAGGGGTAGCTGATCGGCTTATCACTCAAAAATGAGGCCGAAGACACGTGGTTTAGGGTTTAAACATCTAGCAGAAGGGCTTATATATCTGCCGGACTCCGTCAATTACAAGATACAAGATACATCATATATATTGTAAGGAAGTTGACGGCTCAAGGTTTCCTGCAAGGCTGGGTCGCCGAAACTCAGTTGAAACTCAGATTTATTAGACTGACGCGGCTTACGGTCGACTGAAATAGTTCACATTTACTCCGTAGACAGTCTTCTAATAATACGCCATACACAGTATCCATTGCAATTCCAAACACAAAGGGTACCTCGGGAGCACAAGCAGATACTATGACCGACGACAATTGCTAATTGCTCCATTTTTCCCTTATCACGTCACATCCCGAGGTCTCTCTAGTCTCCACGCAGATCCCGTTGTTCGGGAGAGCTTGAGCTTCGTCCACGGTAGTGCGCAGTGAACTGGTGGCTTTGGCCAGGGTCCTGGATTTGGTATGGTGGGGTATCCATGAACACATCCACTTGGATATTGCTCGGTCAAGCATTTGCCCTCATATCTTTGGCTTTCGGGTCCCAGTCTTTTTCTTTCGTATCAGATTTTTTTCCAAGATTCATGTGCCGATCGACTGTGGGGTGGGAACCTTGAGGAACGATTTTTCGGTTGAGATTTCGGCTGAGATTTTGGTTGATCCCAAGGTTTCGCCTTTTTTCTCGGGTCACGACGTGATTTCGGACGGTGGTCTTCCGGGTAGTATGTATATAGCCTGTGACTGATTCAAGGATGATGTACTAGTCAGTTACTCCGTGCGGCTTGGCCTCAGTGCTGATAGTCATGAACCATCTTGGCTTTGCATGGCTACGACGCCACATTGGTTGTCGGAACCGGGGATACGTGCTTTTCAAGGAAGACGCCCGAGCCATATCCGCCAGTTCACCAAATCCCTGCAGAGTTCTTCGGACGTAGGCCTAAGCTCTTCACCGACAAGATCGGCATCTGGATGCAAGGGGCCGGGAGATCGGCGGGCTGTGATGGAATGTATTCCAAGGTTGCATCTTTGAAAAGTGGTTAACTCACCGGGGTTTTGGACATCGGTGGGACTGGAAGCTGAGATGTGTGGACATGACAGTGGAGATTATAGTTAATGGAATACGCAATTCAACTGAGACTCCAAGGAAAACTCTATATTCAGAGAAAAAAAGATATGCACAATTAGTGTCTAGAAGTAAATATGTACAGACAAAATAGAGACAATATACAGGACTGGGTATTAAGCCCTCGGGGACTTCGTGGATTCATAAGAAAAAGAGAACGACAACGTTCTCCGTGTAGAGAGTCGATTAAAGATTAAACCTCCTCGCGGGCGCGGGTGATACGCGAAGTATTCACCTCATAATCCGACGGCCGCGAGTCCCGCTCCACCGTAACCGTGATATCCTGGCGAATGCGCAGAGCGCGAGCCGAGCCATCGTCGCTGCTCGCCCGCCCCTCGCTGATACTGGCATCGGAAGCAGTCGCCTTTTGCGGGGTAATCGTAGTGGTGCCTTCGAATTCTTGCATGCCGAAGTCGCCTGAGCGCGTGTGGCTGGGCGGGCCATAGGGAGGCAGGTGGGAGCCACCCTTGCTGGTCCAGGGCCCGGACTTGTAGCGGTCGGTGCCGCGTCTGGAGCCGCCGGTCCAGCTCTTGAGGGCGGGGAAGACGTCGCGGAGCAGTGACCAGACGAGCGGCAGGTTGGTGACTAGGATGGCGACGGTGGCTTCACGGAAGTACCAGTTCATGTAGACGTAGGAGATCAGAGATGGGACGAGGCAGTACACCTTGTTCAGGACGGCGGCGACAATGACGAAGACGCCCATGCCGAAGAGGATAGTCAGGATCAGCTTTTGCTTGAGCGGGACGCGGACCTGGACTAGCATGGGAATGGCGATGAGGAGCATGAATACGTCGGCAGAGATTGAGATGCAGCCCTGCACGATTTCGTAGTACTGGTAAGATGAGCATTGGTAGTCTGGCTCTGGGACGACGGCCCAGTAGTCTTTTAACGGGTGGCAGAGTAGGAAGAGTGACAGTTCGGTTGCGACGAAGCCTAGTCCGACGTAGATCGAGACATAGTTGATCCAACGCTTCTGCTTTAATCCTTCACTGTATTGGCGTTAGAAAAGAACATGCTCCCAATCGAGGTTCAACATACGTGATACGCGCATAGATCACCAGCATGCATGCTTTCAAACTCCAGATGCAAAGAATAAAGGAATGTTCCGACACAAAGACCCATTTGCTACCGCGCACTCGTTCCGCGATGATTTTATCCGTTAACGATTTCCTGTCCTCCTCGGTCATGAGATTTGACCCCCCACCGGAGGCGACTTGATTTAAGGCGACACATAGTATTGTATACCAGACTACCGAGAAGAGCATAAGATAGTCGTCGGTCTGGAGATTGCGAATGCCTAAGCGTCGAAAACGAGCCACCCTGTCGAGGATCTTTGTCAGTGTTGTATATAGTAGGATGTTCAATTACTATCGTACCATCGCAAGACGGCACCCAGTACGCCGACAGCATACAGAGCCCATGTCTCATGAGCGAATTCCAAGGCGAAGTGGCCTCCTAAGCCAGACATTACCGCTGGCCTTTTCGAATAGAGGTTAACGAGATCTTGGAGTGAAACGAGAGTCGAGAGGCGCGCTCACATTTTATGAGAGTAGCGGGGATATGCAATATTAAGTATAGAGTTCCAGCTCCTGCATAAGCCGCCGATTGTACGACGAGATAGGAAACGCGTTAGAACCTTCGAAGTATGCTGAATGATAGCCTTGAAGGTACAAGGTTTGGCAAGATGCAGAGGATAAAACGCCAATCAACCCAAGATACAGGGCATATAGCCGCCATTGGATAGTGGGGGCTTGGATGGCAAGGTGGTTCCTTGGATCGGGAGAGTCTGGGAAATTGCTTTCATTGCTGCATTCTGATTTGTAACAATTTTGCCATTGGTCCACTTTACCGTTGCATAGGGAATTTCCATGTAAGGTGTAAGTTCAGCTGTCTTACAGTTTATAGGCCTTTATAACCGAGGATATTTAGGCTGAATTTTCCTGAGAGATCCATACTGAACCTAGTTGTTACCTACCTTCTGAACTGGGAGACATAAGCACATCTACATATAATTGTTATATCCAATCATCGTCGTTAAGCAAAGATAGACATGGCTCTTTCTATCTGGGGGAATGGCCCACAGTGGAGGGTGGAGGAGCTGAGGGATCAGCCAATATCCATGTCAATTAGTATTCATGTACATAACTCATACATTGTATACGGAGTAAGCCCTGAAGAACTGTCAGAATAGAGAGTTTGTTCGGATATACCGGCTGCGTGTCACTATCGGCAGATTTGACTATATTTAACACATTGCACTGGAATTCATTAAAAATGGCCAATACCTGCCAGATCGGGAAATCAGATATTCTGAGTTTGCCGCCACAACTGTAAAAAGTGGGGAAATCACCGACCATCCATGGTCCAGTCACCTATTGGCCCGAGCCTTTTTTTCTGAGGGATTTTGGGAACTGCCCAGCCCCGGGGGAAACGGACAGATTCGGATGTTTTTTCATCTTTTATGGAGACGGGCTGATACAACATATGTTGTACATGCAACTTGGAGAGGATTGAATGAACCGATGTGAAGTTTGAAGATTCGAAACCTCGGGAACTTCGGAACGAGAGACTTTATTAATCTCACTGCAGTACGGTTTACAATATATTATACTCTAGATTAATTCATTAACGTGTAGCTACGCCGTAGTTAGTTAGTGACTTCACTTGAGTAAACTTAATTAGTCATAAGACTTTGTTAGTTATAACTTATAACTAGTTAACTAGCAGCTACTTAATTAATATATATCAGACTAGCCCACTAGATCTGAGGCTAAAATCGGAGTCGCCTTATCTGCGCAACCCACATTCAGCTGCACTAGTACAACTGTGCTCCCAGGCAAAGAGATTCGGAGTCTAGATTGCCTCCGATGGTTTCCAATTGATGAACTCGAGTGAATTTCTACCTTATATGAGACACCCCCGTCGCATGGACAGCAGAGACTGTTTGTGCCCACATAGTTATACCCGTAGTGTTACCTATTGCTTGACGCTTTGATCCTTTGATGTGTCTGGGCTAGTAAAGCATTTATACTTTAGTTTACAAGTAGTGTAGTTGTCAAGTACACTTGTCTCGCTTGTCTCGCTTGCAAAATCATATGTTTCAATCTCAAATAGGGGAAATCTCCGAAAAATCTCTAATAGTGTATACTAAGTATACGGTATGTGGGTACGCTGCATGGAATATCTGCATGGATTATGGAATGTTCCAACCATCGCCTTATGTCTTATGCTAAGCATGCATAACTGGTCTTGTTATCTCTAGGAATCCTAGATAGACATCTATTTAGAGTAGCGATGATAAGAAGTAAGCAGAGTCTGGGGTTTGACCCCGCCAAAGAGCCCCAATCACCCCAAAAAAGCAAGAAGTAGAGATGGAACCCACGGAAAAGGACACTAAGGGGGATGGGAATCCCCCTTCTGCTGAAGCTCCCCTTCTAGGTTAAGCGTAATTCAGCCATGCAGCGGCGTTGATTGTAAAAGTTTCCGCTTCGAGTGCATTTGTACACCCTTGTCTCCGGCTCCGCCAATAGGAACTCTGGGGCGACCCCACTATGGACCTGTTGGCCACCGAATGATGTGACTCCGCGAATGCTGATTGGCCAGAGATTGAGGAATTAGAATGCGTGGATGTCGACCGACCCGACCTGATCGGCTTAGCCGTGACATGATAATATACCGTTGTACGCCTTTGACTCCCTTTTACTTAACATCCGTGTTCGCCTCGATTCTTCCCATATCATTCTTCAATTCGGGAGCTGTACATTTTGGACCTCGCATTCGTCTGGTTTTAGGGAAATCCCCTACCATATACATATCCAACATGTCTGGGAATGAGATCAATTATTCGACGGAGAAGGAGATCGGCCACGTCCCTGAGAAAGAAATCGCACCTACACCGGATTACACCCACGATGGTCCAGTGGACGGAGAGTTGGTTAACGCTTCGGGCCATCGCCAAGAACTAGAGCGGAACTTTGGCCTTCTCAGTATCTGTGCGGTAGCCGTGACCACCGGAAACACATGGATTGCCCAAGGAGGTAGTGTGGTGGTGGCATTGAGTAACGGTGGATTGGCAGGAACTATCTATGAATTGTATGCCACTCTCCCAAACCAGTTCAACCAACCAAAGCTAACCCCTTGTTTAGCATAGCCGTGTCTATCTGCTACTGGCTGGTCGCCGCATCCATTGCCGAATTGGCATCGGGTATGCCCTCAGCCAGTGGTGTCTACCATTGGGCAACTATCACCGCCGGGAGTAAGTACGGTCGCGTGTGTGGATTCTACGCTGGATGGTGGAATTGCCTGGCTTGGATTCTCGGTGCCGCATCCATGTCTTTGATTCTGGCTCAGCAGACCGTGTCTATGTATCAATTGATGCATCCCAGCTTCGTGCCCTCACAATGGAACGTCTTTATCAGCTTCCTCCTCAACACCTGGGCCTGTTGCGCTATTGTGTTGTTCATGAACCGCTTCCTACCTCACATTGGAAACCTGGGTTTGTTCTTCATTCTCGCTGGTGTGTTCGTGACCATCATCGTGTGCGCTGTGATGCCTCATGTGAACGGCTCTGCATATGCCACCGATAAGCTCGTGTGGGCAACTTGGGAAAACGGAACCGGTTATGCCCAGCAAGGATTCGTCTTTGTCGCTGGTATGCTCAACGGTGCTTACAGTGTTGGCACCCCTGACTGCTCGTCTCACTTGGCTGAGGAAATCCCCAAGTCAGTGTTCTTCTTTCCCATTCCATCTATAATCGCTAACTTGAATCCAGGCCGAGTCGAAATATCCCCAAGGCTATCCTGGCCCAGATGGGTGTCGGTTTCATCACTGGTATCTGCTATATGATTGCAATCTTCTATTCCATCAACGACCTCGACCAGGTGCGCGACTCGACCACCTTCTTCCCCCTGGCTGAGATCTACCGCCAAGCCACCGGCTCCCGTGGCGGCGCTCTGGGTCTTCTGATCGTCGCTTACCTGCCTACCTTTATCACTGCCTGTGGCTGTTACATCACCGCCGGCCGTACGCTCTGGACTATTGCTCGTGATGGCGCCACTCCATTCTCGGGATGGGTTGGACGCATCAGCCCCACGTTCAAGAACCCCTTCAACGCCACCCTGATCTGCACCGGTCTCGTCACCATCCTGGCGTGCATCTACCTCGGCTCGACTACCGCCTTCAGCGCCTTCGTGGGATGCTTCGTGCAGTTGTCCAGTCTTTCGTACTTCATGGCCATTTTCCCTCACATCTTGACCCGCCGTTCTTCCTTCGTGCCTGGATACTTCCACATGAATGACACAATTGGCTACATCGTCAACTCCCTGGCCTGTGTCTACATCATCGCCTTCGCTATTATCTTCTGCTTCCCTTACGCTCTGCCTACTGATGCCGCGTCGATGAACTATGCCAGTCTGATGACTGGTGGTCTGTCTATTTTCGTTACCGTCTGGTGGTTCGTCCACCAGGGCTCCTACGAGGGCCCGAAGCATGTCCCGTTGACCGACAAGGCCCTGGCCGACGATGCTCGGTAAATCTTGGTGGGATGTTTGGGGGACTATTTTGCGTATACCATTTTTATTTTGCAAGGCACAGCTTTTTTCTGCTGCACAGCTATAAAATGCTCTTTCTAGATGATGCGACCTAACGTTATATCCGCCTTATGTATATTTTTATTCGTGTTAGACTTTTTTTCGACTTTATACATAGCTACTGTAAAAGCATAATTGATATTCACTGTCCAAACACATTTTTTGAAGATGCAAACTTTCTTATCGGTATCAATAGCTAGAATCTAAATTAAGTCGAGTTTTCCTCCAAGCCCAGTCCTTCACACGAAAGATCATTAGCTCACGTGACCACGCGTCCCGCGCCTGTTGTCGCGTCCTCATCCCAACGCCATCTTAATCTTGGAAGGAGAAAAGACCAACACAGTCATGGTCTTCAAACCCTTCAAGTCCCCTTTAGTTAGGAACTCCGCTACAACCTCCACCAACAACCCCGACGAGCCCAGTCGTCCTACCAAAAAGCCCCGCCTCGAAGACGAACCAGCACCCAAGGATGTGCAATCACCGATAGACAGTCGAAAGCCACTCCTACAAGTTAACAATCGAAGATCTGACAGCACAACACAGTCATCATCCGGTGAAAAAGATGATACATCCGACGAAAGATATTTCAATGTTCTCTGGTAGGTCCTCGGAACGTTGATCCCTGGTGAGCACCAGTTACAGCGAACCAGCTAACACAGACAGGCGCAAACCAAGCGCCAAAAAGCACAAAACATGGGACGGAGACGGAATTCTCTCTACCCGCGGAGAGTTTGTGTATCTACGAGACATTGCCGGGAAGGAGATGGGACGGAAGGTGCACGAAGCCCGTCTCGAGCCCGGAACAACACTGTCTATCTCCGGCAAAGAGATTGAGATAGACTCCGAGATTTCGCGCAAGGAATACCTCTCCGGCAGAGTGTTCCTGGAAGCCACGAAGTCAGCACCTACCTCTACGCCGGACCCTGTGCCCACACCCAAGAAAGAAGCCCTCCCCGCCCGAAAGAAGGGTGAAGTACGCAAACCTACGGCTGCTGAGCGGACACAGTCCCTCAAGCGCTCGCTAGCTCTCGTTACAAACCCTAATGCGAACCCTGGAACTGCACCCGCGAAATTTGCGGCTTATAAGGCGCCGCTGCTTGTGAATACGGTTGCTCCCAAGGTTATGGGGAAGGTCGTTCCGCGTCATGACCCCAAGGCGGTTGGTGCGTTGGTTATGCCGCGGCCGAAATCTGTGCCGAAGGGAAAGCAGGTTGTGGATGTTGTTGTTGATCCTCTCTTGACCAAGAACTTGCGACCGCATCAGCGTGAGGGTGTGAAGTTCTTGTATGAGTGTGTGATGGGCATGCGGTCGTTTAATGGTGAAGGTGCCATTCTCGCAGATGACATGGGCTTGGGAAAGACTTTGCAAACTATTGCGCTGCTTTGGACTCTGCTCAAGCAGAATCCTGTCTTTGAAGCCCCGCCTGTCATTAAGAAGGCATTGATTGTGTGTCCTGTCACTCTTATCAATAACTGGCGGAAGGAGTTCCGCAAGTGGCTCGGCAATGAGCGCATTGGCGTTTTTGTCTTTGACGACAAGAGTAAGCGTCTGACTGATTTCACCAAGGGCCGGGCTTATAGTATCATGATTGTTGGATATGAGAAACTCAGAACGGTCCAGGAAGCTTTGGCGAATGGTTCTGGAGTCGATATTATCATCGCGGACGAAGGCCATAGGCTCAAGACCTTGCAGAACAAGAGTGGTCTAGCGATCCAATCGCTCAGCGCCGTGAAGAGAGTGATTCTCTCCGGCACGCCAATTCAAAATGATCTGAGAGAGTTCTTTGCAGCCGTGGACCTTGTTAATCCAGGGATCCTAGGAACTTTCAAGTCCTTCATTCGAGAGTTCGAGACCCCAATTGTTCGCAGCAGACAGCCCGAAGCAACGCGAAAGGAAATCGAGAAGGGAGAGTCCAGAGGCGAAGAGCTGCGAGAACTCACCTCCAAATTCATGCTCCGCCGAACAGCAGACATCCTGGCCAAATACCTTCCACCAAAGACCGAATACGTTCTCTTCTGCAAACCAACCCGTCCTCAAGCAAACATCTACAAAGCAGTCCTCGCCTCCCCGATCTTCCAAACCGCAATGGGCAACGCTGAAAGTGCCCTGCAACTAATAACAATCCTCAAAAAGCTCAGCAACAGCCCTTCCCTCCTAACCGCGAAAAACAACAATAACACGCCCAACGAAACAATGACCGCCCTCATCGCCTCCATTCCCCAACCTCTCCATCGCCACTTATCCCCCTCCTCGAGCGCAAAAATCCGCGTCCTTGACCAACTCCTCGACACAATGCGCAACAAAACAGACGAGAAAATCGTCCTCGTCTCAAACTACACCTCAACCCTCTCTCTCCTCGCAACCCTCCTCACCTCCCTAGGCCTCCCCTACCTCCGCCTCGATGGCAGCACACCCGCCCAGAAACGGCAGGGCCTGGTGGACGATTTCAACCGTCTCCCCGCAAGCTCCTGCTTCGCCTTCCTGCTATCTGCGAAAGCAGGCGGGACAGGTCTCAACCTGATTGGTGCGAGCCGTCTCATCCTCTTCGATGTAGACTGGAACCCAGCAACGGATATCCAGGCCATGGCACGGATTCACCGCGACGGCCAGAAACGACCTTGTCGCATCTACCGTGTTCTACTCAAGGGCAGTCTCGAGGAGAAGATTTGGCAGAGACAGGTTACCAAGCTTGGTCTTGCAGATAGTGTTATGCAGGAGAGGAGCACCAGTAATAGTGGTGCGCAGTTCTCGGCTGCTGAACTCAGGGATTTGTTCAGGCTCGACGAGGACAGGGCTTGTCAGACGCATGAGTTGCTGGGCTGTCGGTGTGGTGGACGGGGTGTTCCGGCTGACGTTGAGGCTTCTTCGTCTGGGGCTGCGACGCCTGCTACTGTTGATGCTGGGTCTGAGGGTGAGGACTTGTCGGATCCTCCTTCTGACTTTGATGACTTTGATGATGGTTATGATTCGGATGAGTCGCTGCCGAAACCTCATACTCTTGTTAAAGCTTCTGAGGTCGATATGGAGAAACAAGAACAGTCTATCCGGGACGGCACTCATCGTGCCAAGATAGCTAGGAAGGGAAAGAAAAGTACGAAAGACAAAGAAAGCGAGACTAAGAGTCCCAAAGATAAGATGCACCAGTCTTTAGCTCAGTACTCGCACATTGACCCATCTCTGCTTGCAGCCGAGTCCGATTCTAATGAGGCTGGGGCTGAAGATGAGGAGCTTGAAGCTGCCATTGATGATGATGTGTTGGTTTCTATGCTGAAGGATGAGTGTAATTTGATTGGGTATGTCTTCAAGAAGACCAATGGGGCGGAAATGAGGAGTTAGACTACTGTGTGTCTCGCAGTTCAGGAATTGCCTTTAGGATGATGTATTATGATACATGTTCATTATTTGGACTATAGTATATATACAAGAGTAGAATGGCATATATAGAAGCACTTAAACCTTGAGACACAGAGATAAATGTGAAGTAACAACATAAAGGGCTCAATATCGAGGACATGTCACTGTAAAATAGAAGGTGAAGAAAGATGAGAGACGATTGCATTATTCCACGGCCGGGATATCATTCAACTGCGGTCTAAATGTACAAAAGAAAAAGAGCTAATAATGACTGAAGAAAGGCAAAAATATAAAGAAGAAAAGAAGGAAAAGGAAAAGCAAAAAGAGAGAAAAAAACCAACAATGCACCCCCATACCTCATGTCCATAGCTCGTTCATAAACCCAACACATCAAACTCATCACATCACTCATCAATACCTGAGCTTGCCAACAAGCCCAAAGGTATAAGCTGCTTCAGCCTCACTCTTCATTTGAATCATAAATATCTTGCCAGAGCCAGTCGCGACACCACCCTGCTTCGCGATGGACGCGTCTTCATCCTCCTCGCGGATGGATACCGCAATGCCCGTGCGGGCAATGCGCTCAAAGGCGCTCTCGCCTAGACAAACGTCGAGGAGAGTCTCGCCGTGTGTCTTGCCGCGGATGACAATGCGCTTCTCAGTCGAGAGCGCACCGCGCGGGGAGGCGGATCCTGATGCGGGAGGCGAAACGCCACTTGCGTTGTCACCGTGCGGTGAGCTGCCGTCGCCGCTGAGACCACTACCGGGGCGGGATGGGTTCTTGGGTGGTGCGGGCATGATGGTCAGGCGGGCAGCGCCCATGTCACTCCACTTGGAGGCAGATTCGCGTGCGTACAGGCGGACCTTGGCGTTTGAGAGACCGATACCGTCGGCGCCTTTGACTGCTGCGGCGATGCGACCTAAGCCCGAGTTGGGGGATGGGTCGTTGCCGGAATCACCGGAGCCAGAGTAGATGCTGCCTTCGCGGCCAGTGCGGGATTCGATGGTTGAGCGGGCAATGTTGAACATTTTGCTGCCGTTTCCGAATCGTTTGAGGGCGGAAAATGCGCTGCTCATGGTTCCCACGCTGCTTTCGGATCCTTCGGCTAGAGAGCGTGGGGAGCTCGATGCGCGATAGCTTTTTCTGCGGCGGGGCCAGCCAAACAGGCCTCCGCCGGCTTTCGGGGCAGGTTCGAAGGTAGAGGCATGGCTGTTGAATGGACCGCGAGCGTTTTGAAGCGCGATGTAAGTTGGGTTGTTGATTCTTGATTGGTTGATTAGACCATATAGGGCATCGCATTCGTCAGGGTTGCATGACCGGAACATGATGTTGTTGCTGGATGTGACCTGGGATCGCTCGGTGGGAGGAGAGCGGATACTAATGTCGATGGCGGTGCCACGGCGAATAGGAACGAGCGGTGTCAGTTCAAGAGAGATGAGCGGTCTTGGTGATGAGGAATCGTCAGGTTCAGAGTCCACCGCGAAGGCCTCGATCAGGCCAGGACTAACGACGATGGTACACTCGTCAGGGAACAAAAGCTCCCAGTTGCCTTTGTCGGACCACGCAAAGACAGACGCAATGGCTTTGCTGGTCTTGGTGGGCTGCAGCGGCACAGTACGGTAGCCACCCTGCGACACAGAATTAGAAGGCGAGAGAGAACTGGCATCAGTAATCGAGTCGTGTGCTCTTGGCTTGGGAGTAGCATATTCTTCGTCTTCAGATACCGAGGAGTAATCATCCTCCGAGTCAGAAAAGCCATTGGATCTTGAGTATTCAGATGATGAGTAGGAATAGTGGCGCACTGTTGACGCGTCCGAGTCGGTCTCTGAGTAATCTGAAGCTGTAGAGGGTTCATATTCGTGCTTCAGGGGAGAAGAGCCACGTCGCTTGAGTCCACCACTAGTGGGGGTGAGAACTGGGTGAGTTGCGCGCTTGCCATGGGCAGGGCTAGGCGAGCGATGAGGTGGGGGAGGTGGAGGGCTATCATCATCCTTTGGCCGTCTTCGCGACTTCCTTCTCCTAGTCCTTGTTGGTGTCTCCATAATTTCTTGCCTGGGCAAGAATTCGAGGGGAGGATAGTCTTCCTCATCTTCGGGGTCCATGCGTGTCGGAGTGGAAAGATGAGGTTGGCTGCTAGGAGTTCGGATTTTGGGAATCAGCGGGAGATTTACTGAAGGCACAGATGAAACCCTAGGAGATTCAGGGGAGGGTTCCCTGACAGGGGTCTTCTGGGGTTGAGGAATCCTCGAACGCGATTTTTCTCTCGGTGATCCTATAGCTGAGGATTCCTCCGTTTCGCCATAGAATCTACCTCCTGTTGGTGTACTTGGTGTTTGAGGAGCGGCAACCGCAGGTGCGCTGTGTTCGGGTGCTTTCTCAGATACAGTGTGCTGAGAGGCAGTATCTGAAGCCGGGCTGTCACTGTGGCGAGAAAATCTCTTTGCCTTGGATCGTTTGAGTCCAGCGAGAGTCCTTTCCTGACTAGTTAGCGAGCTCCTGGGAGCTGTGGAAGGAAGAAGAGGTAAGTCAGGGCGGGCTGGCTTAGACAGCTCGGATCCCCCAGTGGTGTAATCAGTCTCCCGAGTGACGATTGAGGACAAAGAGCTCCGGGCATCGATAACAGAGCTGATCGTACTTGGCTCAGACGAGTGGTCTTTTGAAGTCCACGAGCGTCGTTTACCGGTCGCCTTCTCGCCGATGGGGATGTCAATATCATTCGACCTGGGCGGAGAATCAACAGCAGAGGGCTTGCGAGCCTTGTTCTGCTTAGCTCGGCTGATGAAGCTTTGGCTTCGACAAATTGAAGGCGGAATAGGGTCAGATCCGAGCAATGAGACCCATTCAGACCCGACTTCTTCTTCGTCAATGCGGAGCGAGATTAATTCTTGCCAGTACTTGGTTGCATCTTCGGGGGCGCTGCGCAGCATGAGCACGATTTCATGTTTCGAGTCTCCTTTGCGAGCTGAAACACATCTTAGGTCCATAGGGGGGAAGAGAAGCCAGCGGTCTGAATGATCGATTTCGCAAATCAAAAGATCGCCTCCAGGCCCTTTGCTTGCCGGGTTGTCTCGATATAAAAGCTCGGCTCGACAATCCACAAGTTGACCACTTGAATGATACAAAGATAGATTGAAGAAATCGCGAGCACGGACATGGCGAGTCTGGTCAATGCCGATCCCGCGGAGGACACCCAAGGTCATTGGGTCTCTTGTGCGTGTTGGGTCGATACAAGCAGCAGAGTCATCTTCCAGCCTCGCTCTTTCATCTCGGACGCGTTTTCGGGCATCGTCAACAAGAATTTGATAGGCGGTAGCCGTTTCTTCAGCCTTTGGGGACGGCTCCAGAATATTGATACCCTTGAAACTCTTCGCTAGATACTTGAGACGTACTAACGGCCGCTTCAGTAGATAGGCCACATCGACCTTTTCCCCATCGCTATCTACAAAGTCGCCATTTTCGTCTCGCTCCAAGCCCTCATCCAGGCTCTTCGTGTCAGCATCGTTTGTGGCTTCGTCTTCTTCCCGAGGAGCCAGATTTACAATGACATCCTTGAATCCGAGACGCCACGCCTTCAAGTACTCGCGGTAGACTCTCTGGGCACCTTGCGCCCATGTAAGCAATGCATCCGCGTTGTCCTGCGGGATTCGCTTGTGGAGGTTCTTGAGGCGCTCGATCGCCACTCCCATGTTAACAATTGGCTTCGAGAAGTTCACGTCATCTTGAGGGTCCAGAGACGGCCGAAATAGGCCTGCGGCAATGGCTGAATCAGAGCGGGACAGCACGCAAGTTAAGAGGACCGGAATCACACCCCCGACCAGTGTTTTTAGCTCGCGCATATACTTTGTCTCGTCACCTGACAGTTCATAGAGCAGATCCTCAACTGTCGCGTGGGCCAGGCGACTTTTGTTAGTACGAATGCTCCGATTCGACCGGATGCTTCTGCTCCGCGAAGCCGAGACGGATAGTACCGACATGAGGTCATTGTGAGTGGTAAGCCGTCTTTTTAGTTGCGAGGATACCACGGGTAGCGAGTCGGGATCGAACTGGTCATCCTTCTCTGCTTCTTCTGCTTTTTCTGCTTCCTCGGCAAGTTTCGATTCAAGTTTTGATTCATGTTTCGATTCATGTTTCGATTCAGGTGTTGATTCAAGCTTTGATTCAAGTTCCGGTTCAGGTTTCGGTTCGAGTTTCGGTTCGAGTTTTATTTCAAGTTTTTCGATAGGGGCAGACTTCGGTACGTGCTCGGTTATGTCTGTGATAGTGGTGCTCAAGGTTTCCGCAGAAGCAATCGTCGATAAACGATGATGACCGGTGACCGGGAAGGGCTTCTTACGGCCAAGTGGTACAGGTGCGTTAAGTCCTGATACTTCAGAGCCACCATCGGAGAATGGTTGTAAATCGGACTCCGAGGTTGTAGCACTATCCTCATAAAGCTTGTCTTCGACAGAATTATCCCCTTTGCTCTTGACAGATGACTTGGAAGTCCTATCTATACAAGCTCTTTTCGATTCTGAGGCCGTCTCACGATCTTGTGCCTTGTGTGTTTTGTCGATTGAAGAAAAGCTGTCCCTTCCCTTGGAGTGCTTATTTATAGCGCTCTTTGGGTAATCGGAGCTCTTTGGGCGATCGGAGCTCTTATGGTGATCGAAGCTCTTCGAGTACTCAGTGCTCTTCGGATGATCGGTGCTCTTCCGGCGCTCGCTGATTGTTGACGGTTCAGACTCGGTACCAGGAGGCTGTGAGTCCCCGTCAGCAAGTTTTTGAGATCGCCTTGCTCGGCCTGACTTCAGATCCAGAGGAGCTGGCATATCATTTTTAGAAACGACTTCATCCAGAAAAGGATCCGGTGTGTCAGAAAGCCATGCCTCGATTTTGGCTCCACGGCCCGTAGTCGGCGTAGGTGTAGGTCTCGGCGGTTCGGGTTCAGGAATCCCAAACATTTTTCTGGACTCGTCGAGCATGTGTGCGAATATACCACCTTTGGGAGGTTTTGCTGGGCCGCGCTTGCGTCTCCTCGACAACTCAGAGAAATCCGCCTCGCTTGCTGCCCACGCATCCTCTGGAGGAGGCGAGCGCGTCTTGAATCTGTCCGAGAGCTCCGAAGGTTCCACAGATCTAGGATGGTCTGTCTCATAGTCGCTCTCCGTGATGGTGTCGATACTCTGTCGTGCGCCCGCGGACTTGGTGTCTCGAATTAGGGGTTTAGAAGGACCGCGACCTTTTTTCTCATCGTCACTATCGTCGTGCTTCCCCCGTGGAGACCTAAGCTGCCCTTCATTTGTGGTGTATTCGGCTATGCGCTTAGGTGCGGGCAGATTGCGCAGGTTGCGCGACGAGGACTGGGTCGAGGCTCGACTTCTCGTTCGTTTCCAATGCTCATCGCTCACCACCCGTTTGCGGGGTGTGCTGTGACTGCGCTTCCTTGTGGTCGGGGGTTTGTTCGGCTTCTCTACCTTCGCCAGCTTCTCCAGCTTCTCCAGTTTCTCGATCTTGACTTTGGCAGGCTTTGGTTTCGGCTTCGCATCATTTTCCCCGTCATCGGCATAGGGGTCGTCGACTGTAACGACCCCGCCGCCTTGTTGCTGCCATTTTCGCACTCTAGAGCGCACCGTGTTCGTGTCGTGCACCCCTAGCGGCTCTCCGATGTCCAGCGGTTTGGCGGATTTCGCAGTTCCTCCACGATTGGAGGGACGTTGTGACGTCGCAGGAGATGGCATCGGTACCTACACGGCAACGCAGAAGCCAAGACTTAGTAGGGAGCTCTCTCGAAGTTTTGTTGTCAAAGCAGATACCCGGAAAACACGGAGTTTGTTGACTTCGACTGTCACAATAGTTGGTACTTACCAAAGCCCCCAAAGGTCTTTAACAAATTTGGAGCATTTGCTTTTTTGGACGATCTCAGGAAAATCCTTCAAGGATCATAAACAAATGCGTCAGACCCTTTGGAGGTTGGGGCTGACAAGTTCGATAAGCCTCCCCCTCCCGCACTAAATCGGTTGCCGGGAAACCAGATCGGCGCGAACAACTTCTCATTAAAGGGAGGTTTCCCTCGTGATTTGACCTGCTGAGTCTTTATTAAAGATGATCCTGACCTCAAAATTAGAGAGAAATTTCTTCTAGGGAGATAGGGCAGCTAATATTGGTTAATAACGCCGGTTGCGCGTCGGGTGGCGCCCCTTGTACATCAGCGTCATAGGGCACTTAGTGTGGTTGGAGATATCTATTAAACCTGTTCAAGCTCGAAACATGAATAGATTCATAGGAGACAGCCTCGATTAATCATGGGTATAAGGCTATCATATGATCCTAGGTACTATACATTGACCAATTTCCCCCCTCGAACCCTTGTATCTCCTCAAGCTCAACACCAAATTCTCTGAGTACTTCGTGCCAACACAATTCTAGCCCAATGCTCCACTACGACCCGCCACTATACCAGTTATGACGAAAGAAGTCTTACCTAGTTAGTCTTGTCCTTTTCCGACTGGCGTTTAAGTGCGGCCGAGATTGTGGAGATACTTTGGTAGAGATAGTCTATTAACCAAGTCAGCCTATAACAGACATCCCGGGGACTGTAGGGCATACACGCTGGGACCACAATCCAGATGAAGTTCATGAGGAAGTAATATAGCCAAAAATAATACGGCTCCGGTCGGGAATATGGTCGCCCGTGGACATACTCGTCAAACAAACTGGTCGCATAATATAGCATGTCGCCGTACAGATGGCTCATGCACACAATTACCTGGATGGGGTGGCGCAGGGAATGGCCGATTACGGTCAAGTATGCAACAACAAAGCACAGTGGTCCCCACAGGAGCTTGGTGGGAATCAGCGGTGAATCCTAGCGTCGGCGTTGTATATAGCTGTGGGACTCACCACGGTCATGGTCTCCATACATAACACCAATGTGTCCGAAGTCATATACCGGGAATCCGACAGAGCGTATTCTTTCCATAGTTGCCCAAAGAGATCTTGGGCAGAAGCCATGTGGGCATGATGGATCATAAAATAACCCTCGAAGAAGCAGTGCAGAGTTCCAGCTATAGATCCCCATTGTCAGTGTTCAACCTCCAAGCTGATATTTATCTTGGCGCCTTACAGAGCACAAACCACAGGATGGCGATTCGATCCGCCACGCGCAGTGTGGGTTTCACATATCTGGCCAATGCGAAAGTCACACCAAGAAGGACAGTACAGGCCCCACCAGCAGAGACGAGAAGCTCCATCACCGGGGTCTGGTTGGGCTGATAACCCACAACATCGGCATCCAAGGGGTAATATGGATGAGATGGAGGACTGGGCATTTTTGCAGTACCCCTCGGGGTGTTGACCCTGATCTAGACTGTTATATCCCGATGTCCGAAGACACTTATATAGGAAAGTGTAGAAAAGTCGAATGGAAAATGAGACGTCGAGGAATGTTTGCTTGGCTTTTTTTTGCGAAGAGGTGGATTTGAGTTTGGCCAATAACAAGCTTAATTTCACCGACAAATAAAGGCTCAAATTGAGAAGAGAAGATCATCAGAAGTCAAATTGATCGAGCAAGAATAAAGAACAAGCTTGAAATGCTTGCATCTTGTGTTTCTCTTTGAGCACCGTCCTCGGGTGAATTTTTGCCTCAGGCACCGATTTCTTCAAACCTCAGGCAGTAATTGGTGCCTGAGACATTATATTCGCCCACCTCCAGGGCTGCAGTGTTTGGATACAGAATAAGCCAACTACCTTCTAACTTGAAGGCCTAAAAAGTCACAGAGTTCATATTAGCAAAATTAACTATACTTAGGTACTAAAGGACAACCCTCCATTTGCAGAAATGACACTTCCAGTACACCACCCAAACTCCGGATTACAGATCGTGGCAATCAACCCAGCAATCTCCTCCGCATACGCCGCTCTTCCTCCAAACTTCCTACCCAACTCCTGCACCTCCGGGCTATCAGTATCCCGAACAGCCACCAACGGCGTGAGAGGATTCCAATGCGCAAGCCCCTCCTTGACCTCATCAGGTGCAGACATATACATATCCGTCATGACCGGACCAGGGTTGATTGAGTTGACGGTGGCTCTCTCGGCCAGCTCACGACACCACACACGTGTCATGGCCTCAATGGCGCCCTTGGTGCCCGAGTAAAGCGAAGTGTTCTCCGTCCCCGTCTTCGATGCAATACTCGATAGCATCACAATACGCCCCGAGCGATCGGTGGGAAGATACTCCTTGCAGGCACCGGTAAGTAAAAGTGGCCCAAGAACATTCACTTCATAGATTCGACGGAATTCGGATTCTTTGACCGATTCCAATGGGCCAAGGTATAACACCGCGGCGTTGTGAACGATGATGTCGATTTGGAAAGATCCTGTTTCCGAGTTGGTGAAATGTTCTTTTGCGCTGGATACAATTCGTGCGCATTCCTCCCGCGAGGTAATGTCTGCTCGAATGGGCAGAGCGCGCACTGAGTATTCCTTTTGGAGTTTGGTGGCGAGTACTGCTGCGGACTCGTCGGAGCCCTCGGTCGCATAGTTGATGATCACATTGCAGCCCTTGCTGGCCAGGTTCTCGACTATAGCAGCTCCAATGCCTGGAAGATGATGAGTATTGGATGCCAAATGAGTCTCTTTCGGACTTACTACGTGCGGATCCTGTTACGAGAGCGAGTTTGCCCTCGTATATGCGAGGGAATGGGCCTTGAATACTACCCATGTTGACGGTGATATAACTGAGCAAAGATCACGGACTTGGCTCGGGATGAAGACAACCTGGACACGTCTATTTATGAAAAATGGCTCAGTATTAATGAAACTGGTCAGCCATATCATTGGCTTGTCCACAAGCTCAATATATGATAGGTTATTTCCACTTAATACGAAGATGTGAACAAAGTACGGAGTGCGGAGTACGATATATTGCTACATATGAAACCGTTCTATGACCCGTTTATCGCCCTCGCCCCACAACCTCATTTTGTAGTCACCCATAAATTTGACTCCAATAGTCGGCAGGTATACGGAGTATATACTTTATGTATAAAAGTCGCCTGATATGTGGATACTAGCGCATAAACCGTGCCGTTGTATGTGCGCTGAACTAGCTAGTCAAAAAGGAAGCGCAGCTGCGGATCCACGAAATTGAAACTAAAAGGAAGATATATCCACAATTGGCTGGAAACCCTGGAGTCTAGAGCATCAATATGCTGTCGCGAGCAAGGCATTGAATTTCTTATTATATTCGTTCAAACGGTTTCAATGGACTTTAAATTTGAATTGATTTATATATCTAGATGTCAGCAGAAAGAATCTACTAACACAGTATCAACTTCTTATCGAGTATCTAATTTTGAACTTCAACTTCAACTGACAGTTGTGGGTCAAATTTAGCTTTCAACGTCTCGTATCAAAGAGATAACACCAGGAGTTGAAATTTGCGTACAACATAGGGAGGCATCCGCGTGGGCCGATACAAGGAAGGTTCCAAGGTTCCCAGGTCGGTGAACCTTGGAATACAGCAGTCTACCATAAACGTAAAGTCAACAGCATATCTTCCTGTTATCTAATTGAGAAAAGCTCAAATGCACTGTAGATTTCAAAGTCGCAAGTCACAACTCGCGGACTCAGTTCTGGCACGGGATATCTTCAATACAGCGTCCATTGGGCAATGCGTCTATCGGCCATTATGAACTTGATCTGGAAATCTTGGTTTTCTTGAACAGTTACAACATATGTCTCGATTACAAATGATTTGCCCAGTTGCAGTGTGCTGCAACAGAAGCTTTGTCATTTCGTCTCTAAATTATCGTGATGAACAGTTCCAAATAGTATCTGGCTTATTCGTCAAGCAGTGTCGATTGATAGGTTTCAATATGGCTTCTTTGTAGTTGAGCATTCTCAATGCATTTACAATCACCGCCTCGGTAAACTGCATCTCTCGGTTTTCCTCTGGAATGAATGACATCTTTCCTCTAGGACTCTGAATGTTGATCGTGGTGTGATGGCCTAGACACGGCCGAGTAGACAAACAGTCCGGCATCTTACGTTGTTGCAATCGGTTGAACAAGGAAACATACGGTCCAAATGAGCCTCGACCTTGTTCAAGCAAAAGAACACGTGTGATTTGTTCCATCTAACTGAACGTGTTTCGCATGAACGAAATGTCTTCATCTCTAGCATTTCGGAGAGTAGTTCGAGTCGTCTCGTTGCCTAATGCAAGACCGCAAGATGGGAGACCAATAGCGTTATCCACTATCAACCATGTAACTGGACTAACAAAAGTAGATGGAATGTTTGTCATTGCCTTGAACTAAGCTCCCGTATCGACCTAACCATCTCTCGTGCGTTTCCATCTTGTCTAAGACTTCCGGGATCATTTTGACCAAGAGAGTTCACGTTGAAATAAGAGGAGAATATAATTAGCGTCACAGGGGGTTGACCCCACCCTTAGGCGAAGAGCTGCAGGTTCATCCACACACAAGATAATATGTACAACATAGCGCATGAAAAACCAACTACCATTTGGCCAGGAATCCTCCATCAATGGGAATACAAATTCCGTTTACGTACGACGAACAGTCAGATGCAAGCCAAAGCGACCCCTGCGCTACCTCATGGGCCTGTCCGAATCTGTTCAAGCTGCTAACCTTGGGCGCAAACTCATCATGGGTGGTGCCCATAATCTCCAACGCTGCGGCCGACATATCACTCTGCTATTGTTAGAACCTCCCTGGATTAAAGGTGGGGAAAACATACGAAGATCGCTCCAGGCGCAATGGCGTTAACTCGGATACCCTTCGGGCCACCTTCAGTCGCTGCATGCTTGGTCAAGCCCAGGAGTGCATGCTTAGTTGCCGTGTATGCTGGCATATTTGGCTGCGGTGAATAGGCATTGATTGAAGCAATATTGACAATCGAGCCCTTTGTGCCCTGCTTTTCCATTTGCTGCATCTGATATTTACAGCACAGCGCGGTACCGGTCAAATTGATATCAACCAATCTGCGCCAATATGACTCGTCGAAACCGATCAGGGGAGTCTGATCGGGAGTCATGGCTGCGTTGTTGATCGCCACGTCCAATTTGCCGAATGCGCTGACGGTCTCCTTAATGAGGTTTTGTACATCCTCTGACTTGGAGATGTCGGTCTTCACAAAACGGACTTCTCCCAGAGAGGAAAGCTCTTCTGCAACCTGAGCTCCTTGCTCTTCCTTCAGATCGGCAATGACTACCTTGGCCCCTGCCCGGAGGAACACAGACGCGGTAGCCTTGCCCATGCCTTGGGCGCCTCCTGTGATGATGGCAACCTTGCCTTCAAGGAGGGGAAAGATAGGCGCTTCCGGGACATCCATTGTGCAGATGATCGGCTTGACAATAGGATATGGGTATGTGAAGAATAGGGGGCAAAACAATGGCTTTGTTTCGGTTTAGTGTGGCCAGGTCGGATTTTATGTTTGATAATCTATTGCATTTGTTGCTCGGCATTGTGCCCCTGATCTGGGACCATTCGGCCTCATCTAATCGTAAATTGGCCCGTCTGCACAGACTAACATCTGCCCCTCCTTGGGAGGACCGTTAATGTGCTAACAACGTTGAGTGGGTACATTCCATGAACTCTATCCACTGGCGAATCAGACATCCCTGTAATCGTTTCGACATGAAAACGAAAAAAGCAAAAATAAGCCAAAAAGCCAGACCATGGAATGCCCCCCCCCACTTTCCGAACGCCCCGACTTTGCTAAAAACGCCAATGTCAAGTTAGCGCGGGTTAGTTCGAGACCGTCAAGCCATAGCTGACGCTGATCGTCCTACATGACTCTTCTTTAAGACCAATGCAATTAAAAACCACTAAGTACGATTCATGCACGGAGTACGGCATTTAATCCACATACGCAGCAAACGCATTTTCTTCTGCCGCCCTGTTCCTATCTTAGCAGATCTAGATGCCGATCTCACGGTGGATAGTAACAATTAACTCCGCCCTCAAACTCAGGCTATGTACGGTGTACTCCGTGCGGAGTACATTCCTCGTGATGGTGGGACGCAAGCAACTTTGATAATCGTATGTTGTACGCAATGCTATGTAGTGAAACCCACGTGGAAGGATCGTCTTAACCCTGGCAATAATTACCGTCTATACCAGCCACTGGTATCCCTTCTATCCAAAGTACCTAGGGCTAGGTCCAGCCAAGTTCCGGAACAAGTCGGCCAGGACCCGCTTTTCCTCAAGTACATATGCCGAAGATTAAGCAAAACACTTGCGAATGGAGTGTGCCAGCCACAATAACACTTGCTAAGACTTGAATAGGGGGAGTTCCCGGGGTACTGAAAGTCTCTTGAGTCCCTCTCTTAGTTCACTTTGTCGGCTTCTCTTTTTGCATCGTCCTTTCCTGTTGCCAGTCTCACTCCAACAGTCAAAATGAGCGATACTCAAAGTTCAACTCATGACCCTGAGAAGAGTGCACCTGTCGCACGCACGCAAAGTGTCAAGGATGGAAATAGACACGAGACCAGTCTCGTCAATATCTTGGTACTTGACTAGCTCTCCTTAGTTACTTTAATCCTTGTCTGACTCAATAGGTTGCTTGCACTGCATGTTTAGGAGGATTCCTATACGGCTTCGCGGCCAACGCTCTTGCTGGATCCCTCGCCCAACCAACCTTCATCGCCAAGTTCTTGTCGGGGTCTAATGCAACATCTGTACAAGATGGTATGCTTGGAGGGTATGTTCAACCTTCACTGCAGGCAAACGCATCTTTAGCTAAAAATATCTTGCTAGTTTCCTCGGAGGCGCCCTAGTCGGTGCTATTCTGCAGGCACCCGTGTCTAACAAGTTCGGCCGCCGAATTGCCAACGCCGTTGCCGCCCTGATCGTCATTATCACGGGTGCTTTGCAGGCCGGTTCGGTCAGTGCCACCATGTTTATCGTCGTGCGTGTCATCTGCGGCGTCGGTGCGGGTATGGTATTCTCGAATACGCCCGTGTACATGAGTGAGATCTCGCCCCCGCACACACGTGGAATGCTGGTCGGTCTGCACGGTGTGGGAACAGTGACGGCGTATATCCTGGCCGCTATTTGCGCGCTGGCCTTCAGCTTCGTCAACACTCAGATGCAGTGGCGGTTTATCTTCATCGTTCTGACTGCTGTGGGTGTTATCTACATGGCGACACTTTGCTTCATCCCTGAATCTCCTCGCTGGCTCATGCAACAGGGACGTGATGAAGAGGCTAAGAAGGTCTTGGAGTATCTGCATCGTACCAAGCGGGACCCTAGAGGTACTTTTGCTCATGCTGAGGCGGTCCAGATCAAGGCCCAGGTCGTTGCAGAGAAGAATACTCCAAGCGGATATCTCTACATTATCCGCACAGCGTCTCACCGCAAGCGCGCTCTCTGCGCCATCCTGTTGTGGACCATGGGCCAGGGAACCGGCATCACTGCCATCGCCAATTTGATTCCTACCCTCATGGGTGCACTGGGCTTTGGTACCACCATGCAACTTGGACTTGGAATTGTTTGGACTGTGTGTGCGGTGATTGGTTGCGGAATCAATATCTTCCTCCTAGACAAGATTGGACGAGTCAAGTTGTTGGGTGAGTTTTGGATTCCTTTGCCGTTGAGCTGCTTATACTAACCACATTCACAGTCATCGGTGGATTTGGCTCTGCCGCTATTATCAGTGTCATGGCCGCTCTCGAGAAGTACTACCTCCACACAACCTACACACCTGGAATCAACGGCGCCGTCGCTATTTATTTCATCTTCGGTGCCTTCTTCACCTCCACCATTGAATGTACCGCATACGTCTATGGTTCCGAAATTTGGCCGACCCACCTGCGCAGCGAGGGAGCAACCATTGCATTGGTCAGTTTCTTCGGTAATGCTGTCGCATACAGCGCGCCTGTCACACTGGCTCTCAACAATATCGGATGGAAGTTCTATATGGTGTTTGTTGCTGTTACCGTCGCAAGCACTATTGCCATCATGTTTTATTTCCCCGAGGTATGTTATGATTTCCGTCCCTGCACCGTTATACTCCAATCTAACCTTTTTTCCCCTGCAGACCATGGGACTGAGTCTCGAGGAGATCAATGCTAAGTTCGGCGACCACGTCGAGATGGAGCTTCAGGATGCACTTGATGTTGAGGACACTAGCTCGAACGGCACAGTCTAAGCAGAAAATGGTCACATCCAGGACTGATGCATCAATTGAGGTGTATATACGTGGATTATATTGCTTTCCGTTCGCATAGTTCAACTTTCTATTGCTGATATAGCTATACAAATTTAATTCGATATCATCATTTGCCACGTCTTCTCTAATCTCAGCCAATCCCGCTATCACGTACTTTTTTCTTTTACGGGATATTCTGAGACCTATACGAAGAAGTGGAGCTCAACCTTTCGGACGGGTCGCGGCTTGCCCAAGGCGGCATGGCCCTGCCGATCCACCCCGTACCGACCCAGACGTGGACGCTCAGCCAGGATTCATAATGATTTTTGGACCAATCAGAGCCGGCGGAAGTGATTGACTTTTATTGTTAAAACTAATAAAATGTGTTTATTACGCCCATTGAAATAAATTACAATACGAGATACGGACCTCGGGGGTGCCTTCCAAATTATAACTCTCCTTCCCTTTGCCCATGTATTCTGCCACTCTGATTAAGCTTTAAGCCTGAATTTTGAGTATAAAAATGGCTCATACTAACTTCTAAAGCTTGTTGTGTCGTAATCCTCGTCTACTCGTGGCGATTCCTGTTCTGAAGGAATAGTTGGTGGAGCACTTAAGGGAGAACTAACTCCGGAGTAGATATTTTCGCTAGCGGCTTACATATAAAGTGCGGGCACCTGTTGTCCGACCTATTACTCCGTACAGTATAAGGCGGTGGGGAAAGCGGTAGGCCCGAGCAGTTGCCAAGAAGCGGAACCCAATTAGGAAGGTACACCTACAATCTCAGGCAGGTCACGAGCAGCAAAGGAGGGTCTTCAACTTATGTTGTATATCAAATGAATACGCTAATTCGATTGTATATGATATGTATGGAGTACTCCGTTAAACAAACGGAGTACTCCAACTGACCTCCCCAAATCTGAGACTTCACGGAGGTATAGTGGATACCCGCATAAGACCCCGTCAACTGGAACCACCTACAACTTACGAAGACGGCTGAGTTATAGATGATTCGTTAATTGACCCTCCACTTTAATTTAAATTTTCGTTTGACATGCCGTTATTCATATGGCAACAGCGTTCCTTTCCTTACTAGGTAGATGTCAAGAAAGTTACCCACGGCACCCAGCTGTCAACTGTTAATCAAACCGCAAATCACTCGGAATCTTCCCGATAAGAAGACTTGTATGCGAATGCGATGCCCTGACCCACTCTATTTCAGTGCATGATCTGGCTTGCACATACACCTAAAACGCGGGAAAGGTCGCCTCGTGGATGGGCTATGACCACCACCAGACTAGGAGAAGCACGATGCTTCTTTTCCGCTAGGGCCGAACCAATTGCAACCCTACAAATTATCGTACATATCCACTTGACATCCACAAAGGTATTGTGTGATATATCGTTCAACTCGCCCCCTGTCACTAGTGCGGATGGGCTCCGGAACGATATTCAAAAAGAATTTGAAATGTTTTTATTGCATTGCAGCAATCCAAAATGTGACGAGGATAAACGTTGAGAGAGATGTGTAGGAATGAAGACGTCGAATTGCATAGAACTACAGGGCAAAAAGGCAGAAATAGAGACACCCAGAGCTGAAAAGAATCATCTATTCAAGCTGAAGAATAAAATCGAGCGAGCTATTCCCGCCAGTATGGTTATCTTAACTAATCCATCGTACCATACCACTGGAAACGATTTCCTTGTTATTGTCCGTGACGAATTTTTAATTCTTTTCTTTTTAGTTTCAGACCTTTAAAGCTTCAAAGGTACGAAGTATGGTCAGCCGTTAGGCCTAGCTGGAAGTGGATTACGATCATCGCAATCACAATAGATCATAATTAGAGATCATTAGCCGGGCCCCTATTATTCTGGTTACTATTTCCCTCTGGTGGCTCGATTATATTTAACAGAGTAATGATGGATGTCATTGTGTCTGCTTCCTGAATCTTGACTCCACATCCAACATGCCTGCTCTCCGTGGTAAGGGTCCAACGTTGGTTGGAGTACTTTGGTTTGAAACTACTTTGTGTATGCTTGTGCTTGCACTGCGAGTCTACACACGGACTGTGATCCGCCGCAATACTGGTTGGGATGATCTACTGCTTCTCGCTTCTTGGGTATGAGCTCTTCTGAGACATCCATAGCTCTTGCACTGATTTGCTAACTTGTCATGTCGGCTTGTAGATTTTGATGGTTGCCTTTACAGCCCTCTGTACAGCAGCGGCGCATTATGGCATGGGTGTGCATTCAGGCGAACTTTCTGTCGATCAGACTACCCACGGAATGTTACTGCTCTTGGCTGGGCAAAGTATTATAGCAATTAGCATGGGTTTGAGCAAGTGCGCTGTCGCTGCGTTCCTCATGCGGATTGTCGTCAAAAAATGGTACGTTCCTTAAACTGGAAGTTCGAGGACCTTGACTGATTAATCCTAGGCACAAACTCTTCCTCTGGTTTTGGATCGTCAGTATCATGGTTCTTAGCATTATCCTGGCTGTTACTGTGTTCGCACAATGTACACCAGTGGAGTCGATCTGGGACCCGCGAATTCCGAGTAAAGGCTGTTCTTTGAATCTCGCGGTCATGGCCACAATCATGTGCGGTATGCTTTCTTCTCTTTCCAAGCATAACCTACACTTGAGTTGTTCTAACATATTTCTAGCATGGTCCGCCGTCCTTGACTTTGTTCTCGCTCTCTTCCCATGGTTGGCCTTGTGGAATTTGAACATGAAGAAAAAGGAGAAATACACGATTTGTTTCTCGTTGAGTCTGGGTATTTTGTTAGTTCTTCGGCTACTGATCCATTGCCTTTCCATTTTATCATACTAACACATATTCACAGCGCCGGAATTTGCGGTATAATCCGAACAACAGGTCTCAACGCTCTAACACAATCATCCGACTATCTCTGTGAGTTTCGGAATCCATTGTCTGTTAGCGGCGAAAACAAGCTAATCACAGAATAGATGCGACAACCGACTCGGTGATATGGACCATGTCTGAACTTTCCACCACCATCCTTTGTGTCAGCATTCCAGCCCTTCGCCCTCTCTGGCGCTCCATTTGCGGCGACATCTCATCCAACGACGCCTCAAACTACACCGACCTTCCTCCCTACGGAAAAAGCAGCGCCGGACGCAGCGTAAAACAACCGACCTTTGCTATGGATACAGTGACAACGACTACCGTGCATGGCAAAGATCTTGACGATGAGTCTGGGAGCAGTGGGAGGAATGAAGAGCACGGAGAAGACACAGACACGAGACATATTCTGCCTCATCCACGTCCTCATTCGACTGGTATCTATCAAGTCAACGAGGTGACGATATCTTATGAGGATCGAAGGCCTGGGGATGGTGATAGTATCCCTTCTGATCCAGTCAAGACCAGGCAGCATCTTTGATATACCCATTTTGATGCTATATATCGTTACAAGGGGAAAGGATAGCTCCATTATCCCGACATAATTAGTATAAACTCAACTTGAGACGATTTTCATATGTAAGGTGGATACCCTTGGACTTTTTGAGCTATACTCTATGGCAATCGCGCTTCTTACAAGGAGTATGAATATTATTGGTTAGGATTATAATAGAGGTTCCCTACATAGCATTTACGTGTTCTAATTCCTTCGCCACGTTTGGTAGATGTCTATGGACTAGTATCCTTATCTGTATGCGACAGTCGAGGACAGCGCAGCGGTACGAAGGGCAATATCAATATATTGGTAGACTGGCATCCTACTACTTCCTCTCTATGTAAAGCAGTAGTATTCAAGGTGACTTTTCAAATTCAACTCTTATAGGTATACGAAGCTGCTATGCACTATAATTACTGCAACTAATGCTGACGCTATGTCAACCTTCGGACTCTTCAAAAATGCCAGCTTGCCTCAAAACCACTTTCTTCTCAGCAACTCGATCCTCATGAATGTCCCAATGTCTGTAAAATCAGTGTTAGTCTCCAAGATTTCAAAAAGTTCGGAGTGATTGATGCTTACTGTTCTGTTCCTCCATCACGCTTAGCGGATCCTGCGCAGGCTGGATGGTCTTCGTGTCATCCAAGCCAATCATCATGATCTTGCCGATGCTAGGCACACCATGCCGGTCCAGAACAAACAACATCCAGTATCCAGGAATTAAAATACCCGAATCTTCTGGCAGGGTAGTTTTCCAGGTATTCCTGAAAAATGATGTAGCAGTAACATCAAGTGGAATGCGGCGTTGATCAGTGTTGACAGTATGGGTGGCGGTTCCCAGACGGATCAGGGAAGCTGTGGAGATACGACCGGAGGTTTTGAAACGCAAGGTACTGCCCACCAAGGTATGATCTGGCAGGCCCGAGAGGATCTCAGGACGCGGCCGGGGCTGACCTGAAGGAGAAAGGAGGTAGGGAGGAGTAAAGATCTGACCATCATAGTGGTTGGCTGAGCAATTGCCACAGAGCCCACCACCTGCATTCAACACTCGAGCATCTGGAAGGAGGATTGACACGGTATGATACACTCTCACAACATTGTTCTGCTGTAACTTTGTGAAAGTGTTGGTTTCAGGGTCATAGATTTCCGGAATAAATTGGACACGTTCCTCATTAAATGCAACGCCGTACTGCTGACCGCCAAAGATGGCGACTTTTCCATCGGGGAGAACGACCGTAGTGTGGAACACACGCTCGTAGTGCATAGTGCCGTTTCCAGCTGGTTCAACCTTTGGCTCCTCACCCGGTTCACCGATCGTGATAATGTGGGCGGCGTTGGTGGACCACGATTTATCATAGTCCGGAGAGCCACCGAGAGTGAGAATCTTTCCCTTCACGGCATCGAACATGATTGCGTTACCGGACATAGAATCATCATCATCCATACGATCCCCTGCCGCCTTCACACTACCATTATCGTGAGCGGAGTACCAATTCATCTGTTTGCTAGGCCCGGCTTGGAAGATACTCAGATTCTTCCAGCCGAAGAGCCAGCCATGGTTGTCCGCTCGCCATGGACCTTCCATATCCCCAGTCAACATCTTGCTGACTTTGGCTTCAGGGAGCATAGTCCAGTTTCGGGTAGCAGGGTCGTAAACTTCGCCATCCTTGTCAACGTTGGAACCTCCAGCCCACGAACCGCCAATGACGAAGACACGCCCATCGGAGAGGGTTGTAGACGCCTGGTATCCACGACGGAGTTTCATTTCGGTTGCGCGGACCCATTCATCTTTGGCAGAATCATAGAGACTAGTCTCGGAGGCATCGTTGCCACCAGTCACGACCATCATGCCAGTGCCGTCATAAGAAATGCCGGGGCAGAACATATCGTGGTGGGTGTTGCTGACAGTGCGCTTAGAGACCTCGCCGGTCAACGGGTTCCACCGAGTCATAACAGTTTTACCTCCCGGCGTAGAGTGGAACTGGTCATCGGCCCATGACGACCAAAGGGCAAGCATGCCAGATCCCTCCTGAGCACCGGCGACAGGCACAATAGGGAAATCAAGAGTTGGTCCCCAGACACCCAGCGCAGGGTCACGAGGAATGGTGTACAGAGTTCCATAGATGTTCAGTTCAGCGATACCGACCCAGGGGTTTTCCTTGTCGGCATCGGTCGTGATTCTCAAGTATCGGGTAGATGATGGTTCAAACGCAGACATTCGCTGTCTGTTTGTGTTGGGCCACATTCCATACGCAACAGGCCCCGTCCAGCTCTCGTGATCTTCGCTGACCCATATCTTGTGCTGGGTAATGAGGCCTTCCGTGTCCGTATCAATTGGAGGAAGGACAACGACGGCGCCCACTTGGTACCATGCACCGAGATCAACAACGAAAGTATGTCCCTTTTCGGAGGGGTCACTGTGCCAGGAGGTACCGTTCTTGCCATCGATCGCATGTTTGCATGGGTAGCCGCTAGCAGAGCTGCTACATATCACGGTCCAGTCTTGACGGGAGATTCGGTGGCCTTGATACGGAGGAGATTCATCTTTGAACTGCGGTACCCAGGAGGGGTTGTCGGGTTTTCCATAGCCAGAGACACGCTCTCCTCTCATAGCTTCGTGCATGTATTCGGCCATGCCATTGACTCCCCCAATGGAAGCCCCGAAGAGGAGCCCGGCCCACTGAAGTTTCATATTGGGCGAAATTTATCGGAGTGTGAAGAGAATGTCAAGGAGAAGAGGAAAGTAAGGCTCACTTCATCTGTGCAAAAAGAAATCTTGACGTGATCAAGGGTACATATAAGTGCAGTACTCGGAATACTCCGCCAGGGCTGGATCCATGCTGTCATTCAGGATCTAAGTGATTTTCAGCACGGAGTGACCTATGCCAATATTACGCAAACTATGACAATAAGCCCGATCTCATAGAGGAAATGTGGGGCTGCTTGCCACCAGTCAAGTGTCTATCTCGGCATTGCTGAAGATCAGCATGAGAGATAGACATCAATGATTGTCTAGGTCCACCTTGCGTAGTACGGCGTGAGTGGGCACTCCTTCTTAGATCGGTGAAGAAAATCCCCAAAAATTAGACCCGATCGGCGATGCTCGGGCAGAGTCAAAGATCGGCGCATCCTGCAGAAGACACGGCATGCAAGCCCACCCCGAACTGGATAGGTACAAGTTCAGCTGTTCCCAGGTGTGAGGTTATTCCTAGCTTGCATATTATAGGTGGAGCTTCCAAGGTTGCACCCAGAACTTGTCGTCATGGCTCTGATTGACCAATTGGCTCTGATCGAGTGTAATTTTACTGCATGTCGATCATGAGAGAGGAACGTCAATGTTGTCTCCGGAGAAAGTTCGTGCTAGCGGCAATTCCGGTGGAGCCCGGCCCGCTTCCGCTGAGACTAATCTTCAGCGAATCAGCTCCCGAGGACTTCTCGTGACATCAAAGGTGGAAGTTTAGTTCAGCTGAGTCTCTCTGGGTATTACACCGGCCTATGCACTAGCTTCTTGCAGATGTAAGCTGCATATGTCGTTCCTCGAGCTATTACAATATGAGTCCACAATTTGTCAAGTGGAAAGCTGAAAGCTATCCCCACATTCCTTTAACTTCATGATTTTCCATTTTCAAGCTGTTGGGTCAGCAGCGCCCTACATAGTTATCATGTTACATTCATACCCGAAAAATCGACAGTCATGACTTGTAGCATATCTTTTGATTGACTAAAATTTTCGGTCGACATGAACGGTATTCGAATTCAGCTAGGTGGATCACGGCTGAAGCCTAGAGATCTGAACGATGTACATCCTACATTGCCGGATATGGATATTCTGCAATCTCCACTACTGCAGTCAATGTGTTATATGTATGGAGCACGGAGTACTCCGCACAAGCCCCCAGGAACCGTGATGTTCGTGATATTCTAAAATATGCCATCTCATTTGCTTGGAGGGACCCACACTCAAATGTAACTGGGAAGTGGGCCATGTTGATCTCTAGCATCGAGGAAACGAAACCCTATAATCATCTGTGAATTAGGAATACATACATTCGAGCAATGACCTGTGGGGCAGTGAGTTCGCATCTCTAGGCGTATGCCCTTCCCCTCTCCCCCGGAGATGCTCGTATAGCTGAATGTGGCTATGATCGATCACTACTATTAGAACTCCCTCGGTAATAACACCGGTGTCGAATATGCCTATCTAATGGACGATCTGATCCAGTAACTGAATGCTACGGTTCAATCACAGACCCGCCTCCTTCCTTTGCTTTTTTGTTAGAAAAATAGAATTCTTGCTGCGTCAGAAGATGGCGTACCCACCGTCTTTCTCATATAAATCCTGTCCCCTCAAGTCAACCCTTGTTCGTTCGTAGTCTTCATTGACATCAGATCGTATACTCTTGAGGAGTCCGACCTTCCATCATGAGTCTCACATCAGCCATCAAGGCAAATATCCAAGGAGATGTTTGGTGAGTTTTCCATGCTACCGAGTATTCATATCGGCATGGTCTTTCAAAATACTTACCTTCATCAGGCCGGGTCTCCCAAAAAGGTTTCAAAGCTTTCTCTTTTTTCGCGTTCGAAACCAAGTTGATTTCAAGAACCGACTGAAGACATTTATTCCCAAGATTACCACCGGGCAAGATGCCTGTGAGATGGGTGAGACCATCAAGCGGGCAAAGAAGGAGGCCGAACTGGCAAAAAAATCAGCTAAGCTTCAAGGTTTACCGGGAATCAACATTGCCTTTACCTCGACCGGTCTTGAAGCAGTAAGTTATCAATCCAACTGTTGTCACTGAGATTGAACAAATACTGATAAGCCACCACTCATAGCTTGGAGCATTTGTGAATTCCAATGATCAGACTTTCGTCAAAAAAGACAGGCAACTATCAACAGTCTTCCGGAAGCAACAACTCCGTGGTGGATTGTTCGAAAAGGGCATGTATGCGGATCTTGTCGGCGAGGGGTGGGATAACCCCCAGGAGCTTCGAAAGGAATACAAGCCCACCGATGATAATGAGAGACTCATTGATGGTGTGATTATGGTGACCGCAAGCCTGAAGCGTGATTTGGATACCACGGTCAGCGAGGTGAAGCAACATTTCCTGGCCGAGGAGGGAGTACCTCTCAACCCAGATACATATGTACTCAGCCAGAACCCTTCTATAGAGTTCACACTGGTCAGAGAAGGAAAGGTTCGCCCAGGCGCTATGAAGGGAAAAGAGCAGTAAGTACTTATCAACCTCAGGAGTCTTTGCCGGCCAAACTTACCTTTATATTCAGTTTCGGATTCAAGGATGGAATCAGTCAGCCTGTAATTGAGGGCTGGGATGAAAGGCAACCCGTGGGAAAGGAGCCCAAGGCCACAAAGTCAGGGTAAATGTGCTCGCCGTTGTTGAATGAAGGACTCTCAGACTGATGAAATGCAGATTGATTGTTTGCGGACATGAGGGCGACCCTATGGGCCAACCAGCATGGGCCAAAGATGGCAGTTTCCTTGTTTTCCGCGACCTTCAACAACTTGTTCCTGAATTTGACGAGTGGGTGACCTCTTCTTATTGTATTGTTTGCTATTTGGTATTGATCAAGTCTATAGGTTCATGGAGGAAAACGCTATGCACGCCCCTTTTACTCAAGACCACCCCAAGCCAGCCGAAAAGCTTGCTGCATACTTGATGGGAAGATGGAAGAACGGTTCGTCGCAAATTAGAATCTTTGAAGTTCGCGCAACGATTTGCTGACCAATATCAAGGAACCCCCGTGGATGAGTCTCCTCATGATGACTCTGACGAGAAACTCTTCTCATCAAACAACTTCGATTACCACCCCGTTGAGGAGCACAAAAAGTGCCCCTTTGCGGCACACACCCGCAAAATGAGACCACGGGCTGACTTGGAGCACGACCATGCTGTTATTATCCGTCGTGGCATTCCGTATGGCGAGGAAGTCTCGGCTGAAGAAATGACTGACCGAAAGTCCTCTGAGGAAAAGGAACGTGGGCTTCTGTTCGTCTGCTACCAGAGCGATATCCGCAATGGATTCAACTTCCTGACTACCCGTAAGCAGTCGAAACTTGAACTCATGCATGTGTGACAAAGAGCCCCCCACTAACAATTGATTCTCCTAGGCTGGGCAAGCAATCACCACTTCCCTGACCGCAAGACTCACTTCGTCGGTGGTGATGGTCCGGGCATTGATGCGTTTGTAGGCCAGAGACTAGACCATCACCCGCCTCGCTCTATCGGTCTTCCTGATGGCAAATATCCCACCGAGGCCCGCATGCCGCTAGAGAGCTGGGTTATCCAAAGAGGAGGAGAATACTTCTTCGTGCCTTCTATCTCAACGTTGAAGAACGAACTCACGGGTCCTGGTATCTTTGACCAGGAGAAACTGGCGCGTCTCCGTGAAGATAACGCGTAATGGTGGGGCCCCGTGGGGGATAGGGAGGCCATCTATATGGTATGGTAGACACATTTCTCGAGATTGGAGTAGTATAATCAATAGCCCGCCCCTCTGGGCATCTCTCATAATAGGAGAAAATGAAAGAAACGCATTTTCCTTGCAATCCAAAAAGTTGCCTTCTTTGATATGATGCCTGGTAGATGTTGGCGTTGGTCCTCTAGATAGCTGAGCGGGGGATATATCTGAGTAAGAAGAACCGGAGTTAGAATTCCACAACAACCTATACAGACGATCCCCGAACGACGCCGAGACCACAGCTTACGACACAGCTGTGGGTTACATTTCCACATAAGACCGTGAATGGTCGGTTTATCCGAAGTCAATGACTTCTAGATCCCGAGATGCTGCCTGAGGCGCTAACTTCGAATAGCCAAGGTCCCCTTTGCCAGGCTCACCCCTCAACTTACCGTGATTCCCCGACACTGCTTGAATGGCGTCGCATCCCATGATTATCCTTGAGAATGGTATCTGAATCTCCTGGGCCTTTGGGCATTGACGTCTCACGTTCCTCTATGGAGTCGCCACCAGCCATTGCCGCCTTGTTCGTCATCAGCTTCGACATCAGGGCCGGGTAATTTCTACACCTTCCCCTGGGCATCGCAGCTCTCAAGCTCAGGAACTATCGCTGACATTATGCGACAACAGATATGTGGTCTCGTGGAAGCGAACTGTGCCGGGAGGTGAGCAACCAATTATCTAGCCGCGGCTGCAGTTGCTCTGATGCGCGATACTGACTCCCGAGTGAACAGTTGAGGTGGAAGGGGTTGTTGAATACAAATCACTGCCCTCAGGGTTACACAATGTGACTGAGGACCTGGTGTATGTTTTTGAACGTCTTTGAAAGCTTTGGATTTGATCTTTGCTGACGCGCTCCTTCAGATACTTCGTTCATGAACAGTATGCCGGTATCAGCGCGTTCCTCAATCACCCCGCCACGGAGGCCGAGCGCAATGCGAAGATGTTTGCGATCGGAGTTCTGGTGCCTCTCAGCACCGGAAGACTTGGGAAGAGTTGGCGACACGCTCCAAGACTCAAGGAACTGGCGTTGTTCGTATATCCAGGCACTCAGGATGGGAGATCCCGACTGACAATGGTCTTCGATAGGAAATACGCCGAGAACATGTCGGATACGCAGTTTCTGTCTGATTATTGGGAGACGTATAGAATAGGAGGGACCGATTCTTCAATTCCTGACTCCCCCCTCGACTCGCCTCTTAGTCTTCGTTTCCGACCCGGCGACCGACTAGATCACTCGAGTCGCAACCGCGCCTTCAGCGATGCAATGCCACTAGAAACGTTCAGGCCGGCCTTGACACCCTTCCACCCCGCTTCATCGCTTCCAGAGTTCACGGAGTGCTTCGGACCTTTGATCTTCCCCCTCTATAGAGCAGCTTTGCTGCGCAAGCGGATCCTCTTCATGGGCGAGGCTCCTGTACACAGATCTTGCAACTACGGTATGCTCCAATGCGCATTGTTATTGAGCTGCTGCTAATTCAGATCCAGTATATGATCTATCTCTCTTAGCCTCATTGCCGAACTCCCTCCTACAGCTACTCCCCGACGATCGCATACCACCACTACGCCCCCGTCCCCTCTTCAACGTCGGCATCCATGATATCCCCTACCTCTCCTCCTTCGATCCGTCGCGCAGCATAATAGACCTTGAAACAGACCCAAGCTGGATCGCCTGTTCCACAGATACTGTCTTATCCATGAAACCCGATCTCTTCGACGTCCTCATCACCCTCCCCACGCCATATTCACAACAAACCGCCGAGCGAGCCTTCCCCAAAATCTCCCTAGTCCATCACACAGGCGGCAAACCCAACCAAATCCAACAAATCCAGCTAAAGGCAACCCAGCGCGACGCCCGCCGCTACTCAATGCTCCGCCGCGGACTCCGCCAATTCTCCAACGACCACCCCACATCCCCAGAACAAGACCCCTCAGACACAGACTCAGCCTACTCCTTCAGCCCGATCGTCGAGCCAGTCTCCTGGACCCGCCTTGCCTACACCTCCTTCATCTGGTGGGCCTCCGCCGGCGAGAACCGCGAGGGCCTCTCAGAGGAAGAAGAAGAACAGCAGGCAGAACAAGACTCCCGCCTTCTGGCAAGCATCGAGAATATCGCCCGCCCACCCTACAACCCACCCTCTCACTCCGACGCACCCCGCAATCCCCTCCAGGAAGGCCAGGAGCCGCTCGAAGTTGCGCTGGTCGCGTACTTCCGCCGCCTGACGTCGCAGATCTTCGTTACGTTGGCTGGCGCCATCGCGCGCTATGATAGCGACTTCGACGGTGACGCCTATAATGATGCGCCGTATATCGACGATGATGATGATATTATCGATGCTTCGCTCTCCATGTCTCGGCAGTCTATCCATGGCGACGAGGGGAATTCCCCTTTACTCCGGCAGCGGTCGAGCGCGGGCGGGTCTGCGAGTCATGGGTCGAGAGCTGGTCACCGGGATTCCGGTGCGCATGAAACTGTCACCATCACGGTGGCGGATATGGCGGAGATGGGGCTTGATGTGTGGAGTGTGACGGACCGAGTCTTTGTTGAGGAATTGGTTTCCTTGTGGTGGGGTCGTGGCGCGAAGGTTGATAGTGCGAGGATTAGATGTTGTGGGATCTCGGTTTTGTAGAGGCTGGTTCTCTCCGCGACTGTTCTATCTTTGAGATCTTTGAGATCTCCATGGAGGTATTTGTTTGTTGTTAGGCATAGATTATGTACTGTAGGCCAATATAGTTACATCTTTTCATGGATATATCGGTGGATGATTAATGGTTCATTTGATTCCAGACTGACCATGATAAGATGAAGTTCACTCCCAAGCGAAATCTATGTAAAAAAGAAGAAAAATGAGACATAGGAAATGTGAAAAGAGGGACGGACACTTGAAGCCAGTGGATCAAAAGAAGGACATGCAGTTGGGAAATTAAATCCATAGTATACTGAGGCTCATGACATCGGAGCTAAAAGATCCAAACACAAACAAAACAGAGCATATTGCTTTCGATCGTCACGCAAATGAAATAAACACAAATCGATGCAGCGCCGGGGGTATTAGAGGAAAGGACAAGCACCGGCAGACTATGCAAAAGAAAGACATAAATATGCATCATGAGACATACGTCCCATGGCATTCATTAACGTCGGAACATCCGAACAGGAGCACTCATATCTCGGCGTTCGCCAAGTTCTTTCTCGGTCCTCGAATCAGCCCGAAGACTGGGGTTAGGAACACGTCTAGGTCCCCGAGCAGAAGTCGGGTTGGATCCCGCCGAGGCGCGAGCTGCGAGGCCGGGCTCACTGGCACTGACTGATCGCTGCTTGCTATGGGTGCGGCCTCGGCGCGCCCTGATCTGTGCGAGTGCTTGTTCGCGGTCGATAGGCGTATCGGGAACGCCAGGGTGCGAAGTGCGCTGTGACTGTGGCTCTTGTCGGGAAGGAGCTCTCTTCGGGGGGTTAATGGGCTGGCGGTAGCCATAGGGCTCTCTCTCGACACGTCTCGACGGTCTTGCTTCCACAGACAGTGGTACACGCGGGCATTCGGCGGCACCATCTGATGGGGTGGGACGGGGCATTCTGGTCGGGGCAGGCTCCCCAGAGGGGGTGAACGAGTCGATTCCTAAGTCGGGTGATGCAGAGGCATCGGCATGACCTGCGTGGACATCTGGCCGAGGCTCGGCTCGATCGGGTTTGTCGAAGAAGTCCAATCGCAGAGGTCTGACATTATCTCGGAGAGGAGATGGGAATGCCGTGAATGTGCCAGTCACTGGAGAAAATGTAACCAGGGGCTCCTCTGGCATCTGCATCTTGGGGAGATCCGTAGGTTCAGCCTTCATGGTAGGCGCGGTGTGCTGGTGCACAGGAACAGGTGGCGCGGCTGAAGGAGTACGACTTGACTCTGTTTCTTCCTGGTGAACGCTATGTTGAGGAGATCTCACCTGAGTGGTGGCCTGGTGAACAGGTGATCGGTGAACGGGAGGTGGAGGAGGGGGAGGGCTAGCCTCGGGAGTGCTTGCTGGATGAGGAAGGACTTGGTGCACACTAGCTTTCTGAATGCTGGCTTGTTCAGCACGAGCTTTTGCTTCCGCCTCGATCTGAGGCTTTTGGAATTTGTTATAGTACTCAGCATCGTAAATGTAGCGACGACCTTGGCTCTCTGCAAGCCTGCAAGAGCAGCGTTCGAACTGGCACTCAATGTTCAAGAAATGCACCATATCTTCCGCTGCGACTCTGCGACGACGCTCGAAGATTAGCTCTTCCCTAATCTCCTCCAACATATCCTCGTCTAGTTCAGCAGCCTTCTCGGATGTAACTTTTTCACTCTCCGCTTTTGGTGCACAATCCGACAAACGTGGGCGTTTGGGGGGAGTGGCTTCTGCGTGGTCTTCTTCGCGTGCCGGAGCTGGGGATAGGACAGATCCTGTAGCGGCTCGTTTCGCTCTGCGCGGGGTGGCCAAAAACGCGAGATCGCCTTCTGCTATTGACAGTCTTCCGAAGTTTTCTCTCCGAATCTCATGCGCGCGGACTTCCAGGGTGCTCGAGTGGTTGTCTGTTTCGAGGGCACGGAATTTCTCTTTCAGGACTTCGAGTTCCTCTGTAAGACCAGCAAGAGCATAGGCGCGTTCGAATGCCTCCTGCTTGGCCTTGTCCTTTGCCTCGCGTTCTGCTCCCAGCTCCTCCTTCAGGGCTCTGATGTCTGATTTCGAGTGTTTCAATTCTTCTTGAAGTTTTACCAAGGTTGAACCAGCCCGAAAGGCTTCTTTGCGGGCTTTTCTGATTTCTTTTTCGAAAATTGATCGTTCGTGGGCCTGGCGTTCTTTCGTACCATGTAGCTCTTCCAACAATGATTCCAGGCGTTCACTGATCCGGCGTTCTCGTGTTTGTGCTTCGGATAAATCTTCTTGTGCGGTGGTTAGGGCGGACTCGGCTTCCTCGCGGCCCAGCATAGCGCGTTGTAGAGCGGCATTGTTCGATGCAGAGTTGGCAGTGTTCCCTCCTCGAGAAAGGCCGTTGAGAAATGCCACTTTGGCTTGGACTTCCGAAACACCTCTAGTCCTCTTGTGGTGTAATGTGAGGAGATCAGAGGGTAGTGAGGGAGAGGGGGGGATGGTTTGTTGATTCATGCGTTCCGGTGAGACCGGATTCAACGCCTTCGAGGGGCTCAGGATGGGACGTGTTGGGGACTCCATCGCAGATGCTTGACAAGTAGTGGATCCAGCCGAGGATGATCACAGGGTCAAAGAATCATCACAGAAATAACGAGATTCACGAGGGAAAATCACCGTTGTGGAGTTAAAGTGGTGACGCACACAGAAACATGTTTATTTCCCTCTTTGGAAGGATCATGTGACTGTTGCCCTGGTGACTTTTCAGCACCTTCCCGGATGTGGTTAGTCACTCACGTGCGGTACTCCCCACATCCGGCCTAGCGTCATGTTTTGGTTATGTCTGTGCGTCTTTGGCGGGCATTGTCGATATCAAAATTCACCGAGGGGCTACACTGCAAGTGTCAATTGTGTCCATCAATATGCATGAAATCGTTACACTTCAGCTTGGTCAGCGGGCTAATTATCTAGCAACACATTTTTGGAACCTGCAGGTACTGTCAACCACGATCACATATGAACTTCAGTCTGATATATATCTAGGAATCATACTTTACCTATGATGGAGAACAGTCAGATGTTGATCACGATGTTCATTTCCGACCGGGTGTTGGAGTAGATGGCTCCGAAACCTACACCCCACGCACAGTAATCTATGATCTGAAGGGCGGATTTGGAACATTGCGCCGGTACAATGCACTTTACGAGCTAAGTGAAGACTCCACAGCAGGTCAAGGATTATGGTATGCAAGTTAAATTGATGAACAAGTTTTTCAAACTAACGTCTGGCAGGGATGGACAAGAGATAGTCCAAAAGCAACCTCCAATTCAACCAAGTGAATATCAGAAAAGCTTGGATCTGGGCACTCAACCCCCTCGCCTGACCTCGGAATCCGTACGCTACTGGTCAGACTACAACCGAGTGTTCTATCATCCAAGGTCTATTGTCCAGCTAAACGAATATGACCTAAACTCCCAGAACATGCCCTTTGAGGATTGGAATGTCGGGGAAGAACTATTCAAAGACCTTGATAAGGAGCATGACCTGCTGGACCGTGACCTGAGACCTCTGCTTGAAGAATGTGATCACTTGCGGGCGCTGCAACTGTTCTCCGGATCTGATGATGCTTGGGGCGGATTCGCAGCCCAGTATATGGAACGACTGAGAGATGGATTTGGAAAGAAAAGTATTTGGGTGTGGGCTATTGAGGACGGCACCAAGACACAGCGGGTGAGTCATACAGTGCTATTTTGAAGAATCGCGAGTCCGGTTGGCTAAGTTTCGAACTTTATAAAGCACCACCAGTTCAAGAAGGATACGAACAAGGCCAGGTCACTTCATTCGATCTCGCAACTGGCATCGCTCTATTCTCCAATTATCGACGTTCCGCATAAGCTGCCCGGCTATATCCATGTTGATCGCCAATCAGAATGGCAGAAAACAGCCCTGATAGTCTCAGCGATTGAGACGGTCACGCTGCCTTCCCGATTGCGGCCATATCAGCATTTCGAGGCCTCTCTCGCTGGGGAAGATGGCACGCACACCATCTTCGAATTACAATCCTCCATTAATAAAATGAAAATCAATGACGGTCAAACCAAGGAAGCCTCCAATGAAGACGGGCCGACGCAAGCCGAAATTGAATTTGACATTGACTTCGCCTATGACGGGGAGTACAAAAAAGGCGCCCATGTCTTCAACCAAGTCCAAGTCACCCGCGGAGACGAACCGCAAAGGGACAGCGAGTCCACCGAGGACAGGGACATTGGGCACCGTCGCAAGATCAGGAGATACAACTCAGAGTCGATGTTGCAAAAGTAGGTTTCCTGTTCTACGCACTAACTTTCCATGTCTCAGCCAGGCGACTCACATTCTACACCATTAATAGGTTCCACACGCCACTCCGCATGCCTATTCTTGACAGTTTCCCGCATGACATGTTCCCCACCCCCGAGACAGGTACTGGAGTAAATGTGTTTACCGCATTGACCGCCTCGACCCGGACAGCTCAGAGCATCAAGACTATCTCGGCAAGTGCCGCACGTCTAGTCTCGGTCGATGAGCGTGAGGCTTTGGTAAATGGACTAGGCGAGATTCGAGAGTACTACGAGACGGGGTGGAGTAGTGGCTCGGACGATGATGACGACTAGATAAGAGCTACACCATATGTTGATATCATCGCAATCAAAAAAAAAGGAAAGAATGACAGGGTATGTATCCGGTTTCGGGCGATAATTACCTCCCGTTACGCAGATCCAATATAGTTACGGAGTACGGAGTGTACGATACCACTTTGTAATTCCAAGGTTGTTCCACAGAAAAAAAGACATAGAAGGATTTGGTGGCTTCAGGCTCACTTTGTACTTTTTCAGTGTATCACCCCACATTTTCCATGTAGCCCTCGTTATCTGTTCCGATGACATGTGCGCCACTATGCATGGTTGCAAGGGAATGCGACCAGCCTCTTCATAATAATCTCACTCTCCGCAATTGAGAAGGCCGGGGACTTGTTGGGAGATACTTTTCCGAGATTGTGGTGGAGAGTTTAAGACATATATTCCATTATGGATACGCCGTACTCAGAGATATACATATGTTCCTTGGTAATAGCCCCACGTCACATTGCCGAACCGTGGTCGAGTCTGTCGTTCTTTATCAAAAAGAATTGTAACTATATTGTATGTACGGAGTACATACAATATAGTTACCTTGGAAGGACTCGAACAACTAACGCCCCTTGTTGTGTGACTACGTGTAACTATGCAAGTAATATGCAGTGCCTATGCAGTGTCCGGAGTATATTGCACAGTAACAGGGGCAGAGTATATTCTCCAAAGTTCTCCGTATATCGCGCCATAATTCTTCTTTTGGCAAAGAAAGATCGAGGGCGTCATCAGTCCAATTTGAAATTCAAAAATCCAATAGTCTGGACCGGGATTGTAGAGAATCCTTATGATACTGTAAGAATAGGGCAGTCCTACATACTATGTACATGTATACGTCACATATCAATACCAGTAAATTAATTCCTCACCAGAAAACAAAAAGAATACAAAAGAAAGCCAAAGAGGAAAAACAAGGACAACACGTTGACATCACCAAGTCTCCATAAAAGTCCCCACCGCAGAACTTCCCATGTTTTGTTGGAGAAAATGCCAGGGCCTGTCCCACAACGGTCCACTTGGCCTGCGCTGGGCTTTTGACAGCCTATTACGAGATACTTGGGTCAGGGGCATGTCTATCGCAGAATAAACACCGATCAAACCATTTTGCGATCACCGCCTGGGCTAGAATAATAGACCCTGACCCAAATCTAGACTGATATTCATTTCCGGCTGTCCGATTTTGATCCCCACAGCCCTAAGATTCGTGAGAACTTGTTTTATCTATACAAAGTACATAGATGCCCAGTTTGAATTTTCACTATTATTCGTGAGGTTTCGCTTCCCCACACTTTTATCTGGGCCATATGGGGTGGGCCAAACTTAAGAGTTATTCATAGCTCGGTTTCATGATGTGTATAAAAGACATTCTACTACTAGACTTGATATCATGAAGTATCAAGACAAGGAAATTAGACAAAAAAAAAAGACAAGAACAGCAGAAACTGGCAAACCCTAACCAAATATAGGTACGTACTCTATGCCGTGATGGGACATCCCAGAGCTATCTCCCGCATTGCCAAGACACAACCTACATCATCCGAGTCCATTGGCTGATCCGCTCATCGGGCTCTGAACACTTTGACTTTGTCATATTTCAACTTTTTCGAGTTTGGCAAACTACACGCCAATCGCTGAGACCCCGGCAGGTTCTCATTGGCTTAACCCTTGTACCTGGTCGTCTAGTCAACCGGGCCTGTTCCGGTACATACATCTTCTTCGTTGGAAATATGGAAAATATGCGGGTCGACTGCTGAATACTGGTTGTTCATGCCCGTTCTGGTTGGCTTTCGAATATGAGCGCCACTTTTATTTTTTCGACTTCCTGTTTTGAGCACCCAATACAATGGGGTACCAGGTGGTCCACACTAGCCCATGGCCAACCGAACAGAAGCTATCGAGTGAGCCAACCGGACAGGAATTAAGGCCCCGAGGAAACCAAACCCCCGAGCTACATATAAGCCTGCCATGTTCTCAATCTCTCCCAGCCTTCGTCCTCAATTATTTCAATTGTTTATATTGCTTGTTTAGGAACTCTCTCGCTACGGTTCCTGTCGTCCTTCGTTCCAAGGAGCATATCAGCCCTATCTATCTCAGCACATAAGCATTCGTTTGCCAGTCAAGATGAGAGGCGTTCCGATCGTTCTGCTCTACGCCGCGACCTTGGCGTCCGGCGTAGTCATTACTCCCAAACATGTTGGTGAGCCTCGCATTGCCGTCCGCGGCGGCAGTGGTAACCATGGCGGTGGCCCTTGGTGGGGTAACCACGGAGGTCAGGGTGGTCACAGTAGCAGTGTTCCTCCAGTAGAGACCACTACTCCTGCGCCTGTCGAGACTCCTCCGCCCGTGGAGACCACCTCGTCCGAGACTACCTCGTCCGAGACCGAGACGCCCACTAGTTCCCCAGTCATTCCGACAACTACTTCAGTCGTGATTCCTACTTCCCCAGTGGTTCCGACTACTATTCCAGTGGTGGTTCCTACTACTCCAGCCGTGACTCCTACCTCGACTTCTTATCAGACTGGTACTCCTCCTCCAGTTGTCGTGACCACTACCTACACGACAACCACCTGTCCAGGTAAATGAAGTTCCCACTGTTCTATCAATTCCAATTGCTAATAAAATCAGTGACATGGAGTACCGTTACAAGCGGCACGTCAACGTACAGCCATCCTGTGACTGCGACTAGCACGATCACTGTGACATCTGTTTATACCTGCACTAAAGGGGGTTGCGCTCAGCCTACAACTACTCCCGCTCCTACAACTCCCTCTGAGACTACTCCCCCTCCGGTTATTGTGACTACTACCTACACGACCACTACCTGCCCAGGTAAATGACATTCCGATTATTCTATCAATTCTAATTGCTAATAAAACCAGTGACATGGAGTACTATCACAAGCGGCACGTCGACATACACCCATCCTGTGACTCAGACGAGCACGATTACCGTGACGTCTGCTATCACCTGTACCAAGGGTTGCACTCAGCCTACAACCGCTCCTGCTTCTAGCATTCCCTCTGAGACTGCTCCCTCTGAGACCGAAACCCCTGGTCCTCCGGTTATCGTGACTACTACCTACACGACTACCACTTGCCCAGGTAAATAAGATTCCGACTGTGATATCCTACAATTGCTAATAAATTCAGTGACATGGAGTACTATCACAAGTGGCACATCAACATACACCCACCCCGTGACTGCGACTAACACGATCACCGTGACGTCTGTTGTCACCTGTACTAAGGGTTGCACTCAGCCTACAACCGCTCCCGCTTCAACCACTCCTCCCACCACACCTCTTCCTGTTTCGACCACTCCCTCTGTGACCGCTCCCTCTGAGACCGAGACCCCTGGTACCCCGGTTATCGTGACTACTACCTACACGACTACCACTTGCCCAGGTGAATGAAGCTCCGACTATTCTACAAATTTCAATTGCTAATGAAATCAGTGACATGGAGTACTATCACAAGTGGCACATCAACATACACCCACCCCGTGACTGCGACTAACACGATCACCGTGACGTCTGTTTCCACTTGCACTGATGCTTCTACAACTCCTATCGTGGTGATTCCTCCGGCTACCGAGAGCAGTGTTCCGGCTACTGCGACTACTGTCCCGGCTACCGAGTCTAGTGTTCCAGCTACTGAGACTACTGTCCCGGCTACTGAGACCTCTGTCCCGGCCACCGAGACCAGTATTCCGGCTACCGAGTCCAGTGTTCCAGCTACCCCAACCGGTGTTTCAGCTACTGGGTCTACTGCCCCGGCACAGTCGAGTTCCATCACTTCTTCCACCTCGGCTCCCCCTGCTTCCTCCTCGCCTGTGTTCAATAGTGCTCCAGCTCTCCAGAAGTCTGCTGTGGCCATGATTCCTGGCCTGGCTCTCCTGTTTGCTCTGCTCTAATTGATCTACACGGAAGTTGATCTGTCAGATGAGATATGATGCCATCGCTTTGGGCAGGGGCTAGCGAGAAATCGGACGATAATCCCACGCAAGAAAAAAAGACAACGAAAACATCCAAGAAATTTGTTTCTGACATATTCACTTGAAAGACGCCAGGATGGCGGTTATTAATGGGTCTCCTGACGACCTGACGCTCCTTATCCACGATTATGGGACCCTAATTATAGTTATATATATTAGTTTGCAAATTGAAGTTTATTTGCATTAATTGTACACCCACATTTCATCATGGTTATAAATTAACATCCACAAGTTGTCTGGTCTACAATTCAGCCCTATTTGGAATTAGGGCTATGACATAATGCGATAACGATAAGCAGTGCAAACATCAAACGTCGCCCGATGTGTTTGCATAATGACCCGTGTCCTCATCCAATAGCTCTTTTAGGCTTCAAGTTACGTTACTGCCAAGTGGCCACAGTATCCCTTTGGTCTCAGATGGCCTAATTTCGAGTCATCCTGGTTTTCCTTTTCTAAGCACCGCCCCCACCACCCACCCGCCAACCCAACACCAATCTCTGAGCTATCCCATAGCTCCCTCCGATCATCCATCTGGCGCAAAGCTAGCCCAAACCGCGACACACGATTCGGCAAACAGGCAGAGTGATTGAATATCTGTCAATTTGTCTATATACGTTCGGAAAAGGGTATGTTTTCCCTGTTAAAACCGCAAGAAACCCCTTCAATCGACGATTTGGCTGACTCCGGCAGCCCGGAGCCTACACATAGATAATGGCGTTCTTAAATCGCCGACAATTATCCAGCTCGCCAATGCTATCCCTCGTGGTCCTTCCATTTCTCGTATTCCTCCTTAGCTTCGCTGGGTCAGCTTCTGCCGCCGGATCGGCCGTCCTGGGCATCGACATCGGCACGGAATATTTCAAGGCTACTCTTGTGAAACCCGGCATTCCGCTTGAGATTGTCCTCACTAAAGATTCGAAGCGCAAGGAGTCCGCTGCTGTTGCTTTCAAGCCTACAAGAGAGAGCGATGCACCTTTCCCCGAACGGTTCTATGGTGGTGATGCGCTCGCCTTGGCAGCTCGGTACCCGGACGACATTTATATCAACCTGAAGACTCTGTTGGGCGTTCCATTCAACGATGGCGATGAGGAGGCAGTCAAGAATTATAGGAGCAGGTTCCCCGCGTTGAAATTGGAGGCCGCCCCCGATGGTCGCGGTTCTGTTGCTCTCCGCAGCAACCGGCTAGGAGAGGCACAGAAGAAAGACGCCTTCTTGGTCGAGGAGATTCTGGCAATGCAGTTGAAGCAGATCAAGGCCAATGCTGATACGTTGGCCGGAAAGGGATCTGATGTTCGGGATGTAGTCATTACCTACCCTGTGTTCTACACCGCGGAGGAGAAGCGCAGCCTCGAGTTGGCGGCTGAGCTGGCAGGTTTCAAAATCCAGGCTCTTATCAGTGATGGATTGGCTGTCGGTTTGAACTACGCCACCAGCCGTACTTTCCCCAGCGTTTCTGATGGCGAGAAGCCCGAATACCACATCGTGTATGACATGGGTGCTGGGTCTACGACTGCCAGTGTTTTGCGGTTCCAGAGCCGTAAGGTTAAGGATGTTGGCAAATTCAACAAGACTATCCAGGAAGTTCATGTTGTTGGAGCTGGTTGGGACAAGTCACTTGGAGGCGACTCCCTGAACGACCTTATTGTGAACGACATGGTCGCCCACTTGGTTGAGGATACGAAACTCAAGGATAAGGTTACACCAGCTGAAATTAAGGCGCATGGAAAGACTATGTCCAGACTCTGGAAGGATTCTGAGAAGCTTCGACAGGTTCTGAGCGCCAACACTGAGACTTCGACAAGCTTCGAGGGACTGTACGACGAGAACATCAACTTCAAGTACAAGCTGACCCGTGCCAACTTTGAGAAGATGGCTGCTGAGTATGTTGCCCGCATTGGAACCCCAGTGGAGAAGGCTTTGGCAGCGGCCGGCCTTGACTTGAGTGATATCGAATCTGTCGTGTTGCACGGTGGAGCCATTCGGACTCCGTTCGTCCAGAAGCAATTGGAAAGCCTCGCTGGCTCTTCTAAGAAAATCAGAACTAACGTCAACGCGGATGAAGCGGCTGTCTTTGGTGCCGCCTTCAAGGGAGCAGCTTTGAGCCCCAATTTCCGTGTTAAGGACATTCGCACCGGTGACGCCGCTACGTACCCCATCTCCTTGAAGTGGAACTCAGATGGCAAGCAAAGAAACCAGAAGCTGTTTACAGCCACTTCCCAGGTCGGTCCTGAGAAGCAAGTCACCGTGAAGAACCTGGAGGATTTCGAATTCAGCTTCGCTCAGCATGTTTCCCAGGATGAAGAACAGCCCATCCTCAGTGTCCAGACACAGAACCTTACTGCGTCGGTTGCCAGGCTCAAGGATAACTTTGGCTGCACCACCGCAAACATTACCACGAAGTTTACGATCCGTCTCAGCCCTGTGGACGGTCTTCCCGAAGTTATGGCTGGTACCGTTAGCTGCGAGGTGGAATCTGAGAAGAAGGGAATTGTCGAAGACGTCAAGGGCTTCTTCGGCCTTGGAAAGAAGGATGAGCAGGAGCCCCTCGGCGAAGATGGAGAGCCGCGTGAATCGATCACCCTTGAGCCCGAGACGGAATCATCCCCTGCATCCTCCGCCAGTTCCAAGACCACCACCACATCCACCAAGGACGCAAAGAAAGACGCAAAGGCTACCCCTCAGGTAAACATTGAAGTTATCCCGATCAGCTTGAAGTCTGTGACGCTTGGCACTCCGGCTCCATCAGCCGCAGAGCTCAGTCGCATCAAGGGCCGCCTCCTTGCCTTCGATGATTCGGACCGTGATCGCATCCTGCGCGAAGAGGCTCTTAATGAACTGGAATCTTTCATCTACCGCAGCCGAGATCTCGCCGAGAACGAGGAGTTCATCAATGCAGTCAAGCCAGATCAACTAGTTGTACTCTCCGAGAGAGTCTCCAAGGCCAGCGACTGGCTGTCCGATGAGAGCGACAACGCCAAGACTGCAGATTTCCAGTCGAGGCTCAAGGACCTTAAGGCCATCGTCAACCCTGCACTGAAGCGGATGAAGGAGAGCTCTTCTCGCCCAGCCCGCGTGCAGTTGCTCAAGGACATGCTCAAGAATGCCGAGTCCATGAAGGAATTGATCAAGAACCAGATCGACAACGACGAGCAGCTCTACTCCTCTTCCCTCTCAGCCTCAAGCGCCTCCTCCACCTCCACCGAGACCAGCTCATCGCCCCCAGCCCCAGCCGCTTCTGATGACCCTCTCGGTGATCTCGATGATCTCGATGAAGACCCATACTCCGGTTCTTCTTCTACCACATCTACTAAGAGTGCCGCTACGGCCAAACCCACAGGCCCCAAGTACTCCCTCTTCACTCCCGCTGACCTCACGGCCATCACCCAGGCCTACGAGTCCACCCAGCCCTGGCTCGAAACCCAGCTCAGTCTGCAAGAGGAACTTTCCGAGTCTGATGACCCAGCTTTGACCGTTTTGGAGGTTGACTCGCGGCTGCGCGAGTTTGAGCGCATCCTTAACCGCATGTACGAAAGAATGACTGCAAACGCCGGTCAGCCGAAGAAGAGCAGCAGCAGTGGTAAGAAGGGATCTAAAGAAAAGAAGAAGCCCGATGCCGAGAAGAGCAAGGGCAAGGGCAAGGATCAGCCCAAGACTAAGGAGGATCCCAAAGATGAGCTGTAAAATAACCATTCCCTTGTCCGTTTTTGTTATGCATTGAACATTTGTTCCCCCTTTTTTTCACACTTGTCTCGTACAGAGCATTTTATTCTAACGCAACCCATGTATCATGCACACACCACATCCTGGAAGATAGAAAAAGAACCACAATGGAGTTTGGGCTGAGCGTTAGCAGTTTTATTATGTTTGGTCCTCTGTTTTCTTTTACCATACAGACTTCTACTTCACAGCCAACTGTACTCTAGAGACCACTACACATTCAGACATGCAAATCAAGTAGGGCTGAAGCTGTTATTGCCAGTCCTATCATCCTATTAGGAGACCACCTCAAGACTACACAATGCCAAGCGCATTAGTCCAGCCTCAAAAGGTTTTTAGATCCCATCTCCGGCACCGGCACCAAGACCACCACCGGCTCCAGAACCAGCGCCGAAGCCACCTCCAAAGCCACCACCGAGGCCTCCACCGATTGAACCGCCGCCACCGCCACCTCCGCCCACAGAGCCGCCGGAACCACCGCCGCCGCCAAGTCCGCTACCGCCAGGACCTATCATGGCCACTCAATCAGAAGTGATCGACTAAACACAACGCCGCATAGCTGATGACATACCGGTAGGGGCAGCAACAGCGGCTAGAGCCAAGCTGAAGAGCGCGATAAGGAAGTTAGACTTCATTGTTTTAGATTGAGCTAATATGCGATGACAGTCAATGATCCGCTCAATTGCGGTTTGTTATGAACGCGAGATAGTAATGAGGCTCACTGAATGATTTTGGATAGAAGGTTGATTCTTGTAGAATTGATATCGAGAACAGCGGGCGAATACCTTCATTTTATACCTCGATGTTCTGGTTCGGTTTCCTTCCAGAGCACAAGTCCGATCAGCCAACCTTCTCAGCTGTGGTCGGAGATTGAGTGATTTCTTCGGTTTGTTGCATGCGCAGCTGTCCGGGCGTCTTATTTAGAATTCGTGCTTTCCTGGTTCTGGCGCGTATTGCCTTTACCGGCTTCTTTGTGATTGGGATTGGATGTCTTATATTTGAGTGAAGCGAGTAGAGTATTAGGAGTCGCAACATACCTTCGAATACAATATACGCTTCGGCTCTTTAACTGGGGCATGTTTACTTCTGTCTTGCGCTCTGGTATCTATTCGACTTTCTAAGTATAGACCGCCTAGACCTCCATAAGAAATCATATATGCTTTCAAATTCGTCTGGCTACTTTGAAAAACCTCGATTCGATCTGATGTAAGCTTATGCAGCATTTTGGCTTACGCATGACCATTATTGAGAATCTATAGAATATCGAATTAACTCTCACATTATACCTACGATCACATACCGGAGTCTATGAAACAATTAGCCTCTATTATAACGTTTTCACAGACTCGAATCATCATTGTGGGTAGCTTACCAAATTTCTCATCCACTATAAACCTCATAACGATGGTCTCAGACTGAAATTGAGGCAATATACCTGTGCGTAATGATTGTCGTCGCAATGGTCTAGTTGGGGATAGTAGTTGCATCGGGAGTGTCCATGTGCGATCATTTTATAATAGCTCGCGACAATGGGCTCTAGCCTTCAAAAGCTTCTAGATTTGGCACTTAAAGTCCTTTCTGTGTATTGATGATAAATTGTTACACCACTGTTGTAACACATTAATTCCATTTGAGGCATTGAAGGTATCGGGAGTATCTTAGTCTGTATTATGACAACTATGGTTATGATCGAATACAGTATAGAGCTAGTAGAAATTACATGGTGAGGCAGCTCTGAATGAATCTATGATTATTGAAAGAGTCAAACGTTCAATGAGGTAAATGTAGAAGTGAAGTATGAAGTTCCCATCCCAATGCGGTAAGTAGGGCTGACCCACACTTGGCCCTTCCACGCTAATCCAAATCGGTAAAGAAAAAGTTCCTGAAGCTCAACCTTCTCCATCTAACCCCACTCATTACGAACGATTAACACAATATGGAGAAGCCAGATATTGTGGAATCCCCGCGCAAGCGACAGAAGACTGAGGATGTAGGGTCAACTGAGGTCGCCATCGCTGTCAATGGCGCAACTGACACTCCAAGCACCGCAGTCTCAGATGCGCAGGCTCTGAAGGAAGTCGAGGTCGGTATCACGGAGTTTGTGAGCAACACTGAGGGATTCTCGGGTATCCTGAAGAAGAGGTGAGCTATTATTTACTCCACTTGAGAATTGCGCTAATAATCATGCGCAGATACACAGATTTTATGGTCAATGAGATCATGACCACCGGCGAAGTTGTCCACCTTCGAAGCATCCATACGATCACCGAGCCCGACAACTCTGTAAATACTGTTACAGAGCGTACGCCTGCGTCGACAGTCCCAGAGGTGCAAGCCCAGGCTGCAGAACAAACCCCAGCCAAGGAAGCGGAAACACCAGCTCAGATCAAAGTCTCGGAGGAGGACCACACTCTTCTGGAGGAATACTTTGGCGCTCAAAATGCTGCCGAAATAATTGCGCTCCATAAATTCGCCATGGCTAAGCCAAAAGGTCGACCTAGTGAATTCGGCAGTGTCACCTTTGCCGTGTCTGACCGGGACCTTCGCACCAAGATCCACCAGGCCATCCGTCGCATTTTCAATTCCCAGCTAGAATCTACTACCGATGCAGATGGAAATATGTCAATCACTGCGGCAAATAACCGTTTCCAACGCGGTGCGACCGCAGGACGCGCCAACGCCCGGGTCCAGGGCCAGCGGACAAACTGGGAAGAACTCGGCGGGCCATATCTGCATTTCACGATCTACAAGGAGAACAAGGACACAATGGAAGTCATCAATTACATCGCTCGCTCATTGAGGATGAATGCTAAGGCTCTCCAATTTGCTGGAACCAAGGATAGGCGGGGTGTGACCGTGCAGCGTGCCTGTGCTGTGCGCGTTCGCCTCGCCCGGCTTGTAGAAGTGAACTCGGAACTTCGCAATGCTCGTATTGGAGACTTTCAGTACCGCAAGCATGGCCTGGACCTTGGAGATTTGCAGGGAAATGAGTTCGTGATTACTCTGCGCGACGTTGAAATTCCCGGCGTGAGCATGAGCGATCCTCAGGCTGCGATCGCCAAGGCATCCGAGGTCGTCGGTACTTCTTTGAAGAATCTCTACCAGCGAGGATACTTCAACTACTACGGTCTCCAGCGATTTGGAACCTTCGCAACCCGAACGGATACAGTCGGTGTCAAAATGCTCCAGGGAGATTTCAAGGGCGCATGCGATGCTATTCTGCAGTATGCCCCTGCATCTCTTCAGGCGGCAATGGAGGGAAATATGTCTACTGCTAACATCAGCAATGATGACAAAGATCGTGCCATGGCCATTAATATCTTCCAGACCGGCGGTAGCGTCGCCGACGCTCTGCTAAAGATGCCGCGCAAGTTCTCCGCTGAAAACAGTCTCATCCGCCACCTCGGAAGGAGCAGCAAGGATTATTTGGGTGCGTTGCAGAGTATCCCCCGGACCTTGCGATTGATGTATGTACACGCATACCAGTCGCTTGTCTGGAACTTCGCTGCAAGTGAGCGATGGCGCCTTTACGGGGACCGGGTGGTGGAAGGCGATCTGGTCATTATCCAAGAGCACCGCGACAAAGAGTCTGCCTCTGCTGTCGAGGCTGCCGAGACTGTCGATGCTGACGGTGAAATTATCGTTGTTCCTCAGGGCGAGAACAGTGCCGTTGCGGCCGAGGACATGTTCATGCGAGCCCGTGCCCTGTCGGCCGAAGAGGCAGCCAGTGGCAAATATACCATCTTTGACCTGGTGCTTCCCCAGCCTGGATATGACATTATCTACCCCGAAAACGAAATGAAGGAATTCTACCGTCGCTTCATGGAAAGCGAGCAGGGTGGTGGCCTTGATCCGTCCAATATGCGCCGCAAGTGGAAGGATATCAGCCTTAGCGGCGGCTACCGCAAGATTTTCAGCCGCATGTTGGGAGCCAACTACTCTTTCGATATTAAACTTTATTCCAAGGACGATGAGCAGTTTGTCAAGACGGATTTGCAAAATCTGCAACCTGCAAATGAGAATACCGATACCGCTATGGCCGATGAGACTGCAGCTGATAAGTTGGCCGTTGTGTTGAAATTCCAGTTGGGATCAAGCCAGTACGCCACCATGGCTCTTCGGGAATTGACGCACGGAAAGGCCACAGCCCACAAGGCTGAATTCGGTGGTGCAAGATAATCGGAATAAGAATAGACACCAACAGTTCATTTCCACACTGCACATGGCCTCGAAATGCCCAATACCATGACAACTACGATGGTTAGGATGGTTAGGATACCATTCCAGTCCTATTCAAATACGTAGTCTGAAATACACAACTTGTACCTTACAATGAAAACTTCGGACTCACAAACTCCAAGGACCAAAAGAGACCCACGTAAAAGAAGCTCTAGACCAAGCTTAGCTTCGTTATATCATATCATCTTACCGGCACCTTCAAGTTCCCCGAAACCGCCTCTCCTGCTCACCTATCGGCGACACCTCATCAAAAGACGAGACCACAGAAACTTCATCAAAGTCCCTCTCCCTCCTCCGCCCATCCAAATCCGACACATCAGAAACAGCTCCATCGTCATCATCATCCGAACCGCCAATACCAATGCCAATACCAACCTCATCATCCGAAAAGTCCTCAAACGGCATCCTAGCCAACCGCGACGGCCCCCTCGACGATACAACAGGCGCAACCCGAGCTCTAAGGTCCTGCTCCGTAGCACTTCGCCTCTGCGCCATCGAAACAGCCACCGCAACCCCAAGCTCCGCCTCAGAATCACCAGGTCCATGGGCCGTCGGCATGCGGCGCACGGAGCTTGAGTCAGGACTGGGACCGAGACTGGGCGTCCGGCCCCGACTTTCCGTCGAGGGCGAAATGCTGATAATCGGGATCCGGGGAAGAGGCAGAGGCATTGACGTGGCCGCTGAGGACATAGCTGGGTTCGAGAGTGAACGTCTTGCTTCTGGTGTCGAGGATTTCGGTGATATCATTAGCTCTTGTGTGGATACTGCACTTCGATGGCCTGCTGCTATGTCGTAGGGTGGTGGCAAGGCGTTGCGTTCCTTTTCCCGGCGCCGTCGCCGGGAGAGGAAGAATAGCAGCGCTAGGATTAGAGCTAGGCCGATTACTGAGACTGGGACTGCTATGGCGATTTTCGTTGTTTTTGATGGGCCACCGGAAAAAGTGGTTGAGTCGCTGTTTACTGCGGTTGTTTCTGAGGCTGTGGCTGTGGCTGAGGCTGAGATTGTGGTTGTTGTTGTGGTGGATGTGAGAGAGGATGGGAATGTACTTGACGGTGTGGTCGATGTTGATGGTGATGGTGATGAAGTATATGATGTTGCATCCAGTACGCTGGTCGGACTGGCTTCTGAACTGATATCATTGACAGTCGATGTCTCACTTGATGCTGGGTATGTGGTCAACTCGGTGACTGAGGGCCATGAAACTGTTCCAGGAAAGATACCTGTCACTGCTGGATCTGCCCAGCTTGACGCGTCTGCAAAATTCTTGTTTTTTGAGCCGGGTGCTGTCGTGAATACAACATCCTGGCCCGCTGATGCCACCGATGAGGGGGCATATTCCGATCTATAGGAATCCGAGGTATCTGCATCGTCCAGTCCAGTGCCCAACATTGCAAATGGCAAGAATCTCAAGAATCTTGCCATAGCAGGTATGGTGGGTTGAGGTTGGATTCTTCGGGGCACTTTTGTCTTATGTGAAGGCCCCAAAGCGAAGACAAAGAACTACCACAAAAGATAGTACAAAAGACACTGGCGCTAGAATTCTCCCATTCAATAACCGTTTTAGGTACCGTTTTACCTACCTCCCGGATATCTTTGTATAGAATAATATAATATGCCCAGATTCGAAAGAAGTCGGAAGGTAGCAAGAAATGCGAGATGCCAAAAAAGTCTTAGGAAGAGTAGAAGTGATATTCATAGATCATGCACAGCAGACCAGGTGGGGGTGGAAGCACTGCCCTCGGGAGAGACTCTAACAAAGAAGCGCTTCGACATGCATTAGACTTGTCAATGAAATCTCATATTACTCTGATCCCTTTGAACCAACATGTCCTCAAATTAAACGTCACATAATAATTTAAATAATTATCGAGATGTACAAATCATCGAAACCTCATTTTCCATGAGGCTTAGAGATGCTCAGTCTATTTTTACGACAGTTTGCGCTAATATGGGGCCACGTAGGATCAACCCTAACTAGGGAGTTCGTAAGTTGTCTAACGTTTTATGGGGCACTTTATTATTGGATCATTATGCTTTGACGCCAATGCTGACAGTAGTTCAATGAGCCAATAGTAAGTGTCCATCTTAACAAGGAGTAAGATGAGAGTACAGCCTCCATTTCTGCTTTCAGTGCCATAATGTACATAAAATGATACAAATGCGTGGGCTATAACTCAACTATCCGGCTTCGAATTATTCGCACTCATTTACCCCCTCGCTCTGTTGAATCCGCTCGGGCAAATCTGTCGTCTCGACACCCCTCGCACTTGCAACCTGCTAGATGATCTACTGTGACGGACTTCACCGGTCTGGCTGTACTTGACAGTTTGATAGCCCCCCGACGCGGAGATAAGCCTACAGGACACGTGCGAGGCGTGTCTCTGCTTCATCAATCCCCTCCGAGCGCTCCAGGGCTGGATGAGGGGGGTCGGGCGGTCAGGCGGGGGGAAGGGGGTGTGACAAGCCAGGTCTTGCAAAGAAGAGTGCATTTAATTCAGAATAACTGAGAAAGAAGAAGCAAGTTGCAAAGTGGGAGATAGCTGACCACTTTGTAAACAATGCAAACAAGTAAAGAAACAAACAAGCAAACGTTACGATCGTAACAAAGGTATTGTCAATCAGTAATCATGAATATAGATACTTGAAATAGTCATCTCGAGAGGCTTTTCGTAAAGTACTTTACCTAAGAGCCCAGGCACGAACCAGCTTGGCAGCCATATGCCAACAGAACAAGAATATCAGACGAAAAAATGCTTGATATATTCTATCTTTCCAGCTAGGTGCTAGAATGATCTGGTGGAGCAATCAAGCAAATAGGCAAACAGTACTCCGTAAGCGAGCAAGCAAACATGAAGCATGTAATAGCGATCCATGTGGATCGTGACACCTTTACTGAAACGAAGGAGGCTACAGGATAAAATCGAGAAGAAAAAAAAAGAGAGAGAAGTGACTTCGAAGTGAGGGGAGAGTGAGAGCAGGATCGATCAGAAAATCGAGATCAGTGTCAGGGAATTATTGTTGTATTGAATATAATATGTACTATCACAATCCCAATGTCCATCCTATTTATACCCTTCTGGCAGGGAAAGGAAATCATCTAGATCTGCTCCGTACTCCGTATATAATTCGTAGATATCAGGGTTGGGACCACAATACTAAAATTAGATCAATGAGGTGATAATTCGAAATCTGCGAATTCTACTAGCCTAAATGAGATATTATCATAGGACGCATGAAACTATAATGTCTTGATCCACATCCTTTCTGTTGCTCAACAACACAGGTATGAGATAACTATTACGATGTAATGAGTGATTGTATAGTTCTTCTGCCAGTCGCGGAAGTCGCGGAAGATAGCAGAGATTGGACACAGAGCAGTATAAAAATTATGTGCAAAGATTACTAGAATACTGTAAAGACCTTCACACCTTCAAACACTATCTTCTCCCTCTCTAAATACGAAGTATTCAATGTGGATATGATCTCCTGGAGCTCCGGGCCAACCGCTTGGCTTAGTCAGCAGTGGCAACTTCAGGTTCCAAGAAGTCCCCGCATTTGGAACGTTGGGGATATCCAAGAAGGGAATTCTGTTGTTCTTTTTCCTATCTCAGCTTCTCTCTTTGGCGATGGAGATGAAGGGGAATATTCGTACTGGCTCCGATGGGTCTCATTCCAGCCTGTCGCTCCCTCACCCCGGAGGATATCAGGCCACAGAAAAGCGCAGACTATTACTGATTTATATCCATGGCTTCATGGGATCAGAAGCGAGCTTTCATGACCTGCCGCTACATGTTCATGATTTGTTAACAGCCTCGTTGGATGAGTCACACGTGGTGTTTACCCGCATGTATCCGAGATACAAATCTCAAGGCGAGATACAAACAGCCGTGGATCAGTTTAGTGCCTGGTATGTGCCGACACAGAAAGCCCGTTCTTACTTGATTCTTAACTGGGTACACAGCTAATGGAGGCACTTGTAGGCTATCGCCACATGAGGCAGATGACCTTGATGTCATCTTGCTGGGACATAGTCTCGGTGGAATCCTAGCTGCAGACGTTGTCCTCTTACAGCAAGATGGGCACCCAAAGCATCGAATTTTAGGCTTAGTAGGATTTGATGTTCCCTTTTTGGGGATCCATCCTCGTGTAATAGCAACAGGAACCATGAGCTTAATACCCCAGAAAGATGCGGCAGATGAAGAGAAGCTTGCGCGAGAACAAGAGTCTCTGGGCTTGGAACCGGCCTTCAAATCCGCCCATTTCAGCCCCAACTTTGACCCACCATTCAAGAATGATGTGCGTCTGGTCGACCGTGGCTTTCTCAGTGGTGTTTTGCATTTTGTCAACAAAAACACCGATCATCTCTCACGATCTATCTTTGATCGAGTCGTATCACCCTTCAAATTCGCTGGTTGTGTCAATAATTACTCTGAACTTCGTCGGCGATACGGGCACTTGATGGAGCTAGAAGCTGAGTCCAGTCCTTGGAGAGTACGATTTGTCAATTATTATACCGCGAGCACTGGGCGCAAGCCACGACCACCCAAGCCAAAAGCCGAAAAGAAAGCCAAAAAGTCTAAAAAGGAAGACAAGGAGTCCGCAAGGGAGGGTGAAATTGCCATGGATGAATCTGCAACGAAAATACATTCGCACGAACACTCAGATACGCCAAGTGGCTCCGAACAAACCGATGTAACTACCGCCATGAGCAACATGGCAATCGACACCAAGCACTTGAAGTCCACCACTTCTCATTCTTCCCTGGCGATCGAGAAGGCCGACGATAACAACAGTACTCCGCTGGCGGATCACACAAGTACCGCAGCGTCTGCCTCAACCTCAACCGACCAGATAGAGAGCCAGTCTCTCTCAGAAAGCATTTCTCTCTCAACTGAAAATGGCTCTATCACAACAACGGGGTCCACAGACCCTAATAAACAACACCTCCGCAAGTTCATACTCTTACCGTCACATCATTGGAAGTACAACGATAACTCCCATTGGGTGCCGATATTAATGGAAGACATGGACGAAGTCATGGCACATCAGTCTATGTTTATTCCACGTGGTGCAAACTACGATCACCTCGTTGGAGATACCGTTGGGCTAATTGAGCAATGGATTGAGAACGATCTCAGTCGACGATATCTCCAAGAAAGTCTTGACTGAAGAATTTTGTTAAGCAATCCTGACCCGGCTAGTCATTCAACTATGCAAATCCATACCTAGATATACTTAATAGATTATTTTTTCCTATCAAGCCAATTCTTCAGCGCCGAAGAGGTCACTAACGCATTTCTTCCTATTATCATCCCACCGCCCTCAACTATCCGGCAGAACATATATTCTGCTATTGACCGCCTCCCACAAATAACTGGAACCGCCAGACGCGCGTCTCGAGGTCTTTGTAGTATCACATGATTTCCAAATGCAGTAGGACCAATCAGATCCATGGACTTTGTAAGTCCGCAGACCCGCATCCTATCTCCATAACGAAGGACAGGTAAATGAAAAAAAATTAAATTAGGTAGCTTCTCTTTGATTGAGCGTGTCATCCTTAGTACAGGGGCCATGCTAATCTTCTCTGCATATTTTCATTTGACCATATGCAGGCGAAAAGACATGCTTAAAGTTCATTATAACCCCTGTTTGGGGCAGAGATGTACCGCCTACTTATTCTGGAAGTGATCGCAGAATCTGGTCAGACCGCTTACTCTGTTGGCAATCAAATATTTTGAAGCACGTGAAGGAACATTAGGAATTCAGTTGAATTGTCTTAGAATTTGCGATCATAAATTATTCACTTATGTCCTATAACTAGTCTACGCACATGTACACTGTAGATCAATTACTATATCAAGCTCGCACGTGATTAAGTGGGGATATTGCCGTCACAGCTTCCCTTACCACTTAACTAGCAACTTGTCATCCCCGCACTTCCGTCTGCAGCAGAATGAGTGGTTTACGCAATACTATCAAGGGTGGCTGGCACCCAGAAGGCAAGGAAGGTGGGAAGGAGAGTTGGCGAGGTGATTTCAAAGGCATTAACCAAGTGGTAAGCTCACCCCTCGTTGTCCCTCTGGGACTTGTAACTCTAGCGGCCATTGATGATAACTTGAACTTGCTATTAGGCTGGGTGGATGGGAAAGGGCAAGGAAGGTGAATCCTCTGGCTCTGGCTCTGGCTCTGGACGTACCCCTGAGCCACAAGGGGGTATCAGAGGCTCAGTGGTAAGCTCACCCCTCACCCCTCACCCTTCTCGGGCTCACTCGCACCTCGGCCATTGATGCTGACTTGTATTTGCTACTAGGCCGGTTGGATGGGAAAGGGAAAGGAAGGTGACTCCTCCAGCTCCGGACACGGCTCCTCGTCACAGGGGGGTATCAGGGGCCACGTGGTAAGCTAACCCTTCGTGTATTCACGACGCGGCCCATTGGTATTAACCATTGCTTGCTTTTAGGCATCGTTTATGGGAAAGGGCAATGAAACCAGCTCAAACCGCTCCGAGCATGTCTCACAACCCTTGTCGGCCCTAAAAGACCCATCTTTATTTGGGCCCCCTCCGAAACATATCAATTACCATGGAGCCGCCGCTGCGCCAAATCAGACAACCGCCCAGGATCCCCATCGCCGAGAAGTAGCCGAAGTAGAGGAGGAACAGTACCAAAGGCCGCCCCCACCAATCCCGTATCGCGCCGACACAAGTGGCCTTTCTACAGACAATCTCCCCCCACCACCAGTGCGGCGACTGGACTCTGCAAGTTCCGCCTCGAGCTCAATCTCAAAGCAAAGGCCACCAAAGCCCCCGCCACGACTTCCCGCCCGCAATGCATCCTCCAGCTCCGAATCGCTCCCCGCTTATTCCCCTGGCCCGGTACTCTCCCACGATTATATCAATCAAGATGCTACGTCCCGCCTAGCAAACGCGGGCGTCTCGGTTCCTGGATTTGGAATCGGCCAGGAGAAATCTCCGTCGCCTGCACATACACCTGTCAATGAGCTGCAGTCACGCTTTTCCCAGATGAACACGAGATCTCCATCGGCGCCCACCCCGCCTGCTCAGTCGCACCCTGCAAGTAGCACATCTTCTCTCCATAACTTCCGCGAGCGCCACGCAGATACCATCGACTCGGGGAAACAGAAGTACGGTGATTTCCGTGAGCGCCACGCAGATACCATCGATTCGGGAAAGCAGAAATACGGCGATTTCCGTGAGCGTCACGCAGATACCATCGATTCAGGAAAGCAGAAGTTGAGTGGTTACGCGTCACGGCTCACTGGCTCTTCCCCAGCAGCGCCTAGCCCACCGGCCCGGCCCGCGTCGAATACTTCTAGTATGAACCTGGAACCGGCGGAGCCCGCACGGGGCACATCCTCCGTGCAAGATTTCCGTGAACGCCATGCCGACAAGATCGAGTTGGGTAAAGAGAAATGGGGTGGAGTCACATCACGTTTCAACACATTTGTGGAGGATCGTAAATTCTCCGCCGAAGCCAACAAACGGATTCCACGCCCACCTGCTCGTCCCATCCCCATGGCCCACTCTAATTCTTCAGCGGTCTCATCCACAGAACCCGCTCAACGCAAGAAGGCTCCTCCACCGCCTCCACCTAAGCGGGCTGAATTTCGTGCGTCTCCTGTTGACGGTTCGTCACCAACACCACTCGGGGGGCCTCCTCCTATTCCCCATGACACCAAGCCCCGCTAAAGACTGTACTTTTAACCCTGTATTTGTTACGTTGTGCATTCCTGGCGTCGATGGGTGTTTTTTTTTTAGGATGGAAATCGAACAATTTGTCATGATGACGATATATTTGTCCTGTACGGTGTACAATAGTTGTACATCATAGTCCCTGTCTATCCTGGTGAGTCTCATATCTTCGTGCTTGGGTCATTCATATTCAACATCCAGTAAGACCGAGGCTGCATGTGATCGGATTAGGGTTGTTATATACCTGATTTCAGATCCCCAACATTTTTGGGCCGATTCCAGTGGTTCAACCCTGGAGTATCCCAACAAGCAGCTGATCCCGATTGGATAATCCGAGGTCACCTTCCAGGGTTCCTTCCTTGACAGTTCCGGCCCTCCAAGCCTTTTTGTCAATTTAACCTTTGCCGGCCAAACCTTGGTTGAGAATGTTCCGGGGAACTCGGAACTTTGTCCAGCTGACTCAGCGGCTTTTCCCCACCCAGCCCTATTGAGGTAGGGGGCATCTGCAAAGTACAGGCTTTGGAGGCATGCGGATGGCATCAGATCACCGGGCCGGAGTCCCGACATGTCCGGACTTCCCGGTCTGATCTTCTAAAGACATCGGAGAATTATCCAATCATCCTAGTTGTTGGCAGTGCAATTTATAGGTCAATGCCCCAACGGAAGCTCAATTCTGGCCATATATACACCATAGTTACTCTGCACGAAGTATACAATTGAGAAAAGTCCACTATTGCATATTCCGTATGTCCACGGGTGCACGTACATAAATGGAGTACGACAGGTCACAGGTGTTACTCTTCTAGGCAAGTGGCGATTACCAACCTCGGCACGTTTGGAGCCAAGCCTTGGAATTCCCAACAAACTAAACGCGGGCGGATCGAGATCGTCGGCCATTGCCCTTGTTGAGAAATTTCAAGGGCAGTTTATCTGGAGGATCCACTGGGCTTCCAACACTTCAACCGTTTTCTCTTTTCTTTCTTTTTCTTCTTTAGAATCATATCTTTTCTCCTATATTCTTTCTCCCTAGTTGACGCGTTGAATTGAACGCTTCCGCGTTGGCGATAATCATGCACGACTTCCATGTGCCCACCGAGTTTGGCCAGGCGATTGTTCGCATTGCCTTCCCTCCCGCCTCTCTCCTCGCCTTCCCTCCCCATGAGCTTCCAGTGACCGTCCCCGCACCTCACGTTGACACCCCGACATGGAAGCAGCCCTTCAACATCCCGAACGATCTCTATAACCAGGTGCTGGACGTCCGACTACCAATCACAATCGCCAGTGTCTATGCGATCACTGTGGTCCTGCTCAACCGTATCAACAAAAGTCGCGGATATAAGCCATACGCGTTCAGCAACACTCGTTTGTTCAAGCTCTTCGTCGTTCTTCACAATGTCTTCCTAGCTGTGTATTCCGCATGGACCTTCGTAGGCATGTTCCTGGCATTCAGGAGCTCTTTCCCGGATACCGACGACCCCTACGGACTGGTCGGACTTGTGGATTCACTATGCAAGATCAATGGGCCCCGCGGTTACGGCAATGCTGCTACATACAGCCCCATTACTGACGAGTGGTCGATTCCCAACCCCGCCTTCCACCTCACCAACGGCATGCCAGACCCCACGGATGCTGGCCGTCTATGGAACCAGGGCTTGGCTTACTTCGGCTGGTTCTTCTATCTGTCCAAGTTCTACGAGGTTGTCGACACCGCGATCATTCTGGCCAAGGGCAAGAAGAGCTCCACCCTACAGACCTACCACCACGCGGGAGCTATGATGTGCATGTGGGCTGGTATCCGCTACATGGCAGCTCCCATTTGGATCTTCTGCTTGGTTAACTCGGCTATTCATGCTATGATGGTAAGTCGGACAATCGCATTGCTTTTGTTAAGCAAACTTACTAACCCTTTTTTTTACTTCAGTACACCTACTATACCCTCACGGCCCTCCGCATTCGCGTCCCTAACGCCATCAAGCGCAGCTTGACCACCATGCAAATCACCCAGTTCGTCTTCGGAACTAACATGGCCGCCGCCTACCTATTTGTCCACTACACTATCCCCTACCCGTCCGGTAGCGCCGCCTTACAACACCTGACCGATGCCGCTTCCGCCGCTGCCTCTGCCACCACCGATGTTGGTGCGGTCTCCTGGTTGAAGAAGCTGGCATTCCGGGCTGCGGGCGCAGAAGGACTTGCCGAGAACGTGGGCACTTCTTTCACCGCCGCGCCTGTCCAGCAATCCGGCTACTCCCAGCAGATGATGACCTGTGCGGACACCACCGGACAGGCATTCGCCATCTGGTTGAACGTTTCCTACCTTCTTCCCCTCACCTACCTCTTTGCGCGCTTCTTCGTCCGCTCCTACCTGAATCGCAAGGATGTAGGAGTGAAGCAGCCCACGCACATGGAGGCCGCTGAGAAGGCCGGCATGGATGCTCTGAAGAGTCTGAGCCGTGAAATTCGCAAGGCTGCCATCGAGGGCGAGAACAGCGAAGCTACCACTGACGATGAGGTCATCAAAGCTCAGGCCCAGAAGATCGCCGGCAAGGTTACCACCCCCGACTCGCCAGTCCGCACCCGCTCGGCTGCTGCTTCCAAGGCAAATGCTGCCTCGGCCCCGGTTAGCCGGTCCGAGTCTGAACAGGGGTTCGCTAAGGTTCCCGCGAAGAAGGGGGCTAAGAAGCAAAGGGCCGAGGAGTCTTCCTCTAGCCCGAACACAAAGGGCGAGAACCCATTCGGGGTATTGGATAACAATGCTTAAATGCTACCTTGGAATTGGTGGCATCTTCCTATACCGCATAGATTTGGAGTTTGGGGTTTTTAAAATGATTTGATTCTCGGACATGATATCCGACAGCTTTGTTTTGGTGTTTTCAGTCGCGGTTCAGGACTTCCCGGCACTCATCATCGGCCCGGTGTATTCGGATAATGGGGAATATCCGGGGAAACGGGAAACGGTCTCCCCGGACACTCGGCTATCCGAATTGCATAGACAGACCAGGATGACTTGAGGCTGTGGATTTGCTTGTTTTTACAGCATCTTTGTATTCTCGGCCTTTTTCGATTCGTGAGCATATTATTATGTATATCTTTATCACGCGTTTATTGTGTAATGAGAAGATGGTATTTTTATAACAACTCCCAGGCATGACCACAAGGTATGTATTCTTGTCCTCCACCTCCGAAGCAAGCCCGTAACGTGCATGGAGGAAAACACCCGGTTAGACCTTGGTATCGCAGTGCATAGTGATCACTAGGACTTTAGTCCTATTGGCTTTAGGATTCACCAATTTGTTGAGCGCGTTAAATGGTATCTTCCCGGATTTTGCCACCCAGCTTTGACGAATTAGCCTGGAAAGGGAAGGAATCCACTTAGCATCTAGTTCTACGTGTTATGCGGAGCATAGTACATATATAATCATGACCTCTTACACGGTCGTCAAATGATATTCTCAATATATATCTATTGCAGATCCCAGTGTAGCACGTATACTATAGCCACATAGGCATCAGAAATAAAAATAACACTATAACCAGATTTAAACCAAAAAGCGGAAACCACGACGGCTTCCTTCACCAGGGACAGCCCCCTCAACCTCCTCACCGCGATCGAGCTTCTTATTGAGACGTACGAGCATAAACCGGAGCACCGTTGCAGAGATAATGGCGATGAAAGCCGTGGCGCAGTCAACAGACATGGCAGGCACTATAGGATGATTAGTTAGGACTGCTAGAAACAAAGCCAGCGGTAGAGGAATACGGACCGAATCTCGGAGCCTGAGAATCAGGATACATATAGCTGGCATAGATACTGCTGCCATTGCTGACACAGTTAATAGCAGCCAGAGCAGCGGCACGTTTCGCAGCCGGTCGAGGCAGGGTATTTGAGATCCAGCCAAGAGCGACAACGTAACCGGAGTAGAAAGACGGCACCATGAGCATCATTGCCACATAGCGGGGTGCGGTAGCTGTGGTGGTGGCAGCAATGATGAATGCCACGACGGAAATGTATAGCGGTCCGGTGACGTGGAAGTACCGCTCTCCGCTACGGTCTGCGTGCCATGCGTTGGTAAATGCGCAGATGACGGCCAGGCAGTAGGGCGGTGCTGTCAGGAGTAGAGTCTCGATGTTGCCGTATTCAAGTGTTTTGACGACCGTTGGGAAGAAGTTGGTGACTGAGGCAGAGGAGACAATACAGAGGATCATGAGCATCAGGATCCAGGTCTTGATGTCTGCGAAGGCGAGCTTGGCTCCATGCAGGAAGGTCTGCTGTTCGCTGTCGACCCAGTCGTCTTCGCCGATGTCTTCTTCCAGGCGCCACACGGCGAGTTGCTTCTCTTCCTCCGAAAGCCAGCTGGTCGTGCGGGGAAAGTTAGGGAGAACGAAGATTGAGATGAAGGCAATCGCAATAGTGACGGCACCTTCGATGATGAATAGCCATCGCCAGGCGCGCAGTCCGAGCACGTTGTCCATGTTTTTAGTGATACCTGCTGCGATCAGACCCGAGAAAGCACCCGAGAGCAAGGATCCAGAGAACAGCGCTGCGGTGCGGAAGCCCAACTCCTTGCGGGTGTACCAAACACTCAGGAAGTACAAGCAGCCTGGGAAGTAGGCAGCCTCGACGAAACCTAGAAAGAAGCGGATGACCACGAGACCGGTGTAGCTCTGAGCAGCGGCTGTAGCGGTGGAAATGATACCCCATATAACCATAGCAACAGGGAGGTAGAGGGCTGGCTTGCCGAATTTGTTCAGCATCAGGTTGGATGGGATCTGCATCAACAGATACCCGACGAACAATATACTGACACAGGTCGCGAACTGGTTGCCCACAAGCCCTAGGTCTTCCTCGAGGCCTGCTAGTCGAGCGGAGGCGATGTTGTTACGATCAAGGTAGTTGAGAATGTACATGATGATTATCATGGGTAGTAGACGCAGGTCAATCTTGCGAACGAGAGCTTTCTCGGCCTTCATGCGTTCTTCGGGCGTCAGGTTGGCAACGTATTCGGGGGCTTCTTTCTGTGGGTTGGGCCTGTCGGCATTGGCGACTATTTCGACATTGTCGACGCGAGACTTGTCAATATCTCCCACCCCGATGTCTGAGTTTCTGGAAGACATTTCTGTTTGCTTTTCCAATATGAGAAGGAGGAAGTATGAGGAAGACGAGAGAAGGATAAATAAGCAGCAAGACTACACCAGCTAATTCATATAAAGTCTGAGCCAAAGTTGATAAGAAGATACCAGAGGAGGCAAGGGGTATAAGGAGGGAGAAGAAGAAAAAAATCACACGTGGAAAGTGAGACTCGGAAGTCGGACGAGTTGCGAGTTGTGTGGAATCCTCTACAGGGGTGAGATATGTGGCGTTGATATCTAGTGGTCCGGGAGCAGTATGGCATAAGAAGCAATGCCCAAAACTTGCTGGGCTATAACTGCTATTCCAATCAAACCCATGTTATATGACGGTACACCCGAATACCTTTCCCCGCAGAAAACCTGCAAAAGACCGGGGTAAAGCCAGACCCCGGACTTACCCCGATCATATCATCATTTACTGGCTATTTGTGGGGAGAAGCTTTTTGTGGGGAGAAACAACAGGGGACGAGGTTGCATTTAGAAAAGATCATCTCCCCGCGTGGGGTATCCTCGTGTTTAAGCGCATTTAAGGACTACGTAAGGAGCACCCCGGCGTGGGGGTGAATGTCAGTGCAACATGAGTGATATATTTCTGGTATTTCAAAGCGAGGGATGCATAGAAAGTAAGATGAAGCGAATTCCTTCAAGGTTAGGGTTGTGGTTAGTCTTTTCGCCCTTATAGAAACACTTATTTGAAGGCTATCATGTGCCTTGATTATCATTAGTTTTAACCGACCACATTCAGAAGACTGCAGAAATTAGGCCGGGTCTATTCAGTTGAACAATGACTTCTAGCAGTGTATTCAGGTGTTAGATTCAAAGATGGAGGATCCAATATCAGCCCTGATTTAGTACTGCATTCGACCCCCACGCATTCTCATACAAATATGCTGTTCCCATCAAGATATCAATGGTATGGGAAGCCAAGATTCCTCCTATTCTCCTGGGATCCGATCCCGATATTCTCGGTTTCCCGATCCCTTCATTCCTCTCGGGTCTTCTCTTCATTTCGGACCGAAGAGGCATTCCGACCTGAAGAGGGACTGTAGAAGCATAAATTAGACAAGAAATGTGAAGAATGCAACAGCTCATTGTCACAAACCTTATTGAAACCATAGATTCCAACCCAACCTCAACCTATCTCCACTTACAATCAAGAATTCCTTTTATGAATCATGACAGCGGGCTGGGAAAAGCTGGTTTCTAAAGCCCTGAAATCTCTCACTTGCATCATCTCATTGCTCACTCTCCACGACGTTGGATACCGAATTTCCACCTACCTAAAAGCTACTTCGGGTATAGCGCCACTTGAGGGATATTTCTGGCTGTGTAATTTACCATGGTATCCATATGGTATCACTATCTATTACATGACTTCTAGCCGTACCATGATATTCAGAGACGGAGCTAGGGATCACCTGGCTTGCCGGTGATAGAACAAAATTAATAGAATTTTCAACCGAACTCCTTCGTACAATTGAGCCATAACTAGTATTACATACCGGTCGCCTTTGATCAATTAAAGACTCTCTGCTAGTTAGCATGTGAATACAATTTCAGAATCAAATCATCTATCCTATCGAGAAAGTGACAAGGCTGAGAATGGAAAGCTTTGGCAAGTAGGTAAGACGACCTAAATGTGATATGGATTTCCCACCCCTGGGATCTTAGTTGCGCTGTATAGGGTGTCCTTACTATTGTATGTTTTTCCCTCTTTCAATTTCCACTTTACCTTCAGCCTTCCTGTGAATGAATCTTTTGATCGGATAACGCTGTTGAATTGAGCCGAAGATAAGCGCTAGTGCGCGGCCCGCGGTGACCCGAGTGCACTATCCGCCAGCCGACGTAGGGTCGGGACCTGTGAAGTATATATGAGAAGATATAGAGATAAGAAATTAATATGAGAGACAATTTGCTATATATTTTACTTGACACTCACATCTTTCTGCTTCACTTCAACCCGCCTCAAACCCCGTTTTATTGATTTATCTATATTCACCATGCCAGGCTGGAGGAGTCTCAATGTCGGCGTTATTGGCGGGGGCATCGGGGGAATGTCCGTTGCAGTTGCCTTACGTCGTGCAGGACACACTGTGACCATCTACGAAAAGTCGGACTTCGCAGGTGAAGTCGGCGCTTCGGTTTCGTGTGCTGCCAATGGAACCCGCTGGCTACACGAGTGGAACGTGGATATCGCCAAGGGTGACCCGGTGGTTTTGAAGAAGCTTATCAACCGCGACTGGAATACGGGCGAGCCCGTCAGTGTGTACGACCTCGACGATTATGAGAAGCGCTGGGGATATGTCTACAACATGTTTCATCGCCAATATATGCATGCCATGCTAAAGGATTCGGCACTGGGCGAGGGCGAAGGAGCGCCAGCAACTCTCAAAGTGAACTACCGGGTATAGTTATCAATGGAAGCTGTCTGTAATTGAGCATGCGCTAATATTGCCTGGGATCTAGTGCAGCGATATCGATCTGAAGACGAGTACGGTCGTCTTCGAGAACGGTGAGGTTGTAAGCCACGACCTAATCGTGGGGGCAGATGGAATCGGGTCGGCCGTTCGAGGAATCATTGGAATTACGCCAGAAAAGCGAGCCTCCGATCAGAGCTGCTTGCACACCAATGTCAAAACCGAGGATGCCATCAGGCTCGGCCTGGTGAACTACGCCGAAGATAGCGCACTGGAGTACTGGGGTGGACAGGAAGGAAAATGGGATAAGATTGTTCTGTCACCCTGTAACGGTGGTGAGCTTCTGTCGTACTACTGCTTCTTCCCACGTGAGCAAGGCGACTATTCAACACAGGCATGGGGGGCCGAAGACCGCCCTGTTGAGGAACTTCTCGCCCCATACCCAGAATTAGACCGACAAGTGTTTGACCATCTGAAGATTGGGACAGAGATCAAACCATGGCGTCTCTGGGTCCATGACCCGTACCCGTATCTTCAACGCGGTAGCACCTGTCTCTTGGGGGATGCTGCACACCCGATGATGCCTCATCAAAGCCAAGGAGCCTGCATGGCTATTGAAGATGCGGCAGCACTTGGAATCTTATTTGGTAAGCGTTATTTCTCTGGGGATATTACCCAAGCCCTCGCTGTTTACCAGGAGGTACGTCTGCCTCGGGTTACAAGAGTGCAGGCAGCAGCGGCCAAGGCGGCTTACAATATCAACGAGCGGATTGGTGAGTGGATTTCATTCAACGGGTGTTGTGGTGCATTATTTTCTGACTAGCGCATAGGTTTCTCCGTCAACAAAGATATTCCCACCTATAAAGTCGAAGACGCGAAGAAGGTTCTTACAATAGAGGAAATGAATGCGTGAGTTCGATCGACTTCAGGCGTTAGGAAATACTGACAAGCAACTAGCTATGACATGTATAGGGATATCGAAGAGAAACTCGCGGCAAAGCGCGGGACAACCTATACCGACAAATTTCTGTGTGGACTTCCCATCGGACTTGAACTGCCGAATGGAATCACGATCGGCGCAGTTGGAGCATAATGCTTTTCTTTTAGCTTGGCTTGTTTTCATCAAGATGTTTGTATATTGAGCTAGGTGGTGATGTAATGTTGTCACGCCAATCCTCTAGAATTTGTACCTGGGACCAACTTTCCCGTTGACTTTATCCTCACCTCCATCAAACCAACCTCTTCCCTTTTCCCATCTTCATCTCCATCCAATTTCTTGACATTTATTAGCTTCCATAATATTCCCCGTACACGCTCACCATGGCTGAAATCCATTTTCTTCCCAATATGTCTGGTAAAAAGATCACTATCGGCTTTGAGGACGGCCCGGATGCTACTCGTTATCCCCTTTGGGAATGGACCGTCATTGAAAAGTTAAGCGAACTTCCAATCCCCATCACACCAGAGGAGTCGGCCGTTGGCATGGGTCCAGCTTTCACCGAGGGAAAGTATCATTGTCGCGACGGGAAAGAGACGGCCTTCATGCGCATCTACAAACAGATTCCTCTTGATGGTACCCGACTTGAGGATTCAGATGTGCGGAAACCCCAGGCCGGTCCACCAGGTGATCATGTGGAATTGGAAGCCTTGAAACTTCTCACAGAGAAAGAATGCTCTGTCACTCCTCGGCTGCTTGGATATCGCATTGGCTAACAAGACGAACATGACATTGTCCCGGGTGGTTATATCATCCACCTTGTATGGGAACAGGTGGAAGGCGAATCCCTTGACATCTAGCAGTTCTGGGCTCTTCCCTACGCGACGTGGGAGAAAATCCGCTGGAATTTTGAAGAGGCATACAGGGTTGTCACTAAGCACATTGAATATCGTCGCGTATCCACGGCTGACTCGATCCAGGGAACTTCCGAAGTTCGGCTATGAGCCGCATTTTTGGTTCCGTCAAAGATCATCTGGAACAAGGCCACACTCAAGTTGTATGTCCTACAAAATCTCTTGCAATCTCAAGCCAATGGAATTTAGGAAAATCTCCGGATTCAAATGAGCCGAGCGTGTTGACACGGACACAAAATGGACTCGAATTAACTTCGCGAATTTTTCTCTGGCTCTGATATCCTTGAATGACGATAGGTACCTACCTGATCTGGCAAATGATCTCAGACGTGATGCCAAGGGCTGGAGATGGTGAGGAAGAGTCTTACATACATGGAACCAGCGGAAGGACTGTTGATGTTTAGATTTGTTGATGTTTAGATTACTGAGTATGGGAACAATGATCTTGGCTGTCATTTCATGTTGTGTATTGCTTAAGACTATCTATCTGTCTGGCAGGAAATGGAGTTTTGACTGTTCGTTCCGCATGTGGATCCTCGGCCCGATGCCCAGTTCACTCAGTCATTTCAACAAGGACCTCGAACATCGAACACGATAGCAAGGGCCGAAGGTGATAGGAAGGAGGCTTACACAGAATGACCCAGGAATAAACCGCTGTTGCTTAGGCTGGTCTGGTGTGCTTGCTCACTTAGCTTGATAACGATACTATGAAACACCTGGATTTTACTAATTGTATGTAATAGTTCTGGCGATCAAAAGGGACTATGTAGGATCTTAATAGCGCATAATCAAATATAGAAGTCCTACGAGGTATCGGAAAAGCGGTTGAGGAACCAATGTTCTTCAATTTGGACTCTATACAAAACGAAAATTTCCAATCACGTATCATCACTTCATTGCATTCAATCACCCAGATGAAATTTCTTATATTCTTGGTCATTTTAGAACAGAGCATCGCCTAGGCGGTAGTGCACAGTCTTGACCTGGGTGTAATTTTCAAGAGCATATGAACCGAGCTCACGGCCAATGCCGGACTCCTTGAAGCCACCGAAGGGAGCCTGGTAAGAGATCATGTTGTAGTTGTTGATCCACACGGTACTGCAGTAAAGTTAGCTCTGTTACAGCAGTAAATAATGAGATATGACATACCCAGCCTTGAGAGCGTTAGAAACGCGGATGGCAGTGTTGATGTTCTTGGTGTGAACGGCGGCAGCGAGACCTAGATACAGTTAGAACGACAAATCATAATTTCACGATGAATGTGAATAATACATACCGTAGTTGGTGCCGTTGCCAATGCGGATGGCATCGGCCTCATCCTTAAACTTGGTGACGGCGATAACAGGGCCGAAGATTTCCTCTTGGGCGATCTTCATATCGGGAGTGACGTCGGTAAAAACAGTGGGCTGGATGAAGTAGCCCTCAGTACCGTGGCGCTCACCACCAAAAGCGACAGTGGCACCCTCTTTCTTGCCGTGGTTGATGTACTCCATGATACGGTCAAACTGAAGCTGCGAAACCTGAGGGCCCTGGAAGGTGTCACCCTCGAAGGGGTTGCCGAGCTTGTTCTGGGCGGCACGCTCCTTGAAGCGAGCCACAAACTTATCGTGAATGCTCTCCTGGACCAACAAGCGAGAACCGGCGCAGCAGCACTGGCCGTGGTTGAAGAAGATACCAAAGTTAGCCCATGAGATGGCGTTATCAATATCGGCATCCTCGAAGACGATGTTGGGGGACTTGCCACCCAGCTCTAGAGTAACCTTCTTCAGGTTAGACTTCGCGGCGGCCTGTAGGATCATACGGCCGACAAGGGTGGAACCAGTAAAGGCGATCTTATCAATGTCCATGTGGCTCGAGATAGCGGCACCAGCAACACGACCAAAGCCGGAGATGACGTTAATAACACCTGGGGGGAAGCCAGCCTCAACAATAAGCTTAGAGGCGTATAGACCAGAAAGAGGGGTCTGCTCAGCGGTCTTAATGATCACAGTGTTACCGGCAGCGATAGCGGGACCAATCTTCCAGGCCCACATAAGAATAGGGAAGTTCCAGGGGATGATCTGACCACAGACACCAACGGGCTCGTGACGGGTATAGGAAAGAGTCTCGGAATTAGTGTCAATGGTCTGGCCAGTGATCTTGTCGGCCCAGCCACCGTAGTAGCGTAGGCAGCCAGCCGCATTGGCAATATCGACCTTGGCCATAGTGACGGCCTTGCCGTTATCGAGGGCCTCAATGGAAGCCAGGGTCTCCATATCACGCTCGAAAAGCTCGGACAGCTTGGTCAGCATACGACCACGGTCCGAAGGGGTCACCTTCTTCCAGGGACCCTCGAAGGCTTCACGGGCAGCCTTGACAGCGATGTCAACATCCTTCTCGGAAGCCTCGTAGACGGAGGTGATGGGCTTTTCGGTGGTGGGGTTTAGGGTCTCGAAAGTCCTGCCGTCAACACCCTTGACGAACTCGTTGTTGATGAACCTAGAAGCAGCAACCAATTAGCGAACTGATCATTGATATTAGGGGGGAAATCGTACAGGCCAAGGGGCTGTTCATAAGTGACATTGGGAGTCTTAATGGTAGTGTAGAGGGACATGGTAGCACAGGGTATCACAAATAGATGCAAGAAAGAGGAAGCCGAGGGAATCTCCAAGGTCTTTATATGCTGTAACTTATACTTGACACAATGTGTGTCCTTGGTTTTTGACTTTCTTGCGGGGTCAATACATGTACTACACACCCAAGTCCACTTTTCATATGGACCCTTTGTATTGTCCTTTTATGATTGGTCCATCTGCTGTTGGAGCTTCCAACCTTCCACGGTTCTGTAGGTTAATTACTTGGAAACCCCTTGATCGTAGCTACCGCCTGCCGAGACAGCTATACCGCCGGTTTCTTCACATTTTGACTGGCGAATGATTGGCAGTGTACATGCAAATTATGTCAATTGCCCCATATTTAAGTCATATGGCTAGTATTACCTGGTTATGTATTGGAGACGTTATTCTTCTGGTTTTTCAGTCTCCTGCAATAGCTCCATCTATCGGGCTTGGCACCGACGTCCTCTCTCGGGCTAAGGCCGAGAAGATGATCTTTGACATATTCATCCCGGCCGAACTTCCGAGATGGTACAAGTGCGTCCTCATAGTTTATGAGTTTATCTTTACATCCTGCATATGTTTCACCTTTTTTTTTTATACAAAAGGCCAAACACCTCCTATTGCAGACCAAAGGCCGAAAAGAGGGGCCAGTGGGCCTAAAATGTGATCATCGATGTCTCCGTACGCGGGCTAACATCTCCCCGGTGACACTGCCGGTGGGGAAGGGGGAAATGGGGAAATGGGGGGATGGAGAACGGGGGAACGGGGGAATGGGGGAATGGGGAAGAATGGTAAGGTGTAGGATAACAGTCAAACCCCGTTGAAATCAAAGGATCGTTGGAGAGAGCTAGAGGCTGTCTAAAGTGAGGGTATTCCGAGGTTGGCATTTTAGGTTGACATGCATGTCATTTTTTGGATTATGTAATCTTATTCTTGGTTCTTGAAACCGGCAGAATCCCGACGAAAAAGGCGGAACATATGGCTCAGCCAATAACGTTGCGTAGAATTAAGAGAATTATAAAGGTAAGTTTAGGACTAAGCCTAATTAGGCAGCCTTGGCAATCTTTATGGTAAAAGAATTCACACAATTCAGCACGCATTCTTCGAAAGTGATTGGGATTTACAACAACGGGATCTGAACGGGGTTCGACGGGGTTTGTCTGTACGCAGGTTTTTTTTTTCTTAATCGGCCGGGAATCAGCGGCCTTGATTTTGGACTGAGATTATTGTATTTTGTTGAGGCTGAGCTTCTGATAAGGGGAATCACCACGTGACTTTCGATCGCGGAATGGATATTCGTTCGAATGTTGTGGTGAAGACCCAGAGAAAAACAAGACAGCTGTATAGCTTTGACGTAATCGTCATTGCAGAAGTTGCGGTTGGCGTAGTGACCTGACCTCGAGAAACACTATTGGATAATTCAATATTGAGAAGTTGTTCAGGTCAAAAAAGCCCCACGCGCGACCATTTCAATCTGCCGTGGCCGTTCCAGCTCACCGAATCACCCGTTCGATATAACGGCCCCCGCTAGCTATGGGCGATCATATCAAACACCCGAGTGGTATTATTATAGGATCCACATATGGTGAAAAGCCACTCGTGGATTTCAATTGTGTTGAGAAGCATTACTCTGGGCGTGATAGGTACGGGGACTCCCCAAGAGGTCATCATTGCCTATATCAACACCTCTCCGTGACCCACCATAAGTAATACTGAAACTCTAGGCCTTAAATGAACGTATCATCAACAACATACACCCTGGAAGAAGTGATAATATCAGCGATCCCCTTGGTTATTGCCGATACTACCAATCAACCGCGCATCGGCCTGCGAACTAGTGGATTGCAAGCGTTCAACGACTTGGAGTGGGTTCGTAAGTGCCACCACGCCGCCAGTTATTATCGCTGTCACTTCACGGAACTGGCAGACAAGATTATTTGCTTGACTTGAATATCATCAAGGATAGTCTTATCGATATGGAATTGTACAGAGAGGTTGCGAGGGCGAGTCAATGGGGGACACTCCACAATGAGGGTCATACTGAATGGTGGACTCCTTTGATTGCTAGAGGTTGGATATTCTAATGGCGAACACGATTTAGCGTTCAAAGTTCTCACCATAACCATTGCAGTAGGGTATTTTACCTCGTCCGTTTCCGAATCAGTAGCATTGTGCGAGTGCCTAAGTAAAATAAATTGATACATGGTTGCAAGTCCACATATGGAAATTACAGAAAAGGGGAGATCCCATGGTAAATTAAGCTTAGGGTCCATCAACAACGTCGCCCCACCCTCCCCCGAGCCAGCTATCTAGAGTGCGTAGAGGATATTACGCAGCGGTATAAGTGCCTTTTTCGGGTAGTCTGAATGTTTAATTACCGCTAGAACCTAAACCGCTTCTTTTCCTATCTGAGTTTAGTCCTATTTACGTCAAGCCCGCGGGACCTTGTGATCTTGCACCAATATGACACCAGAAAGCCAAGTAGACAAGGGATTAGAGAGCACAACGAAAGAATATGAAAGAATAGAGTAATCATATGCTCATTTAATCATCCGCATCGTTAAACTTAGACCGAATTCTATGACACGCCAAAATCATCCTTGTTAAAGGTTGTAGTGACGCAACGTCCAAACTTCCCGCAAGGTTCAGGTCAAGCAACTCCTGGAGCGTACACGGAGTAGGTGATGTCGGGCGAGCGTATTCGCGGGCCACTGACCATTCCTCATCGCTGCAGGCGCGCCACATGTACTCCGGTGCTGGAAGGGGCATCTGTAGAATCATGGCATCATTCAACGGCTCAAAGTAGTCACGGTGCAGCTTCCGAGCTTCGGCGGCGAGTATATTAATGATGTGGACGAAGAATACGTTGCGGCGGAGGGATTCGGCAAATTTCCACTCGGGCCAGCCTGCTTCGTTCCTGACGAGAGCATTTTGGTACAGCTTGCAGAGTCCCCGAGTCATCTGTACGGCGATCGGCGAATGAGCGGTGTAGATTGAGGGTAACGAGGAGAAACGCTAAAATACCCACCTTCAGTAAAAAGGAACCGTGAAGTTCTGCGGCCTTGCCCAAGTCGTCGCGACGCCCTTCACGCCCATCTTTGAAGAACGTGCTATGCCCCGATCTATGGCTGTCCATGGACGGCCCCCGAAAGAGTCCCAAAATCTGATACATGCAAACAGCATGCAGGGCGGCGAGACAGGTTTCCGGACGATCGCTGTAAAGGTGAAACTTGCCGGACCAGCCGCTCCCGTTCCGAGTTGATCATGTTGTCAACGAACTCAAGGCTGGACTCGACGGAGTTCGAGTAGGCCGACACACAGGCCAGGGCAATACCGAGAGGCTCGGCCATGCCGTTCTCAGCGCACCGGTAGAGACGGCGGTGGATGAAGGGAGACCAGAAGTTGGGTTGTAGCATCATTCGCGGATACTCACGCAGGATCCCGAAAAGCTCCTGAGATAGACTGGATGTGTCTCGAAGTGCTAGATGGGACAAGTCTGGGAGGAAGGAGCTGGCAAATATATTTGTAATATCCTAGGAGAAGTCGGAGTCGGACGGCTCTCGGTAGCCACTACCCGCCGGGGAGGATAGGGGTGGTAGGGAGACGCCTATCAGATCTCCCGGAAGTAATAGAGAATTGGGTGCCTTGAACCTTTCCTGCGGTGTAAGAAAGAAGGACGTTGGGCTGTATAGATGATCCACGAAGTCTGATGCCGGGTCAGGCCATGTGGCCTGATCATAAAAGCCAGTTTCATCAACGGTAAAATTGATATTATTGAGTGTTGGGCTCCAGGCGAAGTCATCGATAATGGGAGCGCTATTACTGGCATCCTCGGGCAAAATCATGGCTGAAACAGGGACATCGGGGGTTAAACCCGTGGATGTCGGTCCTAGAGTTGGTTCCAGATACGACACATTCTCCGGGCCTGTATCTTGATCTCTCTGGATTAGAGACGCCGAGGACCTGTTAGGATAGTGACAAGCGGTGCCCATCTGAACACATCGACTACAGGCTGGACGAGTCAATGAACAGCGCAACTTCTTTTGGGCGCAAGTTTCACAAGACTTGCGCTTAGATGCGCGTTGCTTGCCGAAAGTTTTGGCACACCGACGCCGATGCCGGTCTCGGAGATCTCCTATCAGATGCGTCAAACGACAGATCGATCCCATGCACATAGATCAACGTACGGCGACTGTATGCCTTGTTGCAGAGACCGCAGCGGAACTCCGTATCCGCCGCATCGGGACTGTAGTGGCTATCGGTATGTTCAGTGTGGTTATTCCAGTCCATGATTCTAGGAGTGAGCGATGAAGATTATAGATGCGGTAGGGTGCTGAGTTACAGCCGTTCTGACTAATCATATATGTCGGCTAACTAGACTGGGATATGACCGTGTTTGGTAAAATACGCTGTATTTTCCCCCGCCAGAGCCCAGAACCTTTTGAGTCCACGCGGAACTCCACCTGATCTCCGTTACCCGTCATATCAGATTACCGCGCTAGTAATTTTCATTTCCTTGAGATTTGATCACAATATAGTTGTGCTTAGATGCGATCAAACCTTCGATCCATGTCCTCTTTTCCTTTAAAATCGAGCGGACTTGTATCGTTTTACCAAGCGCTATGTGGAGTATTGGAGCACCTACAGCAGCCAGGAAGTGTCGAATCGGATTGGGTAGCTATAAAGCTAGCTAGGTAGAGCAATGATGACACATTTTTCGATCCACTCTCTCCATTATCTTTCTCCATTGCTTTGTGCTTCATTCGGAAATATCCATAGACCGTAAGCTAACAAGTGATGACAGCGACACAAAGCTCCTTCGTGATTCCTCAGAGGGAGGTGTATATCTTGGCGGCAAGCGAACGATGAGATCCAAAGGGTTTTCGTAATTGCCGACCATCAACCCTAGCAGAGAAGCGAGTTTGATTCTATCGTAATACCAGAAACCTGTGCCGTTGATTTCAAACTTGAAGGAATCTTGAATTTGGGATTTTTGCTCTGGGTCGAGTGCAAACCCCCGGGATTTCTCACAACAAGAACACTCCACGGTGCAATGACCAACTGCAAATTTCTGTTCTAACTGGCGATTAGAACAGCATCCACAGTCTCTACAGCAACATCCTCTTCTCCCAACGCAATCTTCCTAAAGTACTCGATGCATGTACCATTTCGGCTGTGAACGCCAGTAATCGATACCTCTGGTCAGCGGGCTGTCATTAATCGAAGACTTAATCTTCCACCAACGTCGTTCCAAGGTCCAATATTTCTTCGAAAGTATAGACAATTCCTCCCGTAAGTCTTGAACAACAGTCACATTGATACTTTCCTTAGCAAGTTCCTTCATTTTCTCTTTCAAGGCTATCTCGCGTTGAGAATTCTCCCGAAGTGCAATCTCTGTCTCCAATATCCCCTTTAGATCGATAGGCCATTTTCTTGGTAGTCCGTTTTCGAAAGTATTGTATCGGTATCTTTAAAGAAGACATATCTCTCCAGATTCTTCTAAATCAATCTCTTCATCAGTTTCGTCCCCCGATATGTAACAGCTCATCTTCAAATACCGTTTCACTCAAGGCTGTTGAGTCTATTAGAGGGCTTCGGGATTAGAGGGTGATGTAGAATATAAAATGAGCTGCTGAGTCCATAAATTCCACAAATTCCAGGAATATCATGGTTTCATAAGTTTGCCGCGTTCAAAGAAGGAACCGACTGACTGACCGCTGAGAAATTGTCAGGATGACGGGTATATTAAAATTAAAAGCGCAACTTTCTAATAGAAATTTGAGTGGCATACAAATGACGTATCTATCAAAAGTGAGGCACTTCGGAATGCATGATTGCATACTAAGGTTCTTTTTCTTTTCTTTTTCTGCATAATAAGAGAGACCAGCAAAATGTGATCAAAGATAAAACAACAGAGGAACGCCGTCGCCTCGGCATCACCTCAGCCAACCATCCCAGCCGGCAGCTGAATTTCCAAGCCCTCTTTCATACCCTCCTTCATCCCGTGTGTGGTATTACGGGCGAAGGTACTCAAGCTGGCCAATTCTCCGCAGACAAACATGTATATAATATGAGAAAGAATACCACAGAAGCTAAAAAAAAGTAAAAACAGTAAAAACACCTGGTCGATGCACTGGCTCTGGCATCTCTCTTCAAAATCTGCCAAGATACTATATTAGCCCTTTTCCATGACAAGTACTCTTCACTTACAATTATACACCCCCTTGCTCTGTTAAACTTGCGTAGGCAAATCTGTCATCTCGACGCTCCTTGCAGTTGCAATCCTACCGGATGATCTTCTCTGACAGGTGGTTTTGGCTATCTAATAGCCCCTCGACGGCGGAGAGGAGACGACTGGACAGGTACGGGGCGTGTCTCTGTCACAACAATTACCCCGGAGCACTCGAGGGCTGGAGGGGGGATCGAAGGGTTGTGCAGGTTTAAAAACCTATTGTTAATCAGTAATCATGAATATATAGGGCCTCCCCATTGTTACCTGCCAGATCAATTCAGAGAAATGAGTGCATTTTCGAACAAATACCAAGTACGAAGAGAGAAGAGAAAAGGAAAACCATCTGTGCTCTTCCTTCTGGTTTTGTGCGTCCCCTTCTCTGCAAACTATGCAAAGAGTGCTCCTCGCTTATGTTCGAGGAAGGTGCAACTTCCTCGGCGAGTCGAAGGTATACACATAGAAGTGGTAGAAGTAATAGAAGTGGTTGAAGTGGTTGAAGTGGTTGAAGTGGTTGAAGTAGTTGAAGTAGTTGAAGTAGTTGAAGTAGTTGAAGTAGTTGAAGTAGTTGAAGTAGTTGAAGTAGTTGAAGTGGTTGAAGTGGTTGAAGTAGTTGAAGTGGTTGAAGTGGTTGGTTGAATATTGATTGAAGTAGATGGTTGAAGTGGATGGTCGGTTGACGGTTGATGCTTGAATGGGATGATTATTTGAAGGTTGATTGAAGTGGATGATTGTTTGAAGTTGATGCTTGAAAGTGCTTGGATGTTTTTTTTCTTTTTCTTTTTTTTTTTGTTTTTTTGTTATGTTTTGTGTTTTGTGTTTGCTGTCCTGGAACCATAACTCGTCACGGCAAGGCTGGACGTGGTCGAGTGGATATGGTTGATACCACATGCTTGGTCCAGTCAGCCTCATTTCATCCAATTTGTAGAGTATGATGAGAGCACATGAAATCAGATCATTGAAATTAGACGAGAATAGACCTCATAAAGTGGAAGACGGAGGGCAAATGTGGTAGGGTTGTCTGAAGTGTAAGTGTAAGTATATGAAAGCAACAGAAAAGAAAAAAGACATCGAGAACAAAAGAGACATTGAGAACATACAAGTCATGTGGTGGATGATAAATATAGTTACCAGGCATGTCGAAGTGATTGTGTTCTGATGTGGTTGAGTCCTCTAAAGGATAAATGAATGTAGGTAAGTAAGGAAAGAAAAAGCAATAGCAATAGCAATAACATACAAGTCATGTGACTACCCTGGAGGCTCAACCTACTTCTGATGATTATTGAGGCAGTAGTGTGGTCCTAGAGAGTCTCTAGAGTCGTTAAGAGATGGTGCAACAGTGTACACTCTGCATGCTTAAGCCACTGGATAATATCATTGCGACTCTCACGCATCGACCCAGACGCTTCCATTGTATCCCATCTCTGATTCTGTCCAGCTATGTCTCATATAAATGCACCATGCTGTCGATTGAAGATGCAGGTCGTCGAGCACTTATAGATCATCAAGGTTACACGCTAAGCTATGTTTGGTATGGCGTGCATATATGCACGGTCCTTGTGGCATGCATTCCACGGGTACTCCGTACAACCTTGGCATTTGATGTCTAGCTATTGAAGAGGGGTCCCTGTAACGGGGACAGGGGCACCGATAGCCCTGCTTGCAAAACAGGTGTGAGAGCAGAGTTGTTACTGAGAGGGTGCTAGAGAGGAGAATATGTTGGGTGACCGGAAGGCGGTCACCCATGTGGGTCCAGATCACTAGATAGTTCCGCTCCCTCTTCCTCTCTCTCTCTCCCTCTTGTCCATCAGATCTTAGCCGAATCTACACTAGTTGTTTTCCTCTTTACAGATACAACGTAGTTAGATCGTCATTAGAATACCATGGGGTGACTACTGAGAAGAGAAGTGGGAAGCTGTCTAAGCCTGCCTCTGGGGTACTTTTATAGTTATCACATGGCCCTGGAGTCATTCAAGTTCTGCGACCGATACCTATATGGGAATCAGTACTAGCTCTTCTTTCTCCACAGATCCTTTGATAAACTCACCAGTATATCTCATTAAGTGAAAACCGTGCTCCGGCGAGACGACACTGGTCAAACCAAGGTCGGTCTGCAGGCCATTCACAGCTTCCCAAATCTCGAACCACCCAGAAAACAGCCTGATTCATCATATCCTCAGGCAAATCGTATTTTGTAATCAAAGTCTGACAAATGGGACAGACTTTTGGGACCAGCTCCCCGGGGACAAGAGACATGAGATACTGATGAGGTCTTGAAGTAGCCAAAATGTGGTACGTGTGAGGATCTTTTGCAGTAAGTTTCCCTGGGACGAGAGATAGGAGATCCTGATGAGAACAAGCAAAGGTCGGCTCAGCTGTGAGATGGGCGGAGGAGGAGAAGCTTATAGTATGCCGAGCCGCTACACATAACTTGCCAGTTTTATTAATATATAAAACCAGAGCAACTCGCACATCGTAGCCAGATCTGCTAAACATACAGACGTGGCCGAGGCTAGGGGTTTCTCCATTGTCATAGTCATACTCGAATGGGCCATATTTGGTTTCGGCTGGCGTTGTGCTTGATTTGAGGATCTTGACTTTGGGCTCAGGGACATAGGTCAACTATACCAGCATAGTATACGCAGGATCTCTCCAGGGCTGATTGTCTCAGGAGATATTTTGCAAATTCTTTCCGTGGATGAAGTTTCAAGCACTTTGCACAGTAGGCCCAGCGGCGATTTTCGAGTCGAAGAAGGAGTTGATTTCGCAGCACATCCTGACTGTTCACGCACAGTATTGGATTTCTAATAAGCAAGAGTCGTGGAAATTCAAGATCGTTGTGCTTCACAATCGTCCCGAATAGGGCGAAGAGCTCTTTGCAGCTGAGAGATAGACAAACTTGATCGACTAGTGAGAGGTGTCGGTAGATCTTCTGTAAGATGCGCTCATTCAAACAAAGTATCGTGGAGTATTTTGGCGCTTTCTTCCAAAAAATATGAAGCAGCCCGAGGAGCATCTTTCCACATTGCGACATCTTCGAGCCTCCAAGGCGAAAGATGATGCTGAGCGTGAAGCAGGAGACTGATTTGGATACATACGCGATGTAAAAATGAGTAGATCGGGAGAGTCAATCTGGTCTATGGATTTCTTGTAATATTGAGAGCGAAAAGACTCCAGGGCTACTGTCTGTGATTAAGAATTGTGACTTCGTGACGTATTGATTACAAGCTCCGATTCCAAAACGATATAATTCGGCGTCGCTAGGTTTGGACCCAATGCCAATTTTGTCTGGTAAACGCGCAAAATAAGTTTACCGATCACGCCCTGGTTGAGCATGATCAAGGATTAATTGCTAAAGGTGAGAGGGGCTCGGATTAGTCCCAAGGTTTGGGAGGGAAGCTACCTTAGGTAGAGATCCATTCCTTATTAGGCGGCGGCAAGGAGTATACGTATCAAGGATGCCCAGGTAGATATATCTTTCTACTATTTCAAACCTCGATCCCAAATTATATTCAATATTCCTTCTCTATCTTATACCAAAGTTTACCACACGAGAATCGTTTCATTATCTCTAAAATGTCCGAACTACTTGGAAGCCAAGAATTGAAGCTAGTCTCCGACTATCACCCTTCTCCACAATACCACTTATGCGAGCCGAGCCCAGATGCACTCACCTCTGTCATCGAGAACGAGCGTACTCGCCGGTTACTACTGCAACAGTTTATAAAACTAGAGACAGAGCTCGAAAAGTTAGCAGAGAATCACCCTACGCACGACGACGGTACCCCGCCAATGATAGACTACCTTGAAAAGTTCTTTCTGTTATTGAAAGAGGAGATGCAGTTGGTTATAAAGTTATCAAATGTTCTAAAAGAACGCATAGGAAACCCCGAAATCTATATCGCTATGGAAAGACTCTCCGACAGTGAGTTCAACCGAGCTTATGCTTCTTTAAAGCAGAATCCCAACAGCCAGATGCGAAGAGAGCTAGCCCAAAACTCTCAGGATCGCGGTGACTACTTTTGCTCTTCTGGACGGTTACTTGAGTCCTCAAAGGTGAATAATATGAATGACAAACTTGGCCAAAGCCCTCCATCCTATGATATGGCGGCTAGTGTTCGGAAAGCGAGTGATGGTGCTATCGCAAAATCGCCTCGGAGTTTTGGGAAGAAATTTTGGAAATATTTAGCTCGACTTTAAGGGTCAGGAGAAATTGGGTCTCACTAGAAGTGATCGTCATTGGATGAGATTACTGAAAATTGCTGTTTATCTTGTATTAAAGCGTCGTGAATTATCAATATGAATGGATTTGCTCAATGAAACTCCTAATGCTGTCCAGTTGAAAACACTTCTCTCACCCCGTGTATGAAGCTATATATAAATCAGGGACTAGTGCCCTATATTCTCGAAATTTTACTACCTAGATGCTTGGGTTTCTATAGCAAGATGTAGTTAATTCATTCAATATGTTACTTCTAGTGATTGTCCTTAGATTCTATAGCGGAAATATTTCCCTAAAAGTTCTGAACTATTATGGACGTTACAGTTTAAGAAAAAGATGATTGTTAAATAATGGGAGCCAAAGGTAAGAGACATCTAGGAGACATCTAAGAGAAAACTTTTATATAAAGGAAATTTTAGCACCTGGCCTCTTCAAAGTCTCGTGTTAGATCAATCAGGGTCTACCATAAGATCCAGGTCTGCGAAGGGGTCTACATTGAACAGCAAAATGCATTCCCAAGATGAAACTACCCGGCGGCAGTATGTATTTAGACATGGTCACCTCCGAAGAGGACCAGCCAAAGAAAAATAAAAATAAAAGCAACAGAAAACAGAAACAACAAAACAACAAAAAGTAGAGACAAAAGACTCGTTTTCTTCCTTCATCTCACCTCACTGAGGTCCTCGGAGAGAAGCAAAAACGGCCAAAAAGCCCAGAGGAACGCCACCAAGAACACTTCCTCCTCCCCCCCCGGTTTGATAAAAAAGCTCCGTTTTCATTCATCTCACCTCACTGAGGTTCTCGGAGAGAAGAAAAGGATAAAACAACAGAGGAACGCCGCCAAAACACCTCCTCCTCCACCCCCGGTTTGATAAAAAGCTCCGTTTTCATTCATCTCACCTCACTGAGGTTCTCGGAGAGAAGAAAAGGATAAAACAACAGAGGAACGCCGTCGCCTCGGCATCGCCTCAGCATACCGAGATTGACAGCCCCTTCTCTATCCCGTGTGCTACATTGCGCGTCGTCGTAGTGGCGCTGGCCACTTCTGCGTAGCTCGGGATCTTCTTCTTGGGTGTGGTGGGGGGCGCGGGGGCCTCGGGAGTCTTGAGGGTCTTGGGGGGCGCGGGGGTCTTGGGAGTCTTGGGGGTCACAAGAGGCGGATGGGCCTCGACATCATCCACTGTGTGGATTTCTTCGCTGGTCTGCTTGGGCTGCTCGCCCACACTGATGTCTTTGAGGCTATTTTACGATATATTAGCCTCTGTGCATACATAGGCAAAGACCCGCCAATATAGTTTCCATGAGAATCATGGTTTACCACTTACGGGGTACCCTCAATGTCCACGCTCTTGGAGGCTGGCCTCCTCCAAAAAAAATAGCCAGCGCCAGCAAGGCATCCGGCGACAACAATCATAAGGGCCCAAAAGCCCGGTGAAGCCACCAACTGCTGGCCCATGGACCGATTGGTCCCGGAGGCAGAGGGAGATGGGGAGGATTGGGCGGAGGTGGGTGGACGGGGGTCCGGGAACACATTAACAATGATGTTGGTGATATTGCTTGCCATGGCTGCGATGTTGTGAATACAAGTTTACGCTGCTGGGGGAAACACGATATACCCCTCTACGCAACATCGTGCCTGCTTAATCTGTACCAACTACGTCGTAACTACGTCTATAGCTTCCTATTCTACAGAAAGAAAAAAACAAAACTTCTGCAGCTGGGAACCCTAAAAGCGTTTGGAGTAGGCGCCGCGAAGATACCCTCAACAAGTGAGAGTTTTCAAGAAGTAAGATGAGTTAAGAAGTAAACGTTATTAAGAATTGAGAGAAGTCAAATAGTAAGAGTTGTCAACAAGTGAGATAAAAGTAAGAGATTGAAGAAGCCAAGACAGTGAAATGCTCCGCTATGGTCAAAATCGACATGGTGGATTATGATTCTACTACAATTCTACGTTGCCTCGTTTATTCGGACATCGTGAGGCTGTAGTGAGAGATGAACCACTTCTTAGAGTAGGCTCGATACCTTTCTTTTCATAATTCAACCGAGTATTGGGAGTAAAATCATGTCTCTGCAAGTAACTTGAAAATACCTAGGTACTGGTGCCCTGTTTGTCCAATGTTAACCATTGTGAAAGAAACTGTCCGGGCATGCAAGCCCGAGTTCTGAGAATCGGCCAGCTTGGTGGCGATATGGTTAGCGCGCAATGGAATGAGGCTGAGGCTGTTGCACTTACGTTTCGAAGTGCATTGACAACGGGCGCATTGCAGGAACTTAATGAGCGGCTGAGTTGATTGCCTGTTGATCAGTGTGCTCGGGCTATTTCAGATATCGCCATGAATGTCGCTAGATCTTCCGATGCCAACATGGTGTACCATTAAGATTTGCTTCCTGCTCTGAGGGATCGATCGGACTTGCTGAGTTCGAGGTTGTATCTCCACAGACACGGAAACGGACACGGATGAAGAGCACTAAACCAACATAGTCAATTCTGAACCTAGCTGTATCCCCTTCCGATTACCATAGAAAATGGCATTCGTATTGAAAATCAAGTGCTAAGAGAGCCCTTGCCTAATACGGCTGTAGCGCTGTGCCAGCAGTATCTTAATATGCAAGTAGCCCGTCGCCACGGCAAGAAATCAATGTCCAAAGGAACTTGAGACTAGCTGTAACGCTATTGCTTCTATCTTTTTCTTAGTCTGCGTCTATATAGTTGCGTGATGATTACGCGCGATAGAACCTAGCTCTACATATGCATAATACACCATATTTACTACTACGGCGGGGGGACAGCGATCGTGTGCATACATGCATTCGGGGATATTTACTCGATTTTCAAGATTATTAGGTCGCAATGAATTTAGAGCAATTTCCATTAGCAAATGAAGCAAAGCAGAATATTCTCATAAAAGAGGCATGCGTAGCCAGTATAATCCGTCGCGAAGACAATCAGGAGGCAGCAAACTCGGAGGATAGGAAGATGAGCAGATAGACTAGAATCACGCTGTGATCCACGAAGGACGACCATAGGCAGACCGCTTCAAACCACATAAAGACAGACAGATTAAGAATAATATCATTGTCGGTTGGAAAAAAACATCCATGGTTCCGAAGAACCAGTCACTATCTCTGTTGAGATTCGTAGATCATAGCCGATGTTGAAGCGATCTACTCTTGCGTAAATACGTTTCCGGCAATGAAAACAGATGGAAGCAAGGAAATTATGGGAGACGGAGAGAGACGGGACCTTTAAGTCGACCCTCCATCGTGTCCATAAGATCCGGGACTGTTAATGCGAGTCCGACAGCCTGGAGGTTGTGTTTGAATTCGGCGAATACGAGGCCCGCAACGGCCCCGGTCGAATCCACGACAAATGAGCCAGAGTCACCAAACTCAATAAAGCGATCTTGGATACCTATTATCATGAATTCCTCCGTACGAAGATCTTTGCTGTCGACGGTATTACCATTGATATCGTATCGTGTCGCCCATTTGCAAACAGACAGCACACCGTTGCACACTACACCTGTGACGTCGGTGGTGCGCCCTTGTTTGATATAGTACGTGTCTTCCTGTAACGAGCTAAATTCGTCGAGACGGGTGCCTGCTGCGACTAGAGCCGGAGGTGGACCGGAGGGGCCGCTTCGAGGCATCTGGTTCCTTGGGACTTCGGGCATTCGGTTGGGCCTAAAGAAGCGCTCCTCGGCCTCCGGGGTTAGCTCGACGAAAGCCCAATCAATAACACGTCGGCCATGGACTAAGAGGCCCGACGCAGAATGGACGTCACCTAGGACGTGTGGCATCGCCTGGATGACTGGGCGCGTTGCAATCAGAGTTTTCTCCCAGGTTTCAACGGCTTCAAGCTGTTGTTGGGAGGATGCGCGAGGTGCATCGCTAGTGAGCTGCCGTTGCCGGATGAAGTCTACGACCCGAGCCTTCTGTGTCTCCAGGGCTTGTAGTTGGTCGTCAAGATCGGTCAGGGTATAGTCACGGTCTATCCTGGCTAGAGATTCTATACTGATTGCCCCCTGGAAGGGGATAGGCGAGAGAGGAGATACGCCCTCACGATTGATTGTATCAAGGTTAGCATATGGGGGGGAGGGGCGCATAACAAGGTAGTTGGTCAGGAGGCCACGGTGCGTTTCGCCGTCATATGTAACCGCGACAAAGCCTCCTAAGGTACTAGCGTTATTACCTCCTCGAACGCCGATTGAACATCCCATCTGAATATCCTTAGGACCTTTGACGCGATCTTTAAATGAGACAGGATCACCCTCCCCAAGGAGGCTGAGTTTCCCAGGGAGGAACTCGATGTCTGTAAAAATAGGACGGATGTGTGATGTAAGTCGATGCGTCAGGTGGGCTTGAAGCTGATACCAGTTTGCATTTGTTGAGGGTAGAACACCAACACCAAGGGCTGGCCGCGCGGAACGGGAATCCCTGCCAATGTTGAATGGACAAACCAGTTGCCATTTGGTTCCAAGAGTCTCGTCGAGAAGCCGGACGATCTCATCCTTAAGATGGTGAAACGCAATGGAAAGCTCGGCTGTTGAGTGGATCGGGAACAAAGTAGGGATATAAAAGTGGTCCCCGTTGATCACCTCCACCTAAATCTGTGGAAGGCTATGGTTGTCGAGAAGGGTAGTAAGATTGTCTTTGATGGACCCCAGGGGTACTAGAGCCGAATGATCACTCGCAACAACAACGCGAAGCAGAGGAAAGCTGGCACCGGGGATAGTTGCATTCAACATATGAAAAAGTGACTTCGCTGGCAGACCATACTGGTCGAGGGTGTTGAAGATGCCACGGTGCAAATGTTGTGTAGGATCTTCCTCAGCGGTCATGGTGGTGACGTTAAGGGCTGTCGGATCGGGATTCGGGAAGCTAATGCTTCGAAATGGATCAGTTCGATGGACGTAGTGTTCAATTTCCATATCCCCTTCATTAACCTCCGACTCCTGGAGGAGGCGGCGTCGCTTACGCGGACTTGGAAACGCCTCCGCCATTTTTCTTGCGATCTGGGCAGCGAAAGACGGAGAAAAAGATCTTTAGGAAACGGGTACATTGGTCAGGAAATGAGCCACGTGGCCGCGATAAAAGTATTGCTGGCCACGTACCTGTCTGACTTCAATAATGGTATGTACCCTAGATACCAGCATTTCCTCGACCTGGGTTAGCTCTGGGAGAAACGTCGGGACATCCCCAGGGTCCATGTTATTCCGGGAACCGAATAAGTAGACCCGGTCAGCGGGTTCCTTGATCATAAATATATATACTGAAGAGGGGACCCTGCCACGGGGGACAGGAGCTCCGACAGCCCTGCCTGCGAAACAGGTGTGAGAGCAGAGTCGTCGCTGGGTGTCTGCGTTGCCGAGAGTGCTTTTAGTGATCACATGACCGATTGGTCATCCTGCTCTGGTCGGAAACCCCACTGCAGTACTAAGTAAACAGCGTCACGTGTATAGCCTCGGCACCTTCAGTGTTGACGGTATCGATGGCTAGAAAGTTCTTGGAGCGAGAGAGAGATGAAGAAGGTTAGATTATCTATAATGATCGAGATCTAGCTAGTTAATTAGCCATGTGAAGCCTGATAGCCCAGGCATTAGCATGTGATCGACACGTGACCACCACAACAGAAGTGTTTGGCCCAGTCCGATAGTGAAACGAGGCTTCCGAGTCCTGATTGATTGTATCCGAAAAGGGTGTATGCTGGGAAAACAACCAAAGGAATCCGAGCAGGAGACAACGCCTCTCCCCGGAGATTTCAGAACCACCAAGTCATCTCGAGCAGTATCCTGGGGATGGAATAGGGCTGGGAAACTCGGACTGATGCCCTTTATCCGGCACTAATCAACTGGTCGGGCCATATCCGCATTATGACCCACCTAAATGGGCCTGATGGACCGTTGAGTCAGGAGCCGTCATATAGTTCAAAGCGTCCAATGCATTGCCACTCCAGTTTGGCTCGTCAAAAGTGTCGGTCAAATCACAGATCGGAACGTCATCGTTCACCACATGAGCGGTTTCCGCTAAGCCTTGCGCAACTGGTAGTGAGGAAAGTAATGTTTGCAAAGCTTCAATGGCCTGAAGCCTCCCCGGGCTTGAGTTGCTCGAGAACACTCCATTGTCAAGATGGAGATTCCTTTCGAAATCATGCCCATGCTAGTATCAAGCACTGGGGACCCATCTGGCTTGAACGTGCGATATTTGGGTTGAGAATATATGCAAATCTGGATGACCAGCATGGATGTAAGTTCATTATGCACGGGGGGCCTACCTGTCGAACAATAGGCCAAATAAGTTCTCTTGAGGAAATCTGGACTCTGTCCATGAATTTGGCGTGTGGCATTGGCAACATATTCATCGATGCTCAAGATCATAAGCAATGTCAATGTACAACATACTCAGTAGCGGAGTAATCAATGGCACCGTGACCACTTGGATCATCTTCATCAATCCCGTATATCTGTGATGAGTTGGTTTCGCACACGGGACAGAATGCTGCCCATTTCTGGATACCCACAGCAATTGTGCCCTAAGCGACACAGCATCAGCTTCCAGATAATACCATTCTAGAGGGCTAAGCGTTCTGGTTCGTCAGGGTTGTGGGCGATCAGCGGGTTTAATCTCGCGGGGTTGAATCAACAGTCGGAGATCCGAAGGAGTAACCCGGTCGATGCAACCTCAGAAGACGTTTCGTCAGGCTTCTTCAGACGAAAACCGTCGGAGTCTGCTTTAGCGCTCTAATGCGTGGTGCATTTCTGTCTAGTCATTGGAGAAAAGGGAGAAAAGCCCACAATTCGACTTGCCCCGCTCGGTGATCGTCGCCTACTTCGACTAGCACTACTGTGCTTCATATTATTTTCACCGTGATGATAGGTGTAGCGGCGACATCCGAGAACAAATCAGCGTCTTCTTATCGGTACATGTGCTAAATTGACTATGTGCCTGACGATGTTTATGCCAAGTATGGTCCCTGGACTGAAGCATAAAAACCGTCCGATGACCCTCCTACATCTCTTCAGTCAGCTCAGCAATTCACTCTCAATTCAATCTTGACAAAATGTTCCAATCTCAATCCGCAAAGGGCATGTTCGCCCTAGCAGCTATGAGCCTGATCAGCGGCACAACCGCCAGCCTCGAAACCTGTGCCAGCAGCACCGCCTTCAGCTGCGCGAGCTCCTCCACATCGCCAACATGCTGCTTCAACTACCCAGGCGGTGCCCTCCTCCAGACTCAATTCTGGGATACTAGCCCATCAACCGGTCCCTCCAACTCATGGACCATCCACGGACTGTGGTACGTAGATACCGTTATGAATACCTGAAATCATAAACTAACCCCTCCCCATCCAGGCCTGACAACTGTGACGGCACATACCAGGCCAGCTGCGACTCCAAACGTGCTTATACAAACATCACAGCGATCCTGCAAGACCAGGATCTCGGTGACCTGGTCGACTACATGGACGACTACTGGGTTGATATCAACGGGGCCAACGAGGACTTTTGGTCGCATGAGTGGAGCAAGCACGGTACTTGCATCAATACAATTGAACCGAGCTGCTACTCCGGCTACAAGGCGCAGGAAGAAGTGGGTGATTTCTTCCAGAGAACGGTCGATCTGTTCAAGACCTTGGATACGTACAAGGTATGTCCCCTCTCTGCCTTTCATTATATATGCTGTTCGTTTCTGACTGTGTGCCAGGCTCTCTCTGCTGCTGGCATTACCCCGAGTACATCCAAGACCTACACTCTCAGCGCCATCCAGAAGGCTCTTACTACCCTGCATGGTGCGTCGGTTTACCTTGGCTGCTCCAGTGGCAAGTTGAACGAGGTTTGGTATTTCTATAATGTCAAGGGCAATGCTATTGACGGAACATACAAGGCTGTCGATACGCGTAAGTTTTATCATTTGCTTCTTGGTTGGTGCTTTACTGACGTCTTGGTCATTCTAGTCACTACTTCTAGCTGCCCAACGACTGGCATCAAGTATGTGCCCAAGTAATTAAGGAACAGGGCTTGATGTGTTCTGTTGGTGATTGTCCTTGCTGAGTTGCACACTGAAAGTGTTGCTAAATGGTATCTCTGGATTATTGCTATACATGTTGATATAGATTCGAATTCTCGTTAGTCTCATATGATGATCGTTTTGCTTGACGATAAAGTCTCACTGGGTATAGATGTAGACCGGTGCTTATACGGCATTGACCACGTGGTCACACTCAGGCGCGAAGCTTTGAGGCAAGAATGTCGTAAATGCATCCTGGCCCTGTAGTGGACATAAAGCACACCGTAGTATTGGGAATCGGCGAGGTGGCGGGAGGTCGAGAGGTCGCCCTTTCAATCGGAGTCGAGTGAGCCATTGCTCAAAGTAGAGGTACCCGCCGAGTTTTATCATCGCAACGAAACATAGCTTGCACAAGTCTTGCAGAGATTTCTGCAATAACACAACTATGTATGAAGCCATACACTTGTTGCAGCACGCGACAGGAGGAAGAGTGTGTTTGAAGCCAGAAGGGGTTTGGGCAGAGAGCGCACGAGTGGTGTTTTCATATACCCTTGAGCCGTGCAGCCCGCCGTTCGTCTTCCCTCTTGTCTTCCACGCGACCCAAGAAATCCATGCGACCAATATAACCTTCCTTAGCTTTGCTATGTGTGCGCAGCTCGTCTTTGATACCGGCCGAGTCGACGTACGAGGCCCAGTCGAGTCTTGACTTCTCCACGGTGTTGATCTTGGGTCCGCGCGCATCTTTGTCATCGGTAACGAGTTGCTTTTCCCAGCTTTTCTTAATCGTGCCGGTCGGATTGGGGTCAAATCGCGATATCTTGCGAAGCGGTCGCCGAAGGTTACGAGCGGCATTTGCGGCTGCAGCATCCTCGTCGGTATATTCGACATTCTCCCCACTGGACAAAAACGCTTTAGCCTCCGCCGAGTGTTTGGGCACGACTTTCTCCTCGGTGATCCATTCGCCGGCAAATTTGTAGGTGCGCTTGATCTTGATCATCTGGTCGGCGTGCACGGTATGGCCTATTTTGTGCTCCGCATCTTCGGCACCCTGGTCCTGTCCTTTGGTTTCGCCTGTTGGTTCAGGTTCTTGGTCGGATTCGGATATCTGCTGGGTCTGGGGTGGCTGCAAGCCGGTGTGGGTCTGGGGGGCATTCATCTGCTCCCATAGAGCGTCCACGTCCACGGTCGCGCCGTCGATCCTGGCCAGCGGTTTGCGCTGTTCCTCCTGTCTGCTCGTAGAACGCGTATTAGAACCCAATATTAAGTCAAGCAGCATTGATAATAACTTAGGACTTACATGTGTTGTTTCATTGCGCGTGTCCGCACGAATCCCCCGGTTCCTCCTTCATTGTCGTCCAAGTCAATGTCGCCATCGTCTTCGTCGCTATCGCGCGCGTGTTTTCCCTTGGCCTTCTTCCCCTTGGCCTTCTTATCTTTCTTCTCCCTTGCTTTTCTAATTGTAGCCTCATCTCCAGAGTCGAGTTCTGCATCCTTGGGGATCTGAGATTGGGTGTCTGTCTTTCGCTTCTTCTTTACTGGTTCTGCGGCTTCATCGGGGTCGGAAGATAAGTCGGAGTCGTCCGGTGCCGCGTCTAAGTGGAAGTCTTCATCCTCGGCGGAGTCATAGTCCTCCTCATCAAGATCCAGATTTTCTGGCAAAGTAGCATTTGCCATTGTCAATCTTTTCTGCTTGACTGGGCTTATCGAGAGGTGATCCAGATCTTTAGGACAAGGCGCAACAAGGTAGAAGGATGAATTTCTGCCGTAGGCGGTGTCGCAGCTATGTATGTCATCTCCGTTGACTCCATTGACAATAAGTATGTACATCTTCTATGCACATCCATGAACATCTAGACAGACCTCTAGCTTTCAGAGGCACCTGTCACCATCATTTATTTTTACAACCAAAGCTCTATAGCAGTCGGGAAAAGCATAAGCCCCTCCACAGTAATGGCAGTCCCAATGTCGAAACATTGAATGCATACAGGCCTACACATGTGGATGTATAAATGAGTTAAAAGACTTGGTAATTGATTCAATGGTTCATGATCAGTAGAAGAGATAACAATTCACGTTCTGATAGAAGAACAGCGAAGAAGAAAAGCCTCCCCAAAACGGACTGCAAGAGTGCAAGGAACAGACCGTCCGACGGGCTATTCCTCTTGGGCCAAAGCCAGAAACAGATTCATCTTGTCATCCAGATTCAGCCGCAAAGGGCCATCGTACTGAGATCGCACGGATTTAAGGTGCATTGGGGTCTATAATACATATGATGGTTAGTATTATCCTAGTATCGTGATCGGAAGGCATGATGAGAAAGTAGGAATGGAGGGATGGCCATCAATAAACAACTGTTCTTACCTTCGATCTCCTCCAGACCAGTCTGGGGTGCGGCCCACCAATTGGATTCAGCATTAACAACAGGCTCGGGGACCACTTCACGGGCCACGAGGTTCTGCTGGTTGGCATCGCCCGCTGCAGTGCCGTGGACAGCGTGACCACGGTGAACACCACGGTGAGCAGCACGGTTAGCAGCACGGTAAGTACCACGGTGAGCACCACGGTGAGCAACACGGTAGGTATCACGGTAGGTATCACGGTAAGTACCACGGCTACGGCCACGGCCACTGCCACCACGATCATAACGGCTGCCTCGCACACGGAGAGGGCCACCTTGGCCTCGAACCCGGGCCAACTGTTCTCCACGGGCCGCCTGATCTCCATTGGCGGCGCCATGGAGGGCACCGAACTCATGCTGTATAGGTCATGCACGTCAGCCATCATGCACTGCTACCATCCCAAAGAAGAATTGTGTGTATGAGAAATGGGGGAATGGGGTGAATCTTACAACCATCTGGGCTTGAACTGCCAGCAGGGTGAGCTCGGTAACACGGGCGTCACGAGCAGCCGAGGGCCGCATACCTTCCTGCTATAAGTGATATTAGCTCAGAACCTCGAAGCTCGGGCTGAATGGCAATTGGGGTCATATCGTACATCAACTTGGCGTTGAATGGCCTGCGACATTAGCTCCATGATGCGGTTGGCAAGGAAAGTAGGGGCAGTGGGAGCAATAGGCTATGAATAATCTCAGTATTGCTCTACAAAGGTTCCAGTAGTCAATGGAGCGTTCAATCGGCTTACATTGCGCCGGGAGCGCCAGTCATCCTGCCGACGGCGCTGGGCGGTGCTGCCGCCAGGGCCGGCAGGGCCGGTAGGAGGGACAGCCTGCTCCTTCATTGTCACACAAAGACAGCAGAGACAAAGGAATAAAGAAAGAGATGAGTCTGCTCGCTGTGTTTATTCACAGCGGATGAAAAGGTGTGTTGTGAAGAGAAAGGGAAGTTCAGCGTTTACGTTTACGTGGAGCTGGACGTGGACGGTGTTTTCACGACAATACGTGCTCATATTTACGTTTTATGACCAAGATATTGCTCGGCGTCTTTGCTCGGCGTCTTTTTTGATTGAAACCTGGAGCTCCCCTCTAGCTTGCGGCTAATGAATGACTTACTAGTTTCCTGCCAGACAAAATCCCTAATCGGCATGATGGACAACAAAGAGTGTTGAATCGGTGCCTTCTGACTCTATCTAGGGTTAGTTGATTCCGGCTTTGAACACATACTCTCTATGGCTAGGTATATTCTGGCCAAAAGCATTGAGGGATGTTGGTGGCGAAGCCGTCGGGAGAAAGACCATGCTTTGATTTCCTATGGAAGATAAAGGTCTATCTGACCAGAAGAAAGACCTAGAAGCAAATAAGAAAGGCAGCCATGCCTCTAGCAGCAGCTATTGTCACTAATAGCTAGAGTATACAACGAGAACAAGGATTGTGAAGTCTCTTTGGTGATGGATGGGGTTTGAAAGATGGCAAGTATGAGGACTCCTGGCTTTTTATCTTCCTCTATGAGCATACTGCTTGTGGATATGATGACCTCGGCAACTCTGCTAGTATGCATGGAGTATGGATGGATATATGGTGGAGTCGGCCTATAAGCAGCCGCGTTGCTTGTAGTAATGGTAACTGCACATTTCCGTTGATTTCATATAATCAATTATATATGTACTTAACGAAGATAGACCAAGCACTCCTATGGCCTTCAAGGCGAAATGAGACATGGCTGGGTTGTTGTACGTACGACGACTCGGGCTTTTTTAGTCTGAGGTCATTATGTTGATCTAGCTTCAGCAGGTACGATTTATATCGACCTTGTGATATAAAAAGGCGCGAAGTAGTTGGATTTCTATTATCTTTCTGCTATGGTAGACTACATACAGGGATGTCTTTGACAGATATCATGGCGTATCTTCTAAGTATAGAAACGGAGAAGATATCGACGAGGGATATTTGGGGAACTTATTTGCATAATGTGATTGTACTGAACATTTAAAGGTTCCTAATGCGGCTCTGGCCATTCATCATTGGCCAACGCAAGCAGAGGATTCGACTCGGGAATGTAACCCAGATCTCTGGAATGCGACATCCGAGGAAGTTATGATGCCGGGGAAGAACATCATATTATCACCTCCCATGGTACCTCGCAAACTTTTCTGGATCAGAAAACCGCTTTAGGCGAAATTGTCCTCTTCTGGTTCGATCTTTTATCTTCAACCAAACTTGTTGTCTAGATGTTATACCAATCCGGCACACGCAAAGAGCCAACCTTTCTGGCTTGACTTAGTCACTGTTCCTCTTTAATCTTCGTAGCTTTCTTGATCATAATTGCGCAGAAAATATGGTGCCTGGTTAAGAATGTGGGCCCTGGTATACTTTTCCACGTGCGAGCTTTGTACAGGCTCGTGTCAGCGTGCCGGGAATAGACACGGCCTTGAGAGAGCATTTAATGGTTCCATTGCCTTGAAGATGGATGTAACGTTCAAAATCCTGGTTTCCACGCGCCCAATATAAGGTCTTAAGTGAATCTGCTTGAACTTGAACTTGAAATTTAAGTTTCAACCTCTGATCTATACCTACCAGGGTGCATATTATTCAATATAAATTTGTTCAATATCCCAATGCATTCTTTTACTACTCATCTCTCCCTTCTATTTGCTGCATCGGCTACCCTTATCGCCGCTCAAGATGCCACATCCCAAAGCACAAGCGGCAACTCGAACTGTGCTTCTCAAAAGTAAGCTCATAAGCCTATGAAATTCTGTTGAGATTCCTTTCTCATAATCAACAGAGTTGTAGATTCATGCGTTGCGATAATGAAACGTGGACTCGCAAAGTGTGCCTCGAATGATTGGGACTGCAAGTGCTCGGGGGCTGCAAACATTGCCAAGTAAGTAGGCCACCTACTTGACTCTCGTAATTCCTCAATGAGATGTCTATACACTCAACACCGCAGTACTGATATAATCGAGCAGCTGTTACGTAGATTGCTCCGATGATGACCCGGATTCGTTCGCGGCCAAACAACTGAGTGTAAATGATTGCGCTACCGCAAATGCATACGACCAAGGAGAGACTACCGTCGCACCCTCGTGGACTCTTCCTGGATCAAATGCGGCACAGCCAACCGACACAGATGCTACTTTGACCACTAGTAGCAGCTCGTCTACTACTGCCGGACCGACTAAAACCTTTGCGAATGAGAAGTCGACGAGTCCATCAGAGGGAGCTGCGGTTGTGAATGATGCTGGTAGTTGGATGGCTCTTGTGGTTCTAGGGCTAGGGGCTGCATTTTGAGACTGGGGTGTCAGAAGGAAGTGATTACCGAGTTTACGTGATTATTAGACCTAATTAGATATACTTGTAGGATTGCATTGACATTGGAATATTCATTCTGCGATATAAATAATGGAGATGGCATATGTGGAGCAAACAACCTCCTTGAGACTTAGACTAGATACATATTCGCCCTACACCTTGGTTGCAAGACTAACCCTTCTCACAAAATAACAGAAGCCACAGAAGTACCAGACCAGTGAATTCTCACCTTTCATTAATCAATGCCCAGCATAGATAACCATGAGTACATCCCTTCCTTTCAACAGAGTAACCATTATAAATCAACGAAGCAATGTCACGCTTACACAGCGCTTATATCCTCCCGGAGTCATTCTCTCATCAATTGCGATACACCTGCTTAGTAGCAATCTCCAACTTCTCGAGTTGGAACTGCTCTGCCCGATGACGAGAGATATCCCGTTGGAACCACGTACCAACAGCAGCAACGAGGCCCATCAGCACCTCCATTCCAACAAGTACGCACAGCAGCACAAAGCCAGCACGAGTATTGATACAGTCACGATCGAAGTGGCGGGGTGTATTAATGCTGCTCGTCCCGTTTTTCCACTTGCAGGTCCAGCTGTGGAGGGTTTCCTTCTTGTTGAACCCTGCTGGGTAATCGGAGGACGGCGGGTATATTATGAACAGTATGCCGGCCAGGGCAGTTACAAAACCTGCAACGGCTGAAGCTGAGGCATAGTTGTTAAGTGACTTGATACCAGAATGCGGCTGGATGAGAGTTAGTATATGGAATCAAACACAGTGCAGTGGAAGGGTGTAAAACTCACAGATGGTAGGAGGGTAAGGGCGATGTACACCAAGTTCAAGATGGTGATTATACAGCCACATGAAATGGCGGCGGTTGTTGGACGAAGATCAAAGTTCAAAGGCCACAGTGCGAGGCCGGCACTCGCCCACTGGGAGGTGTTCTTATAATGTCGCAAGGGTGGGGCTTCGCACGCGACGACGGCAATAGCAACGCCGAAGATTGAAAAGGATAGACCAAGTCGTGCAAAGTAAAGGACACGATTGCGTTTGAGGAATTTTGATTCCTCCATGTATGAAGAATGAGCACCGCCTGATCCGTCTAGGGACGAGTTTGAGATCATGATGAGAGTGTCGTTGGGTTTCGTGAGATGATAAAGAGGGGTCGAAGGAGAGGAAGTGTGTGTAACTGTCAATGATTACCTTGCTGGCAAGGATCCTTCTGGTAATTGATATGAAAGAACGAAGAAACCCTCGGGACAATGATGGAAAAGTGGAAAAAGCAAAGGTAGGTACTATTTTCAAACAACTGTCTCAGATTATTGACGGATACCAGGCGGGATATGTATATTCGTGGAAAATAGCCTAAACTTGATCCAGGGACTATCTTAGCGAGCGCTATTGCTGTCACAAGAGAGTAACCACCGAATGAGGGCTTATCCCAAAGATCTTCAGCCCGATTACTGCATAGCGCCATGTAGGGCGCCTCGATGGTAATAGACCGCGCTGATTCGCCTTAGGCTCTAGGTTGAATTTGCAGGACTGTCTAGAATTTTAAACATTGGCCTTGCAACTGGACCTGTACATCCCCGGAGTATAATTGCCTGAGCGCCAGGGTGCAGACTCGGCGACTTGGCAGACACATCGGGGGACAAGCAACCAACAAAGCGCCTAGTAGACCTAAATATAGAGTCTGAGCGGGGTTTTCTTGTGATTTTTAGTTGAAGAACCGATCTCATTTGTCTTTTGGAAAATCTAATTTCTCCCAAGGATGGTCATCGTGGCCTGTGATAGGTGACGGCGAAGCGCCGAGAATTGTGCCTGGGGGCCACCAGCGGCAACGGTGATTCAGGAACACACCCTTGCCTTGTTGATTCGAGGAATTCTCGTATTCCTTGAACGGATCTAGGCCTTGGTCTTTGAATATCAATGTTTCCCTGTTTCTTCCTGAGTACACTCCGGACGTGCCACGGTGAGTAGTCCGTGCGGAGAGGATGCGCAGGTAAGACTGGAATATTCTTTCAAATTAGTTCGGCATGTTATGGTCACACATTGCCTCTGACTCTTCGGTGTATTTTCAAGCTTAGAATCAGCTGAGAAATCAAGAAATAAAGAAACAAGAATCCAAGAATCCAAGAATCTGGAGAATGGCCAAATAGGGCCACCGCCATCGGCAGAATTTTTTCAGAAATGGCGGGGCAAAAGCGCAGATCGACTTTTTCTTGAACATATCAGGGATATAACCTTTGCCATTGGAGCTTGAGCTTGATCTTGATTGGAATTTATCATGTCTCTCTCCAAGCTGCAGGGAGTAAAGCTCCCCGCCTCGGCCGACTTCCATGGTACTAAGAAATTCTGGGCATTAATAGATGCAAGCTGACCAAAGATAGTCCATCTTCGTGATGGTCCAATGATGGAGTTGGTGACTCCTACTATCCGACAGGGAGGTGTGAACACCGTTTTTGTTATGGTAAGGGGGTTTCTTTATTGGGAAACAAATCCTAGCTTTTGAGTTATATCTAATACACTCGATAGCCCAACCTTGTGCCACCTATCACGACCGTCGACCGTGCTCTGGACTACCAGAAGCGCCTCCAAGCCATCGAGCCGAATGTTAACTTCCTTATGTCGTTGTACCTCCACGAGACCGTGACCTCGGAGACTATCGTTGAAGCTAAGAAGCGCGGCATCGTCGGTGTCAAGAGTTACCCGGCAGGTGTGACAACCAATTCCTCTGCGGGCGTGGTCGACTACACGCAATTCTATCCTGTTTTCGAGGAGATGGAGCGACAAAACATGATTCTGAACCTGCACGGAGAAAGCCCCTCCGGAGGCGATGTGACGGTCTTGTCCGCGGAAGAGCGTTTCCTCCCCAAGCTCTTTGAGCTGCACTCCAAGTTCCCTAAACTGCGCATCGTTTTGGAGCACTGTACCACTGCTGCAGCTGTGGAGGCCGTGAAGATGTGCGGTCCCACCGTTTCTGGTACCATCACAGCCCATCACCTATCCATTATCATCGACTCGTGGGCCGGTGACCCATTCTGCTTCTGCAAGCCCGTTGCTAAGACCCCAGCCGACCGCGATGCCCTTCTCCGTGCTGCTGTCTCAGGAAATCCCAAGTTTTTCTTTGGCTCCGACAGCGCCCCGCACCCGGCGGCATCCAAGCGTGGTGGCGAGAAGATCGCTGCTGGAGTCTTCACCCAACCATACACCACTCAGGTTGTGATTGATGCGTTTGAGCAGGCCTGCGATAACGGAGTCCTCAGGGAGGATGAGATCACGCCAGAAATTGTCGAGGGTTTCATGAGCAAGTTCGGACGGTCCTTCTATGGCCTCCCGGAGGAGCAGAAGGAATTCATCACTATCGAGAAGAAGGGCGAGAAGATCTTGGAGATCCTCCAGTCAGACAAGACTGACGTAGTCCCCTTTAGAAAGACCCAGGAAACATGGAGCATCACCTGGTCTTAATAAGGCGACCTGTACATATTCAATAATAGAATCGTAGAACAAAACATTCTTCACACGCACATTCTCTTACACAGATTTGTCTTGCGTAAGCATGTTTGCCACGCTTTCAAGGGCGTGGGCCTCTCTGATGTCGATTCTGCGACCTGCGACCACTGGATTTCCATCATCACCCACAGCAAGCTGACCAGCTCGCTCGAGATGGAGTCGAATTCTGCTCTCGATATATTCCTTTCTCTCATCTCTCTTAGACTTGGCTTCAATTTGTACCGTTGCATTGGGCAGGGCTGCCAATTTCGGTCGGAGCTGTTCAAGTGTCGTCTGCAACGCGGGCAGCTGCGAGAGAATGAAAGTAGTGTTGGTTGTAAGAGGTGTGGGTTTAGCATTCGACCCAGCATCGACACCAACACGAAGCTGGCGTGCAGCTGGGCTAGAGGTCAAGAAGGACAGATCCACTGGTATGTCTTCCGCTGTCTTGGACACACCATCTACCTTCGCTGTTTCAACTGTCGACAAGATAGATTGTAGCTGTGATATGACCGCATCATTTCGAGCGCGTTCTTCTTTTAGCGACCGGTTTAGTTTCTTTGTCTCGAACAACTTCTTGCGTTGCGCATGTATGGTTTCTGGCGTCGGTGTGTCTGGCGAAGATACGAAAGAGAGACCCTAGCACAAGGCGCATTAGTATATCCCTTATTACAAAACAGCAAGCAGGTTCAGGTCTAGACAACTGTGAAAGCCTCCACATACCTCGTAGTGCTTCAACCGCACCCAAGAGAGCAAGTCTCCGGGCACCGTGAGAATGTTACGCAGCACATAGATCTCAAATTTGTCGAAGGCCTTATCAACATTGGTCTCCAGCAGCGTCTCTAGCTGATGCAATCCATTCTCGATCTCTAGCTTCGCCTCGGGATAAACCACATTGCCATCCTCGTCTGTTTCCGCGATGCTGGGGCCACTGCTGTCATGGGAGAAACCGAGCCGTTCAGGTGGCGTATTGAGGAGGCCGGACTCCAAGCTAGATATCGCCTGGTAAATCAGATTGTTGATCGAGTTGATAATGTCATCTATAAGAGACTAGGGAGCTGTCAGCGATATTCCTAGTTGCAAGGGGTGGGTCCGGAGTCGCAACTCGTAGGTCGCGCATGCAGCACGAGTCCATGCGTATCAGTCTCGATAGGCTTACCAAGGGTGTGTAACTAAAGTGCTCAGTGAGCAAGGAGGTCGTTGCATCATCCATCGCGAAAAGATTGGTCTTCTCGGGCTGGGCTTGACGCGTTGAAGAAACAAAACACGCGCGGGGGAAAATCCACTAGCCACCGCCTTCTGTCCACTATCAACTATAACATTCTCGGCGACATCCAGCTTGCGTTCAAATTATAATGGACCTTTTTGTCTTATCTCTGACTTTTGTTTTACCATCTCCGATGCGTACTTCGGGCTTGCTACGTTGTACATAATTTGATGTCGGACTGACCCGAGTCCCATCCCGACCTCTCAACCCAGTCACCAGGTACCCGACAGCGTTGATATCCAGCTGAAGCAAGACCCTGGTCCTTAACTGTCAGCATGTTTGTACTCAGTGGCAGATGACCATCCCCTGGCAAATGTTCTAGTTTGAACGACCAGATCCACCGTCGGGCCATTGGAAGGTTATCATCTAGTCCAGGTGAGACGCCGACTTTGCCCCCCATATGCCTCATGGATGTAGGAAGTTTTTTTTTTTTTTTTTACTTTAACTCTGCTCGAGGACCCTGTAAAACCTGGTATGTAGCAGTGCACCCTCACGGGAGGAACACAAACAGAAAAGGCGTAGAGACGATCCAAACATTCCGTCTCGTCTATCTTGGTAAGGACCCATCCAGGCAACCCTTCAAAGGGACTACTCCTCACATCTTCAGCTCACCATGTCCCAGGGAAACCCCCTCCGAGTCCTGGTCATAGTCTCGCACCGGAGTTCTCAGATATCCAAAGCCCAAAACAACCCAGAGGCCCTCCTGCCAAAAGCCGTCCGCCTCCTCAAAGAAAGCCATATCTACATCCCACAAGAAGTTCACCCAACAACAAAGCTAGTGGCAGCTCAGAAGTGGCGAACGCGGGTATTCTTCGTCTTCGACATCTGCCACACAGCATACGACGCCAAGCTCGGCCATCTACCCGAGCAGAACAAGCTCCCCGTTGCTGTTGTTCATCTCAGCAAAAAGAACACGGCCTATGTGGCGAATGCCTGGTTGTCAAAGAGGGTTAACAGAGATATTGCACTGTTTCACAATGCCAATGGCTTCGGGGCAGTGCCGCCTTTTGTTGAGGATCACACCGTTGGAAAGCCACCTGAGTATACGAACCCGAGGGATATTTCACTCTTGCGGGCCTCTTGCGTGTGAAGAAGTTTGATTCGAAATGTGGCGTGTATTCTGCTGATGCTGTGGTATCTTGAACAATAAATAATACGCCCTAATTAATGATGGATTTCACCTAACGCCATGACCCTTGGTAGTAGAAACGCAGAGGCTAGAAATCCATCGTAAGCTGCGGCGCCATTTTCTCCAGATCTTCAACCTAGAATATCAATCAGCATACCAATGTTAGCCAATTGGGGGATTAAAAAACGAAGACTTACCTCGAGGAAGCCGTCCCCAAGACCCCTGCCCCCGGTATTTCCATCTGACTCGGCCCTCTCATAAGCAGCTCGGGCAATGGCTTCTCTCACAAAGACATCAATATACTTAGCGACAACGCTATTGGCATCTTTCGCGACCTTGGTCTTCTCATTCTGGAAATTCTGATGCAGTAGGCGTGTGAGCAGCTTCGAAGGTATTTTTGGGTCGCTGGACGTCACGTCCTCTGCTTGGTTCCCAGTTGTGATTTCAGCAAGGATATAGTCGGGCTCCTGGGAGAGCGAGCGCGAACGACTGCGGCCCGATCCATTGGAGTCGTACTCTGATTCGGATTCGGAGGCGGCGTTGGCATTGGTATTGGCTGCCGGAGAATCGGGCCGGGGGCGTTTCCCAATACTTGCGGATTTGCTTTTTGTTGTTTTGGGCACGGTAGTAGACGTGGAGGCTTTTGTGGTTTGTTTCGCTTTTCCTTTGGGCTTTGGCGCGGAGCTGGTCGTACGACTGGGAGGTTTGAAGGGGAGGCGTGGGCGCTTTTTAGCTGGTTGGGGTTCGCCGGACATATTGGTATCCTAGAGAGTCACAAAAGGTATGCGATAGGTAATACGGTGGGAATTGCAAGTATATGGTGAGGGTAAAGGTTGGGGAAATCGAGAGACACCTCAACGCGGGCGGGCGCGATCTACAGTACGCGCTGTCAGGTGATGAGGGGAGGCCCTACAACATACTTTGCTAGTGGCGACAGGCTTGATTCTCCTGTTTCTTTTGGGCTAGTTTTTTTGTTCTTCTCGTGTATCAAAGTTATCTGCATGTGCTCGCTCCATGGTAACTAGCTTCAATTATCATCAGAAAATGAGAATGAGTTAACCCTCGCTCCTCCACAACATACCACCAGGTAGAAACCCACCAGCCAAAATCCTTGCTGATGGGGAGGAAACAGATCCTTTGATTCTCTCAGTCCTGGTAACTGTCGCTGGGACGCTCCATGCGAACGGGGCGAGCGCGGCGGTTGCTGGACTCAAAGGGGTGGTATACATTGATGTTCAGACCGACCGTGTTGATCAATTTAAGAATGCGGTTCCAGGGAACGCGGAACAAGCCAGTGCAGAAACGGCTGGAGTAGAGACTCAGAGGTCGCTCACTACTGGTCTCCGGAGCCTGTCGGGAAAGCACTTGTAGCTGTTCACTCAGGTCTTGTAGGGCAGCAAAAGTGTTATTGACAATCATATCCTCCGAATCCACGTGGCTGCCATATTTCTGCGAGGTAAAAAGACAGATTATCCAATGGCGCCGGCGGTGTAGGAGGATGTCACTTTGCTGGGGTGGGATGATGAGCGCGGTGCCGAGGGGACGGTCGACAACGAGAGAGGGCTGCGGGTCCTCATCGCGTAGGTCGGTGATGATGTTGGTAACTGGGTGGCCTTTGTAAATGAGGCAATGGTTGCGGTAGATATCATAGGCGGCAGGATACTATAAAACATCGCCTTGTTAGCTCTAGGCTATGGTGTCAAGTGGGTGATTGAATGATTGACGAACCCGATCACGAAATGCACGGGCAATTCCTGCGCCCCAGACACCCTGGCAGTTGCACGCATCTGAATTGACTAGGTTAGTGAGGCTCTAATTGAAATAAAGAGTCCCTAATAAGGGGTTCCCACGGATCAGAGCAGCGCCGTTGGGAGCGTCGAAGAGGTTTCCGGGGGTCTCCTGGACAAAGTTGACGACAGCAGGCAAAGACGAGGTCATCAATATCAGCGATTCATCACTATCAGTGCGTTCAATCGCTGCAGCTTGGTTTTCATCTGAGTCAGACATGATATCGCGTTGTGTGATATTGTGTTGTGTGATGTTGTGTTGTGGATGAGAAAGTAAATAAGGAAACTGGAATTCTCCTATGCTCCCTATGAGGGGTTAAAGAAGTAAGGACAGTACAAGGGGAAATATCATAAGAGAGAAATAGGTGCATGTATGATCGTCTAAACTACCACCGTCTCACGTGAAGCTCGCAAGGCAACGTATCTCTAACAACTTGACAAAAGATATGATATATAGAAACCTTAGAATTCAGGAAGCAAAAGCAAAACATATTACATTGACAAGAGGTCAATTCACTCAATTTCGTGCTAAGAGTTGGCCAAGGATGCAAGGTATAATCATATGGACTGAATTGTCTGACACAGCGAATCCATATGCCGAAACCCTGTTAAGAAGATACCCCAATGCAATCAACTACATTACCCACTGCAATGTACTTTGCGATTCTCAAACAGCAGTCAATCCTTCTTTCCCTTTGTATCTGTGAATGGTTTCATTGTAGTCAGCTCGCCCAACTCGCCCAAGCGACGGTTAACAAAACTCTTCAAGCTCTCTCTCTTCTTTAAGGCTCGTTCAGGTTTCTCGTCTTTGGATGAGACCTGCTGGGTCCGTTCCCCATTTGGTGATTGTATTGGCTTTTTGTCGTCTGCTTGGTTTGGCCTCAGCGGAGGGGCCTGATCTGAAGCAAAAGCCATAGGAGAAGTTGAAGTAGGGGTTGCGACGTCAGGACTCAGAACTGAAGTGAGGGAAATCGGAATACTGTTTCCACTGCTCGATTTCATGCGACGACTCATGGATCGCGAGAGAGACTTGAAGATCGAAGAGTTATTGCTGGAATTAATTCGTTCGAGGCGGTCGATCTCACTCCTGGCGGTCGTCCCATTTGTTGCAATATTGTCTTCACTCGCGGGCATATAGATCACCACTCCTTTGTCAGGCGCAATTCCAAACATTTCCTGGATGATTGATTGGATTAGGCCCGTGTTACGGAGGTTGGTGAGGGGTCCGATCAAACTCGAGAGAGCAGTAACCTTCAAGAGATATGCAGAACCGGAGGTAGTTCCAAAAAGCAAGTCAGCGTTCTGGTCAATGGTGACTAGCATTGATGTCTCCGGGCGCTGGTAGACCTGAGCAAGGGAGTGGGCGAAATCCGACAGTAACTTGGATATATTATCCTTTGGCTAGTTGGTGAGTTAGCATAGAGGAATCACCGAGCGAATATCAGCACGTTACAAACCTTGGTGTTGGTCTTGAGCTCAACGACAACCACCGATTCATGGGTCACACGGTCCTTGGGGGAGTTGTGCGATCCACGAGCCGTAAATGCATCTTCGTAGTACAATTTCTTCATCTTTGTTACCGGCGAATCGTCCACACTTTTCTGGGGAAGATAGACAGGCATGCTCTCTGACGCAAAACGCGTGACGGGCACGATATTCTCCTCATCGTGCTTGTCCTCCTTGAAAAGTGATGAGGTTCTTGCCGGCCTCTCTGGCATGATGATCGGGGGTACACTGGCATCCGGAAGGGTCTTGGGTAGCAAAGTATTGCATGATGCATTGGTTGGTTTCTGTAGTAGGGGAATGTTGGTGGTCAAGCGAGGTAAAGACGGCTTCTTCTTAGAAGAGCCCATTGTGTCATTCAGTATGAGGTGATGAATGTTGGAGATATTCTAAAATGACAGAGACAACGGATGACAGAGGTCAACCTTCCAAGGTTCCAAGGTAGGAAGGGACAGGAAAAACAGAAGGTGCGACGGAAAATCCACTTCAGGCCTTTAGACAAGAAAGGCCAATTCGCTGAACGCCGAGTTTCCACTCAAAAAGATCTTGTCAATACGTCTCCTTCGATCCCAAACAATGTCCCCATTGACGTGTCGGATATATAACACCCGATGCTGTGGAATGAATTCTTCATCGGTGGTCTCCTTCTTCCAACTGCCCATGGTGACTTCCAATTGTCCTTCAAATCGGTCCACGAATCCGATGACATAGTTGCTGCGTTCAAACGCCGAATCCCAGGTAATGCGATTTATGATGTCTGTAAGCAGTCCGATTAGCAGGGTTGGCGATATATACAAGTTTCAAACTACCTACCTCCAGCCGGGCGTAGTCTGTTTTCGCCAGCCTTAGGGTTATATTCAGGCGAAACACTTCGCTGATCCCGCTTTTGTGGCGAGCTTGTTGACACTGCTGGGAATGAGGATGTCTCTTGCCCATTAATCATATTGGCATCTGTATCGCTCTGATTATTCGAAGCCATGATTTTCAATGATTCAAGAATTCTGATCGTCGAGTTGGTTCTTAATTTGGTTTTCAAGTTGAGTTTAATTATTTAACCTGGAAACCGATGTGAATTATATATATCACCCCAAGGGCATAAGGCCAAACACTTTTATTTTTATCTAGATGTCACCTTGGCGAGTCGCGACTCAGCCCTGTACGGCTGGAGATGTAATCCTAGGATGATTCACGTTCAGTCATACCTGTAGGTAAAGTACGCAGGAAGTGGTAATGTCTAACTCCTAGTGATAGGCCAAATCAGCCCTAGAGGATGCTAATGACTCAGAATACGATCGTGGCTTGGTATCCATTAGGAGGCTGTGTGACTCATGGATTCCACCCGCGCTGGAACAGCCACCAATGACATTCTTGTTCCTTGAGAAAGGCCAGATACAAAAATAAGTGACTAGCACGATGCTAATACTATATACAATAAGGAAAGAAAAAAATAAAAATAAAAAACAAACTCCGATAGGGGGAATCGAACCCCCGGCTGCCGTGTGAGAGACGGCGATGTTAGCCACTACACCATATCGGAGGGGGACAGCGAATTACTCTCTTAGGTTTAGTCTTGACCCCTTAGGTTTAGCGCTCTTTGTCCTTATGCCTCCCCGTGCGTGGTTCTATATAGTCCCCTGCTCTTCCCCCCTCCATCCGACAGCCCCAATTTCTTTTTCGCCTTCTTTCTCTTACGCCTCGCAGGTAAGGCATTTTTGCCATTGACCCGGATCACCGAGCTCCTGAGCTCCGCCACCCCCTTTTCCATGTCTGACTTGTCGGGCTCTTCTACGACCCCGTGTCCGCAATTCGAACTGCCCTCCCTCCTCCGGCCCTATTTTCCTTCTCAGCCGGACCATAGTGTTAGGTGTCAATCGGCCGACCTATATTTGGCCTCCGCGCATGCAGGCGCATTCGCCCTACACTCCTTTAAGATAATCATCCCTGCGCAGCGGGACTGCAAATCTGCCTTATGGTCGACATACCGCGCGAGAGCCTTGTCGACCCTGACTGATAGCGGTAATGTCAATCTAAAACTGAAGATAACCGGATCGGATTACTTGGTTTAATAGACTGATTAGACTATCTCAGCCGTGTATCGCTTGAGCCGGTTCTTACTCGGTCAGGGCAGTTAAGTGACAAAATAGGGACAGTTTTTTTTTTTTTTTTTTTACGATTACTATTATAGTTCACGGTGGTCATATCGGGGCCTAGGACGGCTTTCGGATCTATAGAGCGGCGAGGCGAAGCCCTAGATAGCGCGTAAGTATCCTCTCCCCTCGATTTACGCCAGTGTATCGCGCAATCTATTCCAGATATCTACGTGTCCCTATATCATTAAGGCGCCTTGTGACCGCATTACTTGGTTCTATTAGTAATTGGCATAGAGGACGAGATAGAAGGACAAGGAACCTATTATGCGGGCTGGAGATACAGGGGCCACGTGTCTCTGTGCTGGTCCAGTTTTACGCGTTTTATGGTCTGTCTTGAACCATGGAACGACTGGCTAGCAGAGCCCCTTCAAATCAGTGATTGTGATACTGGGTGCAGATGATACGCAGACAGGCAGTTCTCTAGGAATAGCAGCATCGTTATGGTATGATCTCGGGGACGCGGTCGCACGCATCTTTCGGGATCTGCGCAGTCCCTACCCCTGTTATCAAAGGTGCCTTGTGACCAAAATTGTCGTTGGCTTCACGATTGATTGGCGTAGAGGATGAGATGAACGGGTAAAATACATTTTGTTCCTGCAACAGCAGCGTCATGCGGACTGGAGATAATGAAGAGGGCATTTGTCTTCGTGACGCTCCGTCCTGCGCGTTTCGTCTTCTGTCCATAGAATGACTGGCAAGCAGAGCTCAATCAACCCAGGGTGATAGCACTACGCGCAGACGATGCGCAGTGAAACAGCCACCGTACGATAACATGTCCTTGTTCGGGTTAAGACTATAAGTCCAAGCACCTCAGCTAGTCAATGGTACAAGCCCCAACCGATCATCAAGACCAGGTCCAGAATTTTCTCTGTAGAAAGCATTGCCAAATAAACATGCCTCTCTCCATAATAGCATGTAGATATTTTCGCCAGGCCGGCTGAAAGCGGAGAGCCAATTCAGGTCCCAGCAAGCCTCTACGAACCAATCCTTCACAAGTCTTTATCTCCTTTTCCGAGTCAATTAAGACGTATTCTGCATTCCAGATCATATCCTTTGTCTTGCGTTTGAAGTCGTATGCTAGCAAGGCCATTGTAGGATAGACATTGTGCCAACAAGCAGAAATAAGACCATCAAAAACCTCATTGCGGTTAAGTTCTGGAAACTCCATTTCCCCAAATCGGCGATCCCATTCCGCGGCGCTGAGGATAATGTCGTCATAGGGTTCATGGCCATATACCATGAAATATAGAAGTGTCCCAACGGCAAACTGTTCAGTTCTGGCGGAACAAAGACCGTATGTGCCTTTCAATGGTCCAGCAAGTATTGGTTTGGCCCGTGGAGGCAAGGTACCTTCAAGCGGCTGTCCAATGGTGGCGGCACGACCAAAATCAGCCAGCTTTAAGTTGAAGTTCCTGTCAAGAAGACAGTTGCTCGCATGCAGATCATTGTGACAAAAGCCCATTTTCTCCACATACTCAAGAGCAGAGGTGATTTGTTGTATCCACCGAGCGATGAGAGCAGGATCCTCGTATTCCTTGACCCTGATTAGACGCCCATGAAACCCATTCGTTCCTCTTTCTCGCTCCTGGCGTTCATAGAAGCGAGGGGCAATTGCCTTATGCGTGCAATATGATAGAAAAAGATAGTCCGGGAGCATGAGAAAACATTCAACAATATTTGGACATCGATCCTGGCACTCATTAAGACGTTTGTAAAACGCGATCTCCTTCAGGAAAGGATGCTCCGCTGCCTTTTCTTCAGGGGTTCGGTCGCGACGAACAGTTTTCACCACAATAGTTGGAGTGACGTGGTAGATATAAGCGTCGAGTCCTCCGCCAACCCAGCTATGTTCCTCGAGAGTATCCGCGTAGTGGAAGCCCATGGCGAATTAAAACACATGTAATCGTAGTATTAGCCGTGCAGAGTTTTAGCAAAGATGTACAGAAGTAATAACTGTTTGGGTGGCGGCAAAATAGTTTGGTACAGGTGTGAGAAGGGGTTATGAGAGAGGAAGGGAAAAAGGGAAAACCTTGGGAGATCTTCTTACAAATAAAGGCTCGACTAAATACACCCGCGCTATGCCTTATTCGTCAGAACGAGCCTTTTTCTAGTCCATTAGGGTCGTTCCTCTAATGGGAAGAATCAGTTCATTACAGTAAAGACACAAAAGAAAAGTCAATTAAAAAACCATGATAATTACGGATCATAAGTACAAGTGAATCCAAAAACAGCAAGTGAGTAATTAGTGTAACTAATTTGAGGCGTCCCGAAAATTAGCGCGGGTTGCTCTTCGGACCCACCTTGGTCCACTAATAGATCTGGCGGACCTTCCAAAACAACAACAAACTCGATAACAGCACAAGAACAATCAGAAAGAATGACAGCCGCATTATCCAACTCAGCATGGGGTGGCCCATCAGTCCTTTACAGGTTACGAATTGTCGATACTTCGCCGTGCAATATTCACGAACAGTCAAAGTTGCCGAGGAATTCTAGAAGCGTTGTCAGATTACGTGAAATTGAGTATTACAAGGAGAACTGACAGGGAAACCTAAAATCGGCTGTAAACTTCTGAGGCCCACCAGTTGCGACCTCGTACCATTTTCCATCGGCTGTCTGGGCCCAATCGCCTTTAGCCTTGCAGTCATCGCAAGGAAAATGCGAGGTAGAACTGGCAATGTTATCGTTTCTGCCTTTCTCTACCCCACAATTGTTACATCCATCATCGGGGATCAGACTGCCGGGCGTCTCAACCTTATGACGGCAAGCACGCATCGCTATATTGTAGTTTCTCTTGCACATGTTGACGTGATCTGTCTGGTTGGTTATCCTCTTTCTAGGAGACCTGGGAGAACAAATACCTTACAGCAGAGACCTTGTCCGTGTTAGAAGCTTTGTGCCTGTCGGGTAAGGAGAAGAGCTTTGATCTGTGTCAGAAGCTTGCTGTGTATCAGATCAAAAAAAATTCATGGAAGAAGAGTCCCTTTTATAATCAAGAGCCTCGCTTGATGTGAGACCCTCAGGAATGCACTCTTAAGAGTTGATGAGCATTGCTACACACTTTCTGTAGACAGGAATGTCTGTGGTAAGAAGGCTGGTTATTGGACAGAGGCACATCCGGGAATATATTGAGTAATGAGGATTGGGAGTAGAGAAGCGGCCAACAGTGGACAATAGTAGGCAAGAATGGTCAGTCGCGTGCAGAATTGAACAGGAATAGGCAATTTTAGCCAGTGGTGAGCAGCAGTGTACAGAAATGAGGGAACAATATGTATCGACAGAGGCCGTGCAAGTCAATAGCACGCAATAATGGTCAGTAGCAAGTAATAATGGGCAGTAATGGAAGCTAGAAGGCAAACTGGGCGGCAGAAGATATACTAAATTTAGGAACAGGGCGGGCGTGTGGGGTGAAAGCGACTCACAGGAATCGCTTCCCTGTCTTTCCCTAGGCTATGGTTGGTGCAATGACCGAGCGACTGACCATAAATTTGTGCCGCTTATGCAGCAAGCTGCAACCACGTCACATCCAACATTAGACAAGGAGGGTTAGTGGGAGGTCAAAGCTCAGATAAGCATTAGGAGGAGGTTCTCGCTCAATTTGTCCCATTGCTTCTGTATTTTGACTTGTTTCTTTCAACCTTAGGTGCTTCACTAGCTGGCGACACCATGTCGCTGACTGAGCATTTCTTCGACTCTCTTCTTCACCAAAAAAGCATCCTAGACAGTAGCCCATTCCTAGATGCGAATAGCCAGAAAGGACTAGAATCGTCTTATTGTCTTTTGCATAACATAATCAAACCCTCGGTATCGCGGCAGTCCCAGAACAGACATGACAAGGCGCGACAACACCTCAAGAACATCTACTACATAGCGAAGCCGCTGTTTGTCCTTGTTACTGTCACAATCTCCATCACTGATCTGGCATCATTGGACCATGGGGAAATATTTCCTCGTCTTGCAAATTGGTGGCAGGACAATGCACCCTCCCAAAAGTTCGAATCACGAGCGATTGAGCTCATTCACGAGCTGGACCACGAAAGAGAGAGAGGAGGTCTTGTCCATGTACAAAGTATAGTATTCCTTCCACTTGTTGAACGCATTGTACTAATTTTTTTTTTCTTTCAAAAGAGAGAACAAAAAGCAGAACTTTGAACAAGTCGCGAGGTGTCAAACAGAAGAGGGTGGAATACGCCGTCTCTCCTGCAGAGCCAACACCGCAAAGGAGCCAAACTGACCAGCCCACCGAGTTTCAGAATGCCCTCTCGGAATTTGGTAGTGTCCCCTCCATTCTTCGCTTTATTGGGATTGTGCTGACGGATGGATTGCAGATAATGATAGGACTGAGAGTGGCCTCAGCGCGCAATTACCAGTTTCCGGGGGATCAGGTTTGTCTATATACGACTATGGTTTCATGAACATGCTAATATGGCAAAGGTTCCATCGGAACTTTTACAGTAAATATGACCGACGAAGAGCCAATATTTTTCCTCTCTTCACAGCTCATGGGTTTCATCCATGCATATCACGCCGATTTCCCTCAGCTACAAGCTGTCAGTGAGCTGCTTCGAATTAGCGGGCCTAACCTGCAGCTTTCATACTCTCTTCTCAATTTGACACCTCCATATATCCATGTCGATCTTCAACTGCCTCCCGGGTTAAACGTTAACATCGAGGTATCGAGGGAATTCAGTTATTCCTTCATTCAGTATCTTTGGATGCTCCAGACATCAGGCGTCTCGGGAAAGGAAACGTCGTAGTAATACGTTTCTAAACATGAGGCCAGTACGTCCATCGCTCAGAACAAGAATTCTTTGGCCACTCCCTGTTTTGGGGCCTGTTGAAAGTATATCAATGCTGCCCTCGGCAACGCGCGAGTGGATGACGCCCTCTCCATCGTCTCCGTGTATCAGGACCGCAGGGGCGATACTTGAATCTAAAAATTTCCCGTTGAAATACTCTGTTTCAAGGACCACGGCCTTCCCATTCTACAAAGATAAAGGTAAGCGGTTGAAAAACGCAAAACGTCCAGGATTCTAACCAACAAGGATTTTGCTTCCTCTTCCAGGCCTTTATCATCTTGTGCCTTTGGCTTTTGAAATACAGATTCATTGATTTTGTTCATGACAATCCCGACGTTTGGCTGGTCGTCGTTGGTGGTTTAGGGCGTAGGAAAGATTGATTGGAGTTGCGAAAACGTGTCACCTAATTCTCGCGAGCGCGTCAGCGATTTTCAGGGTGATCAACTCGAGAATCAGCAGTGGCAAGGTATACTTGCCTTTGAATATTGCCTTCTGAGTAGAATTTGTTGAAGACTGGTGCACTCAAGAATTCGTGATGGAACTCACTGTAAGATAAAGAGGAGCCCACCGCGGGGCTCTCCCAACTCCCTTTGGGTAGTAAATACAAGTCATGTGATTTCGCGTCACCAAGAATGGACGCAAGTAGCATGTCATCCTCACCAGTCCTTCATATTTGCATTTAGGTCAAGAAAGACATAATTTTTATTTCAAACTTCCTTCTATATGACGTAGTCAAATACCACAGGCAATGCCGATAATGAAAATCCTGGTGATGCGTACACTGCAATGATTTGACGAGGAACATTTTGCTTACTCCTATTTTGCACCATTTTGTCCCATTTTGTCCTACTAACTATTAGTAGACATTTTTTGTACCAACGTTTGTCTTCTTCACATCATCACTGTCTTATAGAGTCTCATTTTAGTGCTTCGATGATAAGATGGCTCATTTAGTCCCGTTTATGCTTTACTTTGTTTCGTAGTCCATCATTCCATGCTTTCACTGCCCTAGTGGAGGGATATTGCCCAGCAATATCCCCTCGTCCTCTGTGATATGGAAGTGGATAGACCTAACCACAGCTAAGGTAGTAGACGAGGACGAATCATATCAATTTTTCCCTGTGATGTGCACTATCGACGGGTCTGGCCGTGACAGGCTGTAGCTGACGACGTCAAATCAGTTGGCTTAGCTTGCCGCAAGCACAATCAACTCCGCTGGACATATACGCAAGTTCACACAGTCTGTTGCGCTGATCTGTTTACAAGGAAGATAAGACACAGGCATGGACGACTAAGGACGAATATATAAGACTGAGCAATTTCTCAGGCTTCTATTGACTTTCCATTTATCATCGGCATTCCAATCTTTGCTCTACCTCATATCAGCTACCCGTACTGCACCAATATTTCTCAGTCGTCCAACCGCGCAATTATGGCATTGGCACAGAAGACTGTAAAGGCGGCTTCCTCTCCCTGTCCCTAAGGCTTGACGCCACCAGGTAGCCCAACGACGGGGTCTGCTATGCCTTACACTACCACGAAGGATCTGAAGCAGCTCTTTGATGTGCTTGAAAAGGTGCTGTCTGATCTTACCAACCGTGAGCCTCTAAATACTCCTGTCTTTCAGCAGCATTCCTAACCAGGTCCCGACATGGTTTAACTGAAGCAGCTGCTGGTGAAGCTTATCCATGATGGATATCCTTCAGTTAAAACCATCGAGATAACCAAGCCTGCTCAGTCTTGTGTTGCTAGTAACGAACAAGGAGAGAACGCTGAGGCGGCGGAGGCAATTGAAAGTCCGATCAGTACTACTCCGGATGATTTCAGATTGTTTGAGAAGTGGGTATCTTATGCATCGATACCTCAATTCAAGACAGTCGTGGAAACGTACGAGCCGCTGGCCACCTTTTTTTAGGAGGAATATGGCTGACACTAGTTTAGCTGGGACAAAGAAGCATGCAGATACAAGACTGCTGAACCAACGGAGACCATCAATGACCTTGACGACCATGCTAAGTATATATTCGTTCTCCGTGAACGTGTTGGTACATGACACCTTTGCATGCTGGACCGAAAACCTACTAATAGTATGATCAGACCGGACGTCCGAGGAGGTAGTACTATTCATAGACATCAAGTCGGAAGGCCTACGCGATATCTTACAAGACGTGCTGCACGACATCAAGGCCGTTAGCCTAATGGAGGACAAGCCATCGGTAACTGAGACTGTATTATTATCAAGGAGCACGTTGACGTGGATTTAGATCGAGCAAATATTCCTTTTCTATTTCCTCCTAGAGCTCGACAGATGTGCAGGGAACATAGATTCGGGCTGTAAGTCGGCATATACGGAGCATCTCCTCTTGCTCATCGGCTACCTTAAGCATGTATATACTTCTACTTTATAGCGTCTTGAATCAATGTTGCAGTACAGTTATATTACATATGACCTTCTTTAGGCACTTTTCAAGCCTGGTTGCCGTGTTTATACCATATACATTAGCACAAAAGAGCCGCGATGTATTATATTCGACGTAGGCGAAGAGATGACACAATCATCCGATTCACAACGCTTCTTCTGTTCACTAGATTAACCATGGGAAGCTTCAGCGACGAACAATTTGAGCGCCTCTTGGCAGGCCTGGATCAGAATACTGACAGCGAGCCGTTTGAAAATTTTCTTGGTAACCTAGAGGATATGCCAGATATTGCGGTATTCAGTTCCTTTTGCGACCCAACACTCGTCCTAATGATCAGTGACTACCCGGAAAGCCTTCTTTCCTTCCCCCCGCTCCTACTAATTGAAGAGGAGGTATCTTCTCTAAATATGCCACCTATCTAACCATCGGATGAATCACCCTTAGCTCATTCTATTCCGATATCTACGCCCGAGATAAATGAGGCGTTAGAGACAGCCTACTGGGCAAAATTCTTAGTTGAGTCGCAGCGGTTGTAGTAAGAAGCTATGAAGGTGGAGTGAGTCAAGTATGCCCTGTCGTCTTTTTCTGCTTTTCTAATAATAACTTAGATTAGATAAGTTAAAAGTGTGAGCGTTCTATATCATGATCGCTATATATATTGCTGATTATGGAATCTTATAGTACCTTTGAATAAATCTGTAAATACTAAGTTGAAAGTCTGAACCCCTGGGTCTTAGAAGTCTATAATGTACTTCAGGCTCTCGGCTACCTGAAGGATAAGCCTCTAGTATCTATAACCGATAGCGAGTTTGATATTAGTATCATCGATTTCCTGTAATTATACTAATAAGACGATTATCTATGTTTTTTCTATTTCTAGCGCTGTTTTTAACTTTATTATTTACTTTTTATCTTTCTTTGTCTTTGGCTCTACTACTTGTGATCTACTTGTTTATATTTTCTTTATTTAGGATTTATCTCTTTATCTAGATATAGGGCTTTTAAAGTAAGTTTTTAACTAATAGTCTTGAAATATAATAAGCTTATATCCCCGGAAGCTTGATCCCTAATTCTTACCTATAGTATAATCCGTAAGCGCTAGGTAATAACTGGGTTTAGAGACTTAGTAAGTGCTATTATAATACATTATAAAGAAATTGAGTGGTTATCGCCGCCCTGTGCTATAGATAGACTTACTGTACAGCCCCTACGCAGCTCCTACGTATTAGTGTAGCGCAATTCGGAGCGCCTATCCTTTAAGATTAATAAAGAGCCCTCTAATCTACCTACTTTTTGTTCACTATAAGATAATATATCAGATACTACTTAATAACGGGCATTCTATGGATAGATAAGGAGATAGTGGTTCTTCTTATTTTTTTAATATAGGGCTATAAGCACGAGGTAATCGTAGAGATCTTAACTAATCGATAAGCGGAGATCTAGGGGATACTCTATATAAATATACTACTATTATATATGTGGATAGTTTCTACCGTCTGCAATAAGTTAAATGAGCTCTAAACCTAAAACCCTTACCTTTAGCTAAAAGAAGAGGGATGGAATTGAGTTACTATTACGGAATACCTCTATGGTTCTATGGTCGATCTCGCCTATGTGAACTGACTCTTGAACTTAACTGCCGCTAATATTAATATTATTATACGGGTATATATTCTGAATAGTCTTACTAATATAAGGAATTTGATATACTAATTTGCTGGATCAGAAGTAGGATATATAATTCTTAGTTAGAAAATGTCTCAGAGGGCGCCGTTCTAATAAGGCGAATCTAGATATACGATTGAATATATTGGTTTAGAATAGGATAGCTATATTTATAATATACTAATATAGGAGGGGGAGACTGTTACAGTCGAAGTTGAAGTAGGGTTAAAGTATATATATATTTTCAAATTTTGCGATAGCCCGGAACGCTCTCTAATGGTTTATTTCTAGTAAACTAACTGTGGAACTACTATTTATATCGATTTGGTTTGGTATTTGCTCCTTCGCTCGATAGTATATTCTAATGGTATATATGTCCTAGTTATTTATCAGTTTTTTACTTTGGACTTAAATAATCATTTAAACATTTAAACTATATACTTTAAGAGTATTTCTGGGTTGATTAGAATACGGTCAAACTCCTCTGAAGTAAATCCTTTTAGGTTATATAAACACGTCTATTAACTCCCTCGAAAAGCTAATTTACCTAGGTATTCTCTGTTTAAATTTCGAGATAATCTATAGGCCGTAATCCTTAGACCCTGATAATCAATTAATAAAGGGACGTTAAATTGTCAACTAGCTGCGTCGTATTGTATAGAACTAATAAGCACGATTTGCGCTGCTGGGTCGGAGAAGCGTGGCCAATTAGAGTCGATATATGACGGAAATACGGCCAATAATATTTTAGAAGTATGGCTAAAGTGGGTCAGCCCCCTAGGTTTCTTTGGTTGCTATCTTGGCAAGAAATTACTTCTTTATCTAGCAAACAAATGTAACTTCTAGCTAAGTGAAAGCGACCCATTGAAAATCCCCTGATCTGGCCTTAGAATCTTGAGCTTCTCTCCCTATCTATCGATTTCGTTCTAAGGTGTCTGCCTACGTCTCATTTTGTCCTAAGATGCCGCAATATCGGGCGCTGCGCCAGCTCCTGCCTGCAGAAGAAAATTACTCGCGAGAAACTTCCCCCCTAAAGAGGAAGCGATGTAACGTTTCTCTTGCCTGCGCTGAGTGCCAAAAGAGAAAAACGAAGGTCAGAGCCACCAATCCCACGATTGACGATAACGCTGATAGAACTATTAGTTGACAGGCCATATCCGGTTTAGCGCGATCTGAGCGGGGCGCTGGGAAAGAAAGCGCGTTGTCCAAGGGGTAATCTGTTTTCGAATTCTACTGTACCAGCATATTGAAAATCGTCTTTAGAGCGAGCTTACTTGTTTTTTTGTGGGCAGTATGATCGCCGAAAGAATTACAGTTCATTTCGAAACCCATGCAAAGGGTTAAATGCAGCATGCCAGTGTAGGTTGTTCTCTAATCACAAACATTTACAAACACTGTACAAGAAGAAGATATTACTTAGCACTTACCAACGGACTTACATGTAAGGAATGTATTTTATTGAATTATATCTTGCCAAGGTATTATTGATTACCAAAATCCAACAAATTGCTTAACAGATTAGCGCCTAAGCGAAGACCAACGGCAAAGCTTTTCTCTTGCTCAGCTAGTGCCACTTGTGCCATTCATATTTGATTGGTCAATCGGATAATTCTGAACGTCCAACTTAGTTTTAGTGCTTATACCCAAGCCACCGGCCCCCAAATCTTTCAGCCCTAGTTAAGAGCTTATGTATCCTTTCTCATACAGCAATGGGCACGTTTCCGAAGGACTTACTCAGCTCTGGGGAACTCTATATCAATAAATAAATGAGGTCTGTACGCGAAGCTGAGCTTATAAGCGATGGCGTTTCCCAAAAGTTGCGAAGGTATTGTTTATCAAAAATCAACTAAAAGATTTCACCATATTAACTTTACTCACTATGACTTATACTAATGATCCTGTTGCTATCGTCACCGCGGCGCTGGACCAATTGCCGCCCACCAAATCCGTCTCCAGATTTTAGCGGCGATTGACAAAGCCCGTGTCGCTCTGGAGCCTCCGCTTGTCTCTGTCCAGAACCTTGTCTTCTCAGTATGTGCATCATGATATATACAGGCTCTATATATGCTTATACAAGATCTAACGCACAGCATATAGGACTTGTTGGTGTCCGAGTAGCTGTCAGTATGGGTATCTTTGACGCCTTAGCGGCTGGGGGTAAGTCACCTCAGACTCTGAGCTAATTAGCCGAGAAGATAAAGGGTGATGAGATACTCTTGCGTATGTCAATCAAGCGCCCTCCACCCCCTCGCCACGGCATTTCTATGAAGTGGCATTGACAGTATCTCCAGTGCGAATTCTGCGTCTTCTTACCGTATACAATCTCATTGCCGAAACGGCTCATCAGATATGAAAGCCATTGCCACTTGGCTTAGGATTCGCTACAGGCTTACCCTTACCAGAAGTGGCTAAGCACTTATAACCTATTTCTTTCGCATCTGCAAAGCTTATAAGCTTACTATGGACCAACTACGCCAATATGAAAGCTTCCGCGAATTTAGACGAATTCCTGGGGGCCACAGACTACCAAAACCCAACGGATACCTATAACGGACCATAGCAGTTTGCATACAAGACCAAAGACCACTACTTCGACTGGCTGACGCAGAACCCAGAAGACGCCCACGCGTTCAACGTAATAATGCGCATTAACCGTCAGGTAGAAGGCGCACAGTGGTTTGACATCTACCCCGTCGAAGGAAGACTGAGTATATCCTCGAACGGCCGCGTCCAGCTAGTAGACATCGGCGGTGGATTGGGACACAATATTACAGGTTTAAAGCGTAAATTCCCCAATCTTCCTAGTCGCCTGGTTCTCGAAGACCTACCGGATGTTATCGAGTATGATAAGGAGTCGATTGAAGATGGCATTGAGGTTATCGGGTACGATATATTCACTGAGCAGCCGCTAAAGGGTGCCAAGGCGTACTATTTGCGTACTATACTGCATAACTGGCCGGATAAGCAGTCGCTGCTGGCGCTTGCCCGTGTTCAGGAGGCTATGGCTGACGACTCGGTGCTGCTGATTAATGAGAATACCTTGCCTGAGGTTGGCGCGTCGAGCTTCTCGGTATCGTTGGATAGTAATATAATGAATATTTTTGCTACTTTGGAGCGGACTGAGAAGCAGTGAGTTGATCTACTGGAGCGGGCTGGCTTCAGGGTTGTCAAGATTTGGCGCGCTGACTATGATGGTATCGGATCGAATGCGTTGTTCGAGGCTGTCGCTTATCAACTGTGAAATTGATATAACGTTCACTTGATTTGGAATGTACCGGGCTCTCGAGAGATTCAATTGATCAATGATAGTCCTCGGTATCTCATGATCTATATGCTGAAGTTTACAACTCTTTCAATCTGGTATAAATAGATAAGATCTTAGACATTTATACGCCCTGCTAGAATATCGTGAGGACTTTGGCGAGGTTTAGCAGGAACCTGCTGGCTATTCATAAGAAGAGACGGAAGATCGACTTGAAAAGGTGCTCCACGTCGAGGGTGGTTTTCGCTGGCATTTGAAATTTCGAGTTCAACTGCGTTAGTGGAACCAGGAACTTTTATACCGGCAAAGTATATATAATACACGCGTGATACTTGCATAGTCGCAGTCTTTGTAGCGCAGTTGACGCTCAGTTGCACATGTTTGCTTACAGATCAAAATAGGCTCTCAGGCAGTAAGGCATCAAACGCGCCAAGTATCACAGTACGTAAGTGGCTAGCGCACAAGCGTGGATGTGAATCGCGATTTCCCGGTTTCTGTATCTGAATTTAGTTCTTTAATTTCCTCGGCAAGCTACGGATGATTCAATGTCGTTCTTATTCTCTTCCCGAGTTTTCCTCAGAAGCTCAATATACCTGTTCAGCACCCCTACGAGAACACTCTCTAGCATTGTATCTTTATCTACGTGCTACACTGGACAAGCCGTCTTCGCCTCACGGTTAGAGAAAATACTATACCCGGGCACTAAGCCAAGGACTCAACGATTTCCCCGGGTCAGGGGGGAATCACTACCTCGGCCATTTTCGTCCACATCAGCAACCATGGTCATCGAAGACTCCAAGAGAACCCCATGGCGTCGAATGTGCGATAATATGGCTGACCTCATTGAGAGAAATTTGGAGATAGACGGGTTCCGTTACTGGGGTATTACCATGTACCGAACCACCTACAAGAGCGACGCGGACTGGGCGAAATTCCTCGATCGGTTCATGGGCAGTATCCGCACAGAACTGGAAAGCGACGATGGGCTCGATATATTGGATTCCTTTCGGCCTGTTGTGATGGAAGACGCGCGCCGCTTTGACGGGGCCACGCCTAATCAAATACGGGACACTTTCAAGGAGTGGGCGAGGGTGGCTTGCGAGACGGAGCAAGGGGTGCCATACAAACGTGCAGAGTGGGCGTACTCCGCCCGATATCGGCTGTGTATCATGGTTGACGAGGAGGCGTTACAGTCTGTGCTGGATATACCGACCGAGGACTTGGAAGCGTATAATACTACTGGATTTGTGATTCTGATCAATGGGAGGTGGCCCCCAGAGTGGGACCCCGAAGAGTTGGCTGCAGGAGGGGGGCCAGACGATAGACACGAGCCAGTGTACGGCTGTACGTTGGACGAGGTTGGCTGGATGAAGGTTCGATATAGCGAGGCGCAGACTGGAGCCTCCTCACGTATGACTGATGATGGGGATTGGAGCGTTGAGTATCGACGGCCACCGGCCATTGGTTTTCACTTTTGAGCGATGTATTTTCTGGACAAGAATCATATATATTACTGATCATTCTTTACCTCTACTGTGACTAATCTTTTCTTTCCCTGCTATTCTGGTCTTGGTGCAGGTCTATGAAACGCCAACACAAATGGCATAGCCAACATCCAAATACTGACAATCTGACCCAATCACCGGATTCCATTCGTACAGCTGCGCAAATGTTATTTCGAACGCACCCTCGACCGCCGCGCACGAGTCCCCGGAAACGACTGTATAATATTCGTTGCAATTGGACGCGATGCCAGTCTGTGTAGGCGTACCAGCTGAGCTACTCGCCGTGGCGGTGGGACCCTTGACGCAGTAGGTATATCCGAGCCAAAGGTTCGTACATGTTTTTCCAACTATAGTTCGGAATTAGCTTGACTCATCTCTAGGGGGGTTTTTGATGGATAGGATCTTACTACTGGGATTCCACTCATAGAGTTGGGCAAGAGTAACTCCAAACTCAGTCTCCATTGTCGAACAATCATCTCCCGACTCAACGGTAAAGAACTCCTGGCACCCATAGATGTATCCAGTTTGTGTTAGGGCTACCGACGTAGCAGTAGCGGTAGTACTACTAGGGGTTGTGGTGGCAGTAGTTGACGTGCTCGAACCCACCCCAATACAGACGGCACGAGTATCGGTATCGTTAAGATTAGCGTACAGATTTGTGTCACAGTCTGTGCCGAGCCAAGGGTTCCACGTAAGGAGTTGGGCTTCTGTGATATCGAAGTCTTCCTCAATATCAGCACATTGGTATTCTAGGCAAAATCAGTATTATGAAATGCGAGTGCCCTATTCCTTCACTTCTTTTATTCGTTGTCATCCATACCTCCTTTATCGTAGCCATTGACACCGGTGAAGCAGTTGCAGTTTGAGACAGTGGTAGACTCGGTAGCATTAAGGGACAAGCAGAGAGAGCCAAGTCCGCTGTTACTGCTGCTGGTATTGTCACTGCCGGTTGCTATTTTCGCAAAAGAAAAGATATGGCATTAGAGAAAGGTCCGGAGAGAAATGGTAAAAGGCGCAATAAGATCACTTACTATAAGAACTATTGAGAATAGCACAATAACTGTACCCTGGCTGCATGGTACATAAGCTCAGATTAGTGTTGAGACTAGGGTTCCAGTCGAGGAAATCGGCTGTTATAACTTCATTCAGCCACGCAACCCACTTACAAGAGTTGAGGTTATATATGGTATTATCATAGTTGGCGTATCGTTGGCAGTTAGTAAGCGTGTCCGGGGCCGTAGGGAGATATATTGGTATATAGACGAACCCCGGATCACTGGTCGCTGTGGGAATTGATGTATCGACGGCGGGGAAGCTGGCTGTTGTCACAGTGAATAAGGGCGTTGTGACTGGGTAGCCAGAGTAGGTACTAATATCTCCAACTGCGGCGATACAGTAAGCCTCCCCGAGCTCAAGGTTGGTACAATTGGCGTCAATCTCTGGGTTAAGGAAGTAGAGGTCCACAAGGGAGATGGCATTGGCGACAGTAACCAGACTGCAACTATCCCCTTCTCCGACCTATATATTATGTTAAAAATATTGCCGTAGGTCTAATATTTGTCGGAATCCCGAGGGGCAAAACTTACTGTATACCATAGACCACAATCTGTAGTAGATCCATTTAGGGCGTTGGTAGGCGCAGGGACAGCGGAGGTAATACTTGTTGGATTCTGTACTGTAGAATTGCCTGATATATCGGTGGTATGATTAAGATAGCCTCCAGGAGGACTAAACGTTGGGATCGTAATTAGTATACCGTGGCCTAGTAGATAGAGGGCAAGAAGAGAACTAGGGATTGAACTCACCCGACGCAAACCATATAGTCAATATAATTGACGGCGTTCTGGCACAAAGCATTGAAGTTGGGGTTCCAGGCCAGGAATTGCGGAATAGTGACATTGGACAAGCCACCGACCACACTGTCACAGGTATCGGTCGCCTGCCACACGTGGGTATCACATTGTGGTGGGATACACAGACTCGAGTTGACCGCTGTTGAAGCCCAATTCAGGCAATAGAGATCCAAGTTATTCAGGTAGAGTAGACTGTACGTAGACACGTTGAGAGCCTGAGCTACCGAGTTACAGGTATCCTCTACTTGTACTTCATAAGAACCTGTGCAGCTCGATGCCGGAGTTGTTATTACAGTCGCCGGTTCAGATGTGGCTGTGGCGTTTAGTGCGTATTGTGTCGGAGTGGCATAGGTATACGTGGTCGCATTGCAGCTGGATAGCAGCGATACGTAGTTCACAGCCACAACGCTATCATATCCGAAGGGACTGTTCAGTTCCAGCGCAAGCCCTCCTAGCCAGCAGTCGGAGCACAGCTGGCTAGTATTGAGAGACTGATTGGACCATAAGGCCACGAGGGGATCGCAGTATTCACCCGTGGTGCTGTCTTTTCGACAGGACAGCTCGTACGTGAATAGATAGTTATCCACTATGAATGTAGCCGGGTATGCCACGTTCTCGACAACGATGATATCTGTGTCGAGGGTACAAGCGGCCGCGATGACGCTTCTGGCAGCCTCCAGAGAGCTATAGCAGTCATCAACGCACACATCTTCGATCTGATCGGCTGTCACGACGCCATTGCTGAGGGAAAATTAGCACTTGGTATGAAAAGTCCACATATAGTTTCTCATATATGGCGAGTATATACACGTAGGATCATAAATCAACGTACTTTTCCGAGACAATACCCAGATACGGAGAGCATGTCACATTTGTTGCCAATGCCTGCTGGCAGTCTGTACTCAGGCCTGTATAGTTGGTGAACATCTGGGTACCAGTGAATTGCTGCGCCCAGGACAGAGGCAGGAGAACCGCCAGGGCAGCCAACAGCGCCACCATCCGCAATGCTGCCATTGCGATATGCCAGTCGAAGCTCTACCAAAGGCGAAAAGCAAAAGCGAAGGCCTTGGAAAAAAGCACTTTTTTGCTCGAGGTGGGCGAGGCAGTAATACTACTATTTAGCCAGCCAGGTCGCATACTTCTCAGGTCGTCCGAGTGGCGCACCAACGGAAATTGCACGCAGTGGGGCCGTCTCAAATAACCCCCATTGTCACTTCAATGCATAATGGGTCCAGCAAGACCAGAGACGACTCCTGCAAGAAGGATATAGATCGGGCGTACTAGTTTTTTTAGCTCATTCTAAGCGGCTTGGGGGGAATATCCAAAATTCAGAAATTTGCCCTATGGACCCTGTCGGTATACTTCTGAAAGCGAGTCTCTTGAGGCTTCAGTTCATTTTGAAACTCTCGTTCATGCAGCTAGTACGTGAGCTATTTGCATGATATGAGGGATTAATCTTATTCAGTGGCGTGGATAGAGATCCATGTGAAAAGTTGAAGCTCTCGAGCAGCCCTTATTTGAACTAAGCTAGATATATTCTAGCGGTTTTTTTAGTCGCCTTTCAACCGTCCCTTTCAATATTCAACGCTGCCTTCTCACATTTGATCAAAATTTTCACGATATCACGTGGTATAAAGTAGCACTTGGGATTTCCTTTTCAATTTCTTTCTGCGGATGCACATTTCAAGCCTTACAACAAGCTTTTATTGCAGCAGCCCATAATAATCATGTTGAGGCCCCATCTTCGTCGTATATATTTGGCTCAATTTATGGCCAAGCGCGCTCTTCTGCGACATCGGAAACTTTCCGATGAAACTGATCAATATGCGCAAAAGCTTCATTTGTCGAGCCGGAATACCCGATTTATTCCAAATTCACTAGTATTCCAGCGCTAAGGGTAGTGGTGTTGCACTTCGGATGTGGTCCTATCATAGACTAGACCGAGGGTCCCCTGAACTTCTAAGACCTGACTGTACCTGATCGGGTTTGACTTTGCGGATATTAGATACACACTAGTATACGTGCATAGTCGTTCTCTCTTCATAGTCACTCCGGGTCTAGAAAAAAACCCTCTAACGGGACCTGAAGGATTCTCTCTCAATCACATTGTGAGGTTTTGGCCCCTTCAGTGCCACTAGCTTCGGAGATGTCCGGTAGGAAGTTTTAGCCAAAAAAAAAAAAAGAAAAAGAGGCTTTAGCCGGCGATTTTTTAGCTGTATCCGACCTCAGAGTTGCCACTACGACTCATAGGTCAAGCGTCAATCTATTGCAAGCCGCATCTGTTCGATCATCGAAAGTCTTTTCCAAAGTGTGTCGCTGAAGTTGAATTTTCCGCTTCAAGTTTCGGCCAAGGACTAGATATAATAATATCACGAGAAGTGAAAATGTTTACGGTTCATGGTTCTGTATGTAGCTCGTATACAAAGCTGGATTCGGAACTTAACCTAGGGTGGGTTTGCCGTGGCTTTCTCGCTTTCAGGTCCCTTCGCCTGGCTCGGGCGTGGAAATTGGTGGCGTTCCTAGCCTCGTTTACCACCTCTGCTAACAGAGTGGACCTAGTCACTGTGCCCTCAGAGCCTTTAGAGCGATGGACTCTTGATGGAACTCGGAGGTATACTGAACTTATATGCCAAGCTAAGAAAATGTGTACGGAAGTAGTCGAATTAGATAAATTGTGCGGGCTAGCACCAACTAATATGACATGGTGCCACACGAGATGAGGTTAAGAAGCATCTGCTCTTCCTCGGATTTTCTTTTTACTCAATTGCAGTCTTTCCTTTATTTCATTCAGACTCTCATTTATTTGCGGGCTAGCTCCCCTTAACGGCATGGCTATGGAGGCTCTTATTGCGAGGCCACCTACAAGGCTGTTTCAAGCTGCTCTGACGGTGTTCTTACTCGTCTGTGTCTTTGCCGCCGTTGTAGATGCCTCCCATGGACATTCGCTCCATGAGAGACATCATAAATGGCATTCACAGGCAAAGCCTGCGGCTAACCTCCTCCGACGCGATGCTTATGCGTGTGACGCCAACACCCCATGCAGCAACGGCGCATGCTGCGGAGCTGGTGGCTACTGTGGTTATGAACCTACGTACTGTGGCACTGGCTGCGTGTCGAACTGCGATGCCACCGCCGAGTGTGGTCAGTATGCTAGTACAGTCAACCAAACTTGCCCTCTGAATGTGTGCTGCAGTCAGTATGAATTTGTCAGTACCTCTAAGATCTGCAACATAACAAGTGAGCCCGAGACTAACTGTAACTAGTGTGGTACCACGGAAGACTTTTGTGACTGTATGTATCCCCATCTGTATACAGCATAGCTACTGGAAGCTAATTATATGATCAGCGGACTGCCAGAGCAACTGTGTTCTCAATACTAAGCCCCCAGCTGGTGCTGCATCGTTGAGCGTTCTTGAAAATAAAGTCATTGGCTACTATGAATCCTGGATGGCTCGCAAAAAATGTCACAAAGTGGCTCCTACCGACCTGCCCTTGGATGCCCTCACACAGTGAGTCTTGAAAAACATCTCCTCATGCTGAAAAAGCGTGAAATATTGAAACGACAGAAAGAAAACAATCTAACAGAATGATGATAGTCTCAACTTTGCATTTGCGTCCATCGATCCTGACTCGTACACGATCGTGACCATGGACAGTGACACCCCGTCTAGTCTGTTCAAAGACGCAACGAATGTCAAATCCATCAAATCTGACATAAAGGTCTTCGTCAGTGTGGGCGGCTGGACATTCTCCGATAACGGCACGGCCACCCAGCCGCTGTACGGCGAGATTGCTGCGTCGGCCACCAAGAGACAGACATTTGCTGACAACGTCGTCCACTTCCTTAAGCAGTATGGATTTGACGGCTTGGACATTGACTGGGAATACCCAGGCGCCGGTGACCGAGGTGGAAGTGCCGAAGACACAGCCAACTATGTGCTCCTGCTACAGACGCTGCGCAAGACCTTCGACGCTAGCGGTAACGACTTTGGTCTGACATTTACGGCCCCGTCCTCCTACTGGTATCTGCGTTGGTTTGACTTGCCAAGCATGGTCAAGTACGCTGACTGGATCAATCTGATGACCTATGATCTGCACGGGGTCTGGGATAGCACCGATCCCATTGGCAGTATTGTGCAAGCTCATACAAACCTGACAGAGATTAAGCAGTCTGCGGAGCTATTCTGGCGTGTAGATATCCCCCCAGAGAAGCTCGTCATGGGCTTTGGCTTCTATGGACGGTCTTTCACGCTTGCGGACAAGTCGTGCACGAAACCTGGTTGTCCATTCAAGGGTGCCTCAAGTCCAGGCCCCTGCTCCGATACTGGTGGAATCTTGGCTTACTATGAGATCCAAGCGATCTTAGATGGCACGAGTAGTTCCTCTAAGCGATCAACCATCACGCCAATTCATGACAAGAATGATGCAGTCAATTATTTCACATTCGACGACGATCAGTGGGTTTCTTATGATGATGAGACAACTTTTGCCCAAAAGGTGACGTGGGCCAACGAGGTTGGTCTTGGAGGCGCCATGATCTGGGCTTCAGATCTGGGTAAGATATAGCATCTGCGATTGAATATCTATTCCGCCAATAGTGAAGCATCACAGAACTAACTGGGAGCAGACGACGACAAATACACGGCCCACGCAGGTCTCACCAATAAACCTATCATGACGAACCCGACCTTGAAGACCATAGACAAAGCCTTGTCCGACCCCAAGTCCGTCATTCAAGACCTAGCCAGCTTCAACGGCCAGAACTGCTTCAAATACGAAGGTAAATGCGTCAACCTTAACGACAACAATGCCATGGCGGATGCTTGTGGCTCTGGATATACCGTTGTCGGGTGGGATGACGCTGGATGCGGCAAATCGAATTGTGTAGGTTCTTACTCGTTTCCTGTCACGTTGTTATCTCTTCCACTTACACATTTGCCTCCTATCAGCACTGTGGAAAGCCCATCTGCTGTCCGACGGGCTCCGCTCCAAAGAATTGCAACTGGCGTGGCGACAACACCGGTGATGCTGGCGTCTCATCAGACTGTAATGCGCAATGCAAATCGGGAGAAATCAACATCGCCGGCATTCGATCGTCATGGGGAGGTGGTTTTACCAATGATGGTAACACTGACAAGTGTGGCCGCGGATACAAGGTCTTTTGCTGCCCTGATCCTGAGTATAAAGAGGTCATTGACGGATGTGCCTACGCGGGCTGGTAAGTCCCGTCTTCATGAACCTGAGAGGGATACTTCGAACGCTCAGAACCAAAGGCTAACTAGCAAACCATGGTAAATTAACAGCGGCAAAGATTGCCCTAGTGGAAGCACAGAGATGTTTAACAAGATCGACACTTGCGGGTACAAGGGTCAAAAATACTGCTGTACGTCTCCAGCCGACTTGTCTGACTGCCATTGGGTCGGAGGAAGTTCTGGCCAGGACTGCGCAAATGCCAAGTGCGCCTCCACGGAGCTGGCAGTTGACCGCGCTAGTTACGGTGACTCGAGCTCCTTATGCGACTGGAGCCGCCAGAAGGTCGCCTGCTGCACAGTCAAGAAGGCTGCACGGGAGCCAGCCAAGTGCGCTGCCGATCTGTGTACGCTGTTTCCCGGCTGGTGTCCAAGTAATAGCGATGAGACTTCTGTCAGCTACCGCAAGCGAGGTGAGCTCAACGTACTGGAGAAGCGTGGTGCCCGAGAGAAATATACTCTTATACTGGCCGGTGTGACTATCGAGGTCCTCGCCGCCGCATACCCGTCAATTGGAGATCTCTTCACGATCGCCCGAGCCGCTCAAGTTCAACGATGGGCTTTTTGGAAGAACAAAGGCTACTGCAATAGCAGAGTTCTATCCGTACTGTCTCTTCCGACTGGCGAGGTCGCCAAAGCCCTGTACGAAGGCTTGAACTCGGAGCACGTCATCGATAGGCAGGTCATTAAAAAGTTCATTGAGGCTGTGATATCGGGGACTTTGACATCCGGTGCCCAGCCAGATGGTCTCTTGCCCATGTCGGCCACCTGGTGGGCAACTAAGTGGAGGGAGGCCAATGCGGCCCTTGCAGGTCTTCCTGCGGTAGGCAGTGATAACGGAGCCCAGCCATCGAGTCCTAATGACCGAATCATGGAAGCTTTCGGGTCGACATTCAACCCGTACCCACTGCTGGCCACTGACGCTGGAATCAATGGAGCTAAGGGCAAACTCATGGGTCTCAAAGCTCCTTTTAGCATCAAAAATATAGAAAAATTGGCAAAGGCCGCTGTCAAGGCCGATACTGACGAGGCTGTGCAGGAGGTTCTAACAGCCCTTCAGAGCGTAAGGCCGCTTTTCCTTCTCGGGGGGGGGGGGGCGGGGGGGGGGGGGGGGGGGGGGGGGGGGGGGGGGGGGGGGGGGGGGTGGGTGGGGGGGGGGGGGGGG